TGCGAAACCAAACTTTTGTACACAAAACTGTACGTGCGCAGATGATGTGCGCAGTAGACCGTTGCGGTCCCTAATTACAGTGCATGCACATGGTGCAAGATTTGGCTCCCAAGACAACAAGAGGGCCAAGGCTAAGGACCCACCGGAGGCATTTTTTAGGGTCTTTTTCCACCCCCAAACAGCCGCAAAATTATCCTCATACTCATACATAGCTTTTAAGCTTAGGGCTAGGCCCTACATTACAACGTGATTGCATCATTCTGACATCATGGACATTGTCTGACATGTCTGATGCTCTGAATAATTTCCGTCTGAGACTCATATCTGTTTTTCACCATCAAACACGCTTTGAATGATGTGAAACTATTTATATTTACAAATTAAATCCGCTTCGACCTTCCAACGCTGATACATGACATCACCGTGAGACATACGGCTACAGACCTGAAAAACTTACCGGCAATCCCCGTGAGCACTGAGTATATCATACACAACATTACACGTCGTTATGTTGCACGTGCTGGCATGGCTGGGACTGGGTACCTTCCAAGGTCACGTACTATTGGTTTACTACCCAGACTCTCTACATAGAGTTTACATTTGATACAGAATTGGGAGCAGATTAAGCCTGCCATTGTTTTTCACTGCCGCATGGTGGCGTCGTACAAGATAACGGCGTGTGTGATTGGTGCCGTGGTAATTACAGGATGCAAATAATAGAGTCGGATTATTATATCCAAATCTGTGGTGCAAATGCATGTTTCGTCAGGAAAACTTTCAGTTTGCAACATTAAATTTTCTTCTTTGACGTCGGAGTGGTAGATTTTGCCAAACCAGTAGATCTTGGACAAAGATGGGGCTGCTGACAAAGTTGGCTGATGACGGAGAGGCTTGTTGTCAGGGGCGGGTCACGAATCTCTTGAAAAAAGACACTGAAATCCCAAATGGAGACTATGCGACAATTGCGAATGTTGCAAGATAAACAGTAAATGTCACACAAATGTATAACTGGTCTTGGCTTGACATAAGTATGAGCTATTCTTGACTACAAAAATAGAATTTTTTTGTTGGAGCTTAACTGGAAGACGTCAACCCTTGTCCAGTCAAACCGAATGAGGCGTGTGGCCAATCAGACGCTGTTCTACGAATAGTCCAAATTACATTTTTATTACTTGATGGAGAAAATAGACCAAATTGTCATTTTTGGAAAAGCGTTAATGAAAAGGAATTAAATTTGCGCAATGCTTATCATTTTCTATACTACTAGGCCTGCAAGTGATAGAAAAACCGCTTTTGTAATGAGTGATGGTAAGACAGAAAAGCCTTGATTCGAAGTGTACCGTAAGTCTGATCTTTCTAAAAAATGCATCATATTTTGGGGGCATACATCTGTATGAGTGAGGCGTCTGGCAGCAGGCGCTGTTCTACGTGTAGCCCCCTCAAAAAGGAAAAAAAAGTCCATGATCATGCATTTTTGCTACTCGCAAGTGAAAGCTAACAGTAGCGATAGAAGGGTTCACTTAACCATCACCCCCTCCAAGAAAAATGGCTCTAGAACCACGCCTCCTGGCCATCCAGCAGAGTGATGCCTGGTAATTGCATGGTATAAAGACGTGGCCTTTAACGTTTGAGCGGGGGGCGGAATGATGACGCTATATGAATTTTATAAGTAGGGCCTTTAAGTAGGCCTATCAGTCACCACCGTCAAGTTAGCGTCCGGAAGTTATGGTTGTAGGCTGCGCTGGTAAATAGGCAAAAATTGCTTGCTCAGACTCTGCTGTCAAATTAATGCTATGATTAGAGCATTGCTCGGTACGTTTTTGGCCACATTTCCATTCGCCCCTAGTACCGCTTCGCCCCCAGGCTAACCACATAGCTAGCACACACATAATTATTGGACATTGTGCATATATATATATGTTATTTAATTTCTACACCTGTAAAACACTAAATATTATGTACAATGCACATCTAATGACTAAGTCAGGACCACTCCTAGCTCATTGTTCTTGACATTAGACTGTCAAGGCGTATAGTCATTAGCTATTCTGTACTAGTATGTAACTTGTGGCCGGCAAGGCCGGCGGTTACGCTTGATTCCAAGACGTTCCCATCTGTAGCTGTGTTCGTGTACATGTATATTAATGAACGCTTTAGCGAAGTAAATTTTGCCAGTCAACAGAGAGTGCTATGTGACGGACGAGGTCTGTATTCGTAGCACAGAGACACAAACACGCAAACCACCAGTCTTACGCGTAAAACTGTGACTTTAAAAAGCGTGGGCAAGCAATGGGCGAAACGACGAATGGCAGCGGGTTCATTGCGAATTGCTTGTGACGTACTGGGAATGAATGTATTTGTTTACGAGTGCTTTAAAAAGACGTTTCCTTTTTTGCTCTTTGTACTGCTGTCTCTTCAGTTCAAATGTTGCAACCGCACTTTTTGAAATCTGCATGGGCCAGATTAAGTGAACCGAGGAATTTTTTTCACAAATAGATAAATGGCTTCATAGACATTTGTGGCTGGAATTCTTCATCTGTGTGTAAATTCCCTATACCTAGGGGTGAATTTGCCCACGCTTTTGGATTTAGTCGAGTGCTGTCTTGGCTACAGTACCCAACCGTTGTTTTGAATAGGAGCTGCCCGTGTGTTTATATGTATGTGATACGTACTATTAACGTACGATAATTTTGCACTACTGTCGGCCGTCATATAGCGCCCTCTGTTGACTGGCAAAATTTTACTACACGAACGCAGACAGTTACGTCTTGGAACCAAGCCTAGCGGCTACCCCTCGCGCGGTGTACTGAAGGCAAAAAGTGACTTAATTCGTGAGACTACTAAATGATATGCAAATCAGCTAAGCCTGGAACCTCAGCTGACCAGGCCCCAAGGGTAGCTAAATCTTTTGATATCCAATGTTTCATTTGTGCAACGTGGTTAACACTGTATTATAATCTCCAAAACAAATAAGTGGTGTTCACTGTGCGATATGTTTTGTACAAAACTGGCGGTATATAAAACGTAACAACCAAATGATAGCCCTATCTCCAGTGGTGGGGGCGTGCATCGTTTTCCTTTTGCCCCATCAGTTTGCGTTGTAAATTTTAAGTTAGTATATCCAAACTTATGAGGTGTTTACTACGAGTCGGATGATAAGATTACCTGTAGCACGTCAAACATGATCATTCGAAAAAGAAAGCTGTGATGTGATAATCCAGTGATTACGTATTTATAGCACATGTGAAGCGAAGGCTTCCAGGATATTTGAAAAAATAAATATCATTAAAACCACCTCTTTTGAAAGGCTTTTTAAACTCCAAACACCCTTTCGCCTCTGTCCATAACAGTCGATAGTTGAATAAATAATTATTCGACCTTGTATACGAAACGAACCAGACACTACATCGTCCCATTGTGGCATAGATTGGCGATAAGGGTCCACTTAAGCTTACACAAGATTATAGTTTGCGTAATGATCTCGTTACGCGCTTGAGGTGGTCGCTCTGAGTTCTCGATGATCACCAGGTCCTGTTCAAAACGACGTGCGTATGTCCGTTAGGATAGCGGCTCCTTGTCCTTTGTGACGACCAGGAAGATTTGACCAAAGAAAATTAACCGAGATGGGAGATATAGTAAACACACTGTTGTTTTTCTGCAACGGGAGAAAGGTAAAATTCTGAGCATGGAGCTCCATGAGTTATTTCTCTTTGTAAAAGAAACACTGTAATTTATAGGCACGCAAATTGCATTGTACGCGAATTATCATTTTGGTTGGTTTGTGCATGTTTGTCCCCCTTCGCTATGCAATGAATAAAAGGTAAGCTTCAAGCTTCAGTTCTTTTGCGTTTAGTGCACGCCCGTTGGAAAATGCGCATGAGCAGTCCATGTACCCACAGAAGTTTCACCCTATATAAGTTTACCCGTCGAGTGAAAAAACCAAAAACAAACCGATTTCTCTTTCGTTCTCATAGTAATCCTCAGTCGAAGTTTAGGACTACCCCCATTAAGATCGATTGTATTGCGTAGTAGAAAAAGTTATCATGACGTCATTATTGTAGTATCTTCTTAGCCAAGGGTAGTTCCTAATTGTAAGTTTGATGAAGATTAAAGATTGCTATGTGACGAAAATGTTGTCTCGAATCTGTGTACAAAGTCAATGGGAAAAAATTAAATATTAAAAACCAACAATAAATAAATCGATAATGTCATCATGCCAAATTTCTTTTAGGACCGTCCTTGGATGATGCTTTAACATTTTGCCAAGTTTGAAGTCGATCTGATTTATTGTGGTACCAAGGTCGATTGGCTGAAGAAATAGTATGAAAAGGAAGAAAATACTTTAACGAAAACAATAGTTGTCTCGGCACATTCTTGCCGAAACAGCTAATAATACAGTGCTGTCCAGTCCTCCGTGCACCTGACTTACATACCTCTGTCATTACTCTGTGACAGTAAAGCTAGTTTGATGTTGGACATTGGACATGCATGTATGTTTGCACAGCGAATGTCTCTTTTTTGAGACATTAGACTTTGGACATTTACATAAGTTAGCACAACGAACTTAATGGTAGGAAGTTAGTTAAACGCTTTCCTAGGTCGGGTATAGAATACTACAGAGGTCACTATGAACATCTTAAAAAAGAAGTAAGGTGTACATTATGTTTCTTTTGTTTGATGTTCGTAGTGGGTGGCGTATTTAAAGTTACGACCTCAGGAAGTTTTCATTTTATACACAGGTTTAATTAATGTCTTTGTCGTCATTGCCTTAAATGTACTGTTTCTGACACTCAGCGAGAATCCGCCTCGAGCAGATGTACCCCTCATCGGTCGAAAGGAGCCGTGGTCGGGAGTGTTCAATATGTTGGAAGCGATGCGACAGTGACGCGTGCATACCCTAGTCGTTCGTTAACCAGCGAAGTTCATTTCCTTACCAAAGGAGCAAGTTCGTTGCCAAGAGAAAAAGCGTCCTCTCTTGGTCCAACTCGAGGCACATAGTGATGATAGCCAAACATGCAAAAATAAAAATAAAACCCTCATGTCGTATTACATATACTTTGATTATTAATGCTAATATTTATCCGAGGTTATCTATTCACCATAGAGGGTCTTCAATAAGGCCCTTACGTGGAAACATGAAAATTGAAAACTTACAAAATAATTAATGTAAACTAACATAACACACCTCTTCAGAAAGACCTCAGTTAAATTAAAATAATTACACAGTATCCGAAAACAACATCTAAAATAAGGTTAAATTGTGAATATCTACAGCTTAAACTGGACCAGTACAAATGGGTAAGTTTGTAAGATATATTCTTTAATAATTCAGCTACTTTTATTGGAGTATATTTGGTTGTGTTAAGTAACTTTTATCAAACCTTCTTCACAGGTCGTCGATCATCGTGTTGATCCGGAAATGACGTTGTTGGTGTATCTACGCACAAAGTGTATCCTTGAAAAAAGTTATTGTTGTTTGAACAGTTTTGTGGTTTATTTAGTAGGAGTGACTTACAACACTCCTCCAATTTTTGCGTAAAATAATCAGATGAGACTACAGTACTATTGTTGCTATGAGCTACATTAATGGAGTGATATTTCAGTGTGACCCCACACGTTCTCTGTAGGGCACAATAAACGACTAGAGGCTTTATCAGATACGATATCTAGGTAGAATATCAATGGCTCGATACTTATTTGACAGCTATTATTGAGACAGGACTCTGGCTAGTCTTTTTTGCGACTTGTACGGGTTCTTTGACCAAGAGAGAAAGTGCGTTTGACTGGTAGTAAGCTAGGATGTGGGGAAGGAGGTTGTGGAGCATGCACCGTCATGGTGTCCAGGTACTCACCCACGGACAAAACTATCAGGTGAGGAAATACTAATTTTCTGCATTATTTAAAAATCAAATTAATTAATTATCGAATGACTGTATTTGACAGTCATTCGATAATTGTCGCGTGGTTTGAGGCGGTTTTTAGGTTCACTTGACTGTTTCCATGTTCACTTGTCAACCCTGATGAGTTACCGGGGTTCAGCTTGTATGGGCACACTTTTGGCTTAGCTTTGTGGAGGGTGTATAGTATAAGGATAAGGTGGTACCATTATTTTTATTACACAACAGTCTAGGGCTACGCTACGTAGGCTACTTTGCCGTGGGAAAGTAGTTTTATGGCCAGTCCTGAGAGGAGACTATAGTCTCTAAGCCTCCTTGGTTACCCTACGATATTGCGTAAAGAGATCGCGATGGGGTGCTCAGAACCTATTAATTTTAATATACACTGTAAAAACTGTGGTGTTAAATCAACACTTTGTGGTGTTATCAGATGACCACACCATAGGGTGTTACTTTGCACACCTATGATTGTTACAATGCACTGCCTGGAGGGTGTTAAAAGTAACACCAACCTTTTAACACCAGCGAAAAGTGTTGGTGTAGTCCTCTGATAACACCGGGGGTGTTAAATTTAACACCATAGTTTACACGTATGCTACTACGAAGTTTCAAGTATTATTTACGGATGGCGTACACGGTCTGTTTTGCAGCCACGTTGCCGTGAATGCTTGCCTGACCCCCATCTGTTCTGTGCACGGTATGGCCGTCACAACCGTGGAGGGCATTGGCAGTACCACTACCAGACTCCATCCGGTACAGGTAGGTGGTGTAAAAATCAGAGTAAGTAGAGAAATCTTAAGTTAGATTTGAAGCTTTGCATGGTTGAAGAGATGTGAGAAATTGGTTTGCGGGTACACCATGGAAGCAATCTCTTTTGGCCGAGGTGTGGCTCGTAAAAGGTGTGGTTCAAATCTTACTTATCTTCGCTCTACGGAGAGCCTACGGTTCGACGAGTTAGGTCCCACGAGCATACGTCCATCCGACGCTCAAAGTTCATCAATGACCCAACTTTCCTCAAACGCTGCCGAGACTCGCACATCACCCCACCAGGCCTCAAGCTCCACGATACCGTTTACAGCAACCATCCCTCCTCATCTTGCAGTCAGCCAGCTGAGCCCTCCTAAGAGAACGCATCCAACACGCAAGACGCACCCTCAGCCACCTAGACAAGGATATTGCTGCCACCGAAGCCGCCTTCAAGTCGACCCTACACCTGACAGATTCGTCAAGGTCTTGTCCTTCACCAAGTCCTCCAGCTGCCACCCGTTCACCGCTTCCCGCAACAAATAACTCCGGAAATTCCAGCGCCTTTCCCATTGGAAGATGAGATTGTCTATATCTCTATTCCAACGCCCCTAGCCCAAAGGGATGCCCTATATCCCGACGGCAAACACCACCCGGGTCCCTCCCAGCCCACCTCCGCAGCCAGAGTGAATTCCACAGACACACCGTCGTGAACCTCAGCCAACGGACCCTGTCGACCACGGGGACAGGTGTCCTGTCCCTATGCATGAACTTCGCCACCCCACCACGCGCCGTCCCCCTTGCCGACATCGTCCAAGCCACAGAACTTGCTATACGGAAGCTCGACAAGACCACAGCCGATAACATCCGAGTCAAGATCCACTAAGCACTTCTGCACGTTAAACCGGTCAAGCCCAACTTTACCAAGCCCGATGTTGAAGCCCTCCGTGATCTCCGCAGCAACAAATCCATTCACAGTATCACAGCCGACAAAGGCAACGCCAACGTGGTCATGGACTGTGCGGCTTACTCCAACAAGGTACAAGACATCCTCACATCCGGCACCTACTGCCCCATACCCAAGGACCCCACCCAAGCCATCGAGAAACGCATCCCCAGCCACCTCCTCGCCCTCCACCGTTCCAACTCCATCCTAACAGGCCTGTACCTTCGCCTCCACCCGTCGGCGTCTACCGGTCCAAGATTCTTCGATCAACCCAAGATCCACAAGCTGGACATGCGCCCCATTGTGTCTTCAAGGGCTCACCTACCTACGAGACCGCCCGTTTCCTGACATGCATTCTCCAGCCCCTAGTCGGCAATACGCCACACCACATCTCCAACTCCACCCAGTTCGTGAAGCTCACGGGAAACCTGTCACTCTAGTCCACAGACATCGTGGTGAGTTTCGACGTGGTGTCGCTATTCACCAATGTTCCCACCGAAGAAGCATGCCAGATTGCCAAGGATCAGCTGGACAGCGACCCCTCCCTCGCTGACCGCACAGCTCTCTCCTCCGCCCAGATCACCGACCTCATCTGCCTCTGCGTTTCATGCAGCTACTTCAAGTTCCAAAACCAGTTCTACGAGCATACAGCGGGAACCTCCATGGGATCCCCTATATCCCCGGTTCTAGCTAACATCTTCATGGAAGAATTTGAAACATTATCTCTCCTGACCGCCGACCTCAAACCACCATTTGGCTGCGCTATGTTGATGACACATTCGTCACAGTGGCCCCATGGTCAAGAATACCTCCAGGAATTCCTCGAGTACCTCGACTAGCAGCACCCAACTATCAAGTTCACCATGGAACAAGAACAAGACGGACACCTCTCCTTCTTAGATGCCCACCTGTCCAGAAACCCAGACGGCAGCCTCAACCACCGCAAGCCTACCCACAGCGACCAGTACCTGCACCAGAGATCTTTCCACCACCCAGCCATCAAGACCTCAGTCAACCGCACCCTCGTCCGCAGAGCCTACGGGATCTGCGACCAGAACAACCTACGCCAAGAACTCCACCACATCAAGTCCGCCCTCCAGAAGAACGGCTACCGCAACCAGCGCACCAACCTTTCAAAGCCCTCTCCGAGGACGTTAGGGTCTCCTATACCCGAAGTCCCCTCTCGCCCACGGCATTAGGGTCACCTGTACCCGAAGCCCCCCAACCCCCCACCGCCACAGTATGTCTAGCGTGCCTGGGCCCCACGTCCCACCAACCCCGCAACATCCTACAGCCTGCCAACATCAAAGTACATCATTCAGCACCCAACAAGCTGCAGGCTGCACTTCACACCTACAAGGACAAGCACCCACCAAGCAGTCGTCCCGGTGTATATCGCATTCCATATGAATGCGGCCAAGTATACGTCGGGGCAGGAGCCCCCCCCACCAGACTCCAAGAATACCGCTCCCATGGCCGACGAGGAGAACTTGACAAGTCGGCCGTCATCAAACATGCACACTCCACGGACCACCGCATCGATTGGGACAAAGCAGAACTCATTGCCCCCATCCAGAACTGGCTCCTAAGAAGAATTCGAGAAGCCATCGAGATTTTCCGGCACAACACCGGACCCCAAGACTTCGGTTTCAAGCTCAGCGACATCTGGCGCCCACTACTAGCAGCTAAACTGACACCCACTCCAGGGCAGTAGGGTCCTTATACCCGAAACACATGCCCCACTCCAGGCGTTAGGGTCTTCTCTACCCGAAGCCACCTCCCCCCTTGGCATAAGGGTCCCCTATACCGAACCCAGGGTTTCCCGCCAATTCCGTCATGCCGCAACCCCACAGGACCCAACACCTTCACGCAACAGCGCACACGCTGAGTTACACAACCTGCGAATACCATTCCACGCCCCACCGCTTCCGGATTACCTTAATAACCAAGCTATCCACTCCACTGACTCCAGTGCGGCACACTCTCCTGAGGACGGCCATAGCACACTGGCCAAGACGTCGAGTTAACACTCACCGGTTCTTTTAAGAACCACACCTCGCCAAAAAAAGATTGATTCCATGATGTACCCGCAAACTTATTTCTGATAGAGAAATCTTGTATCTCGTAAAGATCCTGACAGCATTCTTGTGTTTTAATTTAAAAAAAAAATCATTCAGGAACGCCTTGCCAAAGCCCACGGGTCTCAGTGTGGTTTCTGCACTCCCGGTATGGTCATGTCTATGTACGCTCTGCTGAGAAATCGACCACAGCCTACTATGGAAGAGATTGAAAGTGCTTTTGAGGGGAATCTGTGTCGCTGCACTGGGTATAGACCCATTCTGCAAGGCTACAAGACATTCACTAAGGTCTGCTCCGTAAAAGAGATGTATCCAGGTTTTGGGTGGGACGGGGGTAAAATGATTGTTTTTCCAAAAAGCAGTTGTCTAATTTTTCTTATCCATAAAAGAATCCTCGACCCCCCACGAAAGATCTTGGCTCCCGAGAAAGAAGAAATAACAAATATCCGAATACACGACTAATATAAAAGTAGTTTTGAAGCTGTGGTGTATTGAGGTCTTTGGTTCAGGGGGCCACTTTTTTTTTCTTATAAAAGGATCCAGGAAATGAATTTTTCTTAGAATCACTTTTTGTGTATCTCTGTACTCTTCTTCCATGTATGAAGACTGTTTGATATCTTTTTTGAGTTACGTGAACTGAGCAGTGCACTTTTTCAAAAATTAAAAATTGACCAAACATTTCTGAACAAGTGAGGGCACTTTTGCTTTGATGTAAATCCAGGAAGACATGGTTCAGGTTGCATGTATTCATTTGTATTCGTTTGTGTTAGCGTTCGCGCAAAAATTTAACCGGCTTTAACTCTTTAACCTAATTGCCTGACCTAATTTATCTTTTTATGAGTTACTAATGTTAAGTGCTCTCCGTGACCTGAAATGTTGACAAACATGTAATCAACGTTTCCTTGATTTTTACTCTTGAAGGAGGGATGCTGCGGAGGGAATAAAGCCGCGTGTTGTCGCAACATTTCAAGTGGAGTCCCTGAGGAAGGGGTAGGTACATCTATTATGATTGATCATTGATTAGTTTAAAATTAAATGACCATGTTCTTCGGAAGTTGTACATCAAGCCTTTATGAATTAGACCAATAACCCCCCTTTAGTTTGTATTCTTAGTTGCAAGTGTTTTCTGGATCTTCGGTGATTTTTAAAATCTAATCCTGGATTTACACTTTCGCTATTATTTTTTGACATCAAATGTTTTGTTTTCAAATATGTGTAGGTTTCCGTGAATATGTTCAATCCCAGCGAGTTCATGCCATATGATCCTTCGCAAGAGTTCATTTTTCCTCCAGAGTTGATGGTCAGTAATGTCATGCATGTTAATGGCTATAATATACATGTATATCAATACGGGCGATTCGCAACAGCGCCTCCGGGGGTTGCAACGCGTTGGCCAATCACAATGCCCGAAATCTGTCTGGTTCGTAAGTGACTTCGTCACAAAGGAAGACGCGCCACAATTTACAGGCTCCCATTGGACGATCGCTGAAGTTGCGCGTTAACTTTCGGTTCCATGGTTCCATCATGTAACTCTATGTGCAGTGCATGTGCAGTGGCGTGGTTTAAACTGAGGTGACGTCCCGCTTACGAACCGGGTAGAACCAATGCACGTTTGGAAAGGGTTGACAGATGATTGGCCAACGCGTCGTTAACTCTTTGAGGCGCACAGTGTGAATCGCTCATATTGTTCATCATCTTAATTCAATTTACTATGCGTATATGCAATAACTGCACAATGCTTCCTGTTGACAGAACTTCTTATCCATTTCTTTTCACATATGGAACTTGTTTTTTTAATCATTTTAATAATTCAGAAGCCCATTTTCTGATTTTCTTAGGTGAATTTGAATGAAACAACCCCGAAAATGCACAAATTTGCTGGGGATAACGTGACCTGGTTTCGTCCTGGTACATTGGAACAACTCCTTGAATTAAAGACTAATGACCGACAAGCCAAGATAGTGGCCGGCAACTCGGAAATTGGTGAGTTTAAGTGCGACTCATACTTACAAATTGCAGAGATTTTGCAGTGAATTGGTCGGTAGTATGAAACAAAAAGAGGATATTTCTCCTGAGAGGATTAAAAAAAAACAGCTATAGAAACTAATCACGACCCCTTCTAAAATGTGAAAAACCATTTCGATTGAATTGTGGGTAAAATGTCAAGGGCCTCTCCTACCGAGAGACCGTTTAACATTACTGAACTGATGCGATTTCGTTAATTCTTTTGCTCTTGTGTTTTATATGCAGGTGTTGAAGTGAAGTTCAAGAACCAATGTTACCCAGTTCTTATCGATGTCAATCATATCCTAGAGCTGACAGGCGTCGAGACCACGCCCTCTGGAGTCAGAATTGGTGCCGCTGTGTCTCTTACGTCAACCGGCAATTACTTAAAGCAAATCATACAGAAAGAACCGGGTATACGAAAAGAAAAGTAGTTAGTATAGGAATAAATCTCATTAACTAACATTAGAGCTCACCTTCAAAGCTCAAACTGTATTAACCCCCCCCCCGTTATTTTCCGTTCCCCTAAAATGGCTTCGCTTGTGGATTGAACAAACATTTCGTTTTTACTTTCCTAATGGGCAGAGCACAAGACACGCATCTTTGCCGCTATTGTAGAGATGTTGCGCTGGTTTGCTGGAAAGCAAATCCGAAACGTAGCTGTAAGTTTAAACTTGCTTTGTATCTAGGATCTCAATGTGTATTATGAGTGTCTCGATTGCACTTTGTTTGAAAGTCTTTTGATCAATTTTATGCAATGAAAATGCATCGATGTCTGATATCGATGATTGACACCGTCACTGTAGGTGTGTGAAATGTTTTCTCTACAGTGTATTGGCGGTAATATAGCAACGAGCAGTCCCATTTCGGATCTCAACCCGCTGCTTATAGCAGCCGTTTGTTCTGTCGAACTTGTATCCAGCTCAGGTGAGAAAGTTTTAGATAAAGACCAATTGGCCTTTGACATTAAGGGTACAATGATGTCAAAAACAGAACAGGTGCCATGACCTTGCATGGGATTACAACGGAAAGACATTGTGGGAGACATGACTTGCGCATTTAATTAAAATAGGCAGCACACGCTTTGCAGTAACTGAATACCCGTCCTCGGGAACTCTCTCACTCTTCTGCCTAGTCTAGGTGCCAGACGTTGTTATCGTTTGGATGTGCGATAATCCCTACACACTATCCACTAGCCGCCGAAGTCAAGTCGTGCGTGTGTATGTGGGTGGGTGCAGTTAGGAGTTTGTATGCACATTCAAATCGTGGACATACAACAATAGGGGACAATAGGGTCCACGGTTGCCGAAGAGTCCACGGTTGGAAAAAGTGTACAAAACATATGAGAGGTCTTCCGAAAAATTTTAAGTGTGAACACAAGAGGAACAATAGGAAGTCCACGATTGAAGGCGTTTACACACTTGTGTGCGTGGCTAGGCGGCTAGCGGATCGTGTGTAGGGATTATCGCTCATCCAAATGATAACGACGTCTAGCACCTAGACTATCTTCTACATTTTCTGATGTCGACAATTAAATACAGGCCAGAACGTGAAGATCTAGATCTGTCACATTATTCCATTATTTTTTCCCGTCCAGGTAAACGCACAGTGACCATGGATGGTAATTTCTTCACCGGATATAGGAAGAATGCGATCAGGGCTGAGGAAGTCATCTTGGCCATTAACGTGCCATTTACCACTGAGGTACAAGTATTCACAAATAACAAAGGATGGAGCAGATGAAGTTTCAAATTTTATTCCTTGCAACACAACGAATACACCTGTCTGTTCATAATGGCACAAGCAATATATTTGCCTACAGGCCTGCCGTCCCGGCATCATACTCCTATTTTACGGACTGCGATTGCTTTGAAGTCTTTAATGACGTTTGACTCTTCGTCTAATTGTACAAAAGACATACAAATTCTATTAAATGAAACAAAATTTTCCAAGGAAGAACATGGCTTTATAAGAACAATGTGACAGAGACCATATTTAAAACTATGCATAACCAAATGAAGTTAACCTGGCTGATTCAATACTTTTTTCCCGGATGGAGCGAACTATAGTGAAGGGTTTTGAGCATTAATGTGAGTTTAAATCCCCCCCAAGAATGAGTACTTCTACGGCTACAAGCAAGCCCAACGTCGTGAGGATGATATCGCCATCGTCAATGCTGGCATGAGGGTGGTCTTCAAGCCTGGTACTGATAAAGTACAGGACTGTACGCTGGCCTACGGTGGTATGGCGCCAACAACCATCCTGGCTAAAGAAACAATGAAGGCTATCAAAGGAAGGTGGGAAAAATTAATTCTCTATCTTTTCCTCAAACATCACGTCCATTTTATCCCAGCATTCTCACAAAGATTGTTATTTTGTCTGAGCCCCAAGCCTGCAAAGATACAGATGTAAAGATAACAATGTTGCAAATAACAAATATATTCACCTAAGCTTAGGTAAAAAAAAACCGATAAAAAATCTGTTCACAAGATCTTGGAACGACAGCCTGGTGGACGCCATGACTCCATTACTGGTCGAGGATCTACCGCTGCCACCCGGTTCTCCAGGCGGTATGGAGCCTTACAGACAGTCGCTCACCCTTAGCTTCTTCTTCAAGTTCTACTTGGCCGTCCTAGAGCAGATTAGTTCAAAACTGGTGAATAACATTTGAATAAATTTATAAAATCTGCATTGAGTGTGCAGGGCTTTGATAGTTTTTTCTCTTGCTCTATCCCGTTCATAATGTCCCCAACCCCGGCTGTATTGTTCCAGTTTATGAAAACCGAAACGTACTCCTTTCGATTTGCCTTTGATGGCACACATTTCTTCTGACAAGTTTTATGCGCTTGTACCCACTACCTTTTTACCCTACGGGGTAGTAAAGACCTAATTCCTTTGATGTGCATTGTGTACTTACGGATGATTGGATGGAACTCACTGATATTAATCAGCCCTACCTTCTCTGTGCCCTCAATAGTTACCTGTGGAATGAACTGCCCTGAATGAGGCAGTAAGCTCAAGGCATCCTCATAAATGTTGTGTGTGGGAATAATACGACCGAACGAATGTCAAATAGCGATAGTCCAACGCTTACGCATGCTAATATCATTTTTCTCTTATTTTTTATGTACCCGTAATTTGTTCAGCCTGGATTGAGAGGTTCAACTATTCCGTCTTCATATAAGTCAGCAAATCTGCCTTATCATAAAACCTCAGCACGAGGCGTTCAGATGTATCAGGTAATTCAGTTCGCTAAAATTCTACTGCAAACACCTTTTCTATGAAATTGTGTCTCTTAAAGTAAGCTTGTTCAGAAAAAAAGATGCTGCATTAAGCCGCCTTTTCATGTGCACGTGTTAAAATCGGGGCGATTTTGACTGCCAAACGCAACGCACACGTGCGTTAAGTTAAAATAATGGAGTCGATTTTTGTGTCTGTGAAAAGGGAAACACATGAACGCATCGTGTACGCAACGCACCCCAAAAACGTACATATGAAAAGGCGCCTTTGTGATTGCGGTCTTTTAGACGTTTGTCCATGTTTGAATACTTAAGAAAGATGACATGTTGACAACTTTCTCTATCGTCAATTACTGTGGGGAGTAATCAGATAAAGCCACAGGAAATATATAATACCTCTATTTTGTGAGCTGACTCCAGAAACTGTTACTCATCGGTTATAGGAGGTGCCATCGGGCCAACCAGATTCGGACGCAGTAGGTCGACCTTTGACCCACCAGTCTGCTTTCAAGCAGGTCACAGGAGAAGCTATATATCTGGATGACATGCCTCCAAATGAAAGTAACGAGTTTATGTTACATTGCACTTTTTGTGGGAACAAAATGTCAGTTGTACCATTTTGAACACAATCTGATATTACCTACCATGAAAAGCTGCCGTCTTATGTGCGAAAAACTCTCAAGAGTTTTACCGTATTATTTCTTGCTAATTCTATTATTACAACAGCACTGACTTTCTGTTTGAATACAGACCGTTTCTCTCTGTTACTTTCGGAGGCTTCTGTACATTGGTCTATGGCCTATAAAATCAAACATACTGAATAACGTTTTTCGCACTTCCCTTATGTTCAGAATATCTCGTGACAACAGAGACCCTTTCAGTAAAATAACGTGATGTTCGTCATGGTGTTTTTATTTCAAAGCTGAGCTATACCTGGGCCTTGTCCTAAGCAAGAAAGCACACGCCAACATCTTGTAAGTGTCAATCGTGATGGCAATGAGTTGATGCCCTAGCCTGCGGCTTGGGCATAAGTCGCACGTTTAAGGCCGCCAAGCCCATATTTATTCCCTTATAGAGATTTACCTAAGGTACATTAAACGGAGTTTTGACAGAATAGAGGAAAAGTCTTCAGAAAAGCATTTCATTAGCTGTTTTACAAACTCAACAGAGGGTATGTTTTTAGTATCTCAGAAAGCTCAAATAAAATATATGACGCTCCATAAATCTGAAGTTCGATCTAAAACTCAACAGGCAAAATCATATGATTTAACTTCAAAACTGAAGTTATACTGTCAGACGAGATACAGGGTTCGTCGATGTTGCCATAAGACTCTAGTTGTGGCAATATGAAACTGTAATTACTTAAAAACAACATGCCAGATTAATCCAGAATAATTACAGTTAATCGTTAAATTAGAATAAACCATTCCTCGTCAGATCCGTTGACAGCTCCGAAGCTCTTGCGGTTGACGGAGTGCACACTTACGTGAGCTCTGATGATGTACCAGGAAGTAACTTTTCAGGAACCTCAGCAGAATACGACGACGTCTTGTTTGCAGAAAAAGAGGTATGTGTTTACAGCTTGTGGAACTTGCAACTTTCTGCTCCAAAATCTTTCCTCCTGTTGACAAATCTCCTTGGCGTTTATCATCACGATTATGAATCTATTTTTTGCATCAGTCACTGATCACTTGATCAGGGAGAGGGTGGCAAAGGGGGCAAACCGCCAAGGAGAAAATTTTTTCTTTTAGTTTAGAAAAAGTCTTTATTGGGATAGTTTCACTGTCCTTCCTTCGAGAGGCATGTAAAACGCTCCTGAACGTAGCCTCAGCTATTAGAAAGGCATAAAGGGTTAGATTTAAGAAATATATAAGAAAAATTGCTTTTGGGTCGGCCCACTGTTTAACTTGATACAAAGTGAATCCCATTTCTAATATATCTCCTCCCAACTCCAGGTGATTTCTGTCGGTCAGGTAATTGGGGTGGTAGTGGCTGACAACCAGATTATCGCTCAGAGAGCTGCCAAGTTGGTCCAAGTGGAATATGAAGAGTTACCAGCGATTATTACCATAGCGGTAAGAGCAGCGTCCCCGATGAATGCATGATTTTTAACGAGGCTTTCGGGCTCTTGTCAAACACAGTCGATTACTGTGTCTTTTGACTAATACTACAGGACGCAATTGAGGAGAGCTCCTTCTACCCCGAAGGCTATCGCCTCCGGAAGGGAAATGCGGAAGAAGGTTTTGAGAGCTCTGACCACATCATCGAGGGAGAGATCAAGATCGGAGCCCAGGAGCACTTCTACCTGGAGACGATCGCCACGTTAGTCATTCCGGGAGAAGGAGGGGAGATGGAGGTCATCTCTGCCTCTCAAGCGCCATCAAGGGTACAGGTGAGACACGAACAACCTCGATCCCGTGCATGTCGGCTGTGCTGTGGGTTGACCTGTTGCAGTGGTGCCATACAGGGTGAGGGATGATGATAAAAATGTCTTGCGTGCTCAGCCTTTGTAATTTATCCTTTTCGTTAAAACCGTTTCTTCCTTTAAAAAAACAACCAAATAACATTCATTTAATCAGCTAGTCTGTTATCATATAAATTAAAAGTAAATTCCGTTGCTTCTGGTTCTGTAAGGATGACACTTTTCCTGTGTAATTTTTCTCTCATAAAGAGAAAGAATCTCAGAGAAAGTTTCTGAGGGATAAACCCCGCCACCATCCACGCATTTGATGCTCTTAGGTTTTAAGATAGATAACATGTCACTATATGGTCAGTAGACAGTTTGAAATATTCCGTTTCTTTTGCAGTGCTTGGTACAGCACCTGAGTTCAAGTGTATATATAGGCTCTGTTAAAAGCCAGCTTTTGAAGAAGCAGGTTTAAATAATAAAAATCTGACTTTGACAGAAAGACAAGGGTCTAGTATTTTGTGGATTTTTGGAGTAGACAGCAATATAAATTGGGAAGCGTTCTGTGCCTATCTGATTGCACTGTAGGGAATTTGTTTATCAGCTGGCACGGTTTGAAGACATCTTTTTTTGTGGAATTATCACTAGACAATGGTGGCCAGGGCGCTTGGCGTGGCGAAGCACCGAGTGGTATGCCGAGTGAAGCGACTTGGAGGTGGATTCGGAGGGAAGATAACCAAGTCTTCCGTGTACGCGGCTATCTGTGCCGTGGCGGCCAACAAGTATGCTGTCTAAGGCTGAGGCCGATTTCAAGGAGGCTATGAGCAGAGGGCATAATGGCCGTTTTTCTCTTAATTACGCCAATTAAGTATCAGCTTTTGGATGCATACACTCATGTGACATACCCATCACTGTATATTTTTAAATAAGCCTATTGCATTGTCAAAATTTGTTATGGTCTACTTCTTGTTAGGGTCAAGCAGCCGGTTCGTTTAATGTTGGACCGCAATGAAGACATGATGACATCAGGCACGAGACACCCGTACCTAGCCCAATACAAAGTTGGAGTAACTAGCTACGGTCAACTGAAGGCTCTTGAGATCAATATGTATTCTAACGCTGGGAGTACTTACGATTTTTCAGTCAATGTAAGAGTCAATTATGCAGATACATGTACCTTGATTTCTTTTTATAAATTCCCTCAGTTACTTTTATGCAATCTGTACATGGTCGCTTGCGATACCAAAAAGAACAGTTTGGGGCCTACTTTTTTGTCAAAATTGATTCAAAGTAATCAGGCCTGCTGTAAGGTTTTTGATGACATCATTGTTTAATGTAACTAACGTTTTCCATAAATACAATAGTTTTGATAACATCATGGTGACATTTGAGTGGTAGGCCTTTACTAAAGACGATTAATTGCATAAAATATCTTATTATCTTTGATTTTACAGGTTTTGGAAAGGACAATGTTCCATGTCGATAACTGCTACAAATGCCCCAACGTCAGCGTGAACGGTATCCTCTGCCGCACGAACCTAGCGTCCAACACAGGGTTCCGCGGGTTTGGGAGCCCACAGGCCATGCTGGTAGCGGAGACTATCATGTCAGAAATCGCCTTAAAATGCGGACTGACTCAGATTAAAGTAAGTATTGGAACCTCATGTATATGTGTGTGAGGTTTTCCCAAATTTTTGAGGATGAAGACTTGAAACTAAGGCTTACGGGCTCCGAACTGGACCAAGAGAGGGCGCACCTTTTCGAGCAACCAAGGCTCCTTTGGTAGTAACTGCACATCGCTGGTTCACCCATGACAATAAAACGTAGGCGTTGCAGCCGCATCGCTACCAACAAAATGAACACCCCCGGCCAACATGGGTCTTTAAACCGATGAGGGGGTGGTTATCTGCTCAGGGCTGATATTCAATATGAGCACAAGTCACGACAAACAAGGGTGAAAGCGAACCTCATTCACTTATAGGCTAGCAGAGCTAAGAAATTATTTTGTTCGTCCAGCAACTGTCCTAAAGGGTCTGTATAGTCTAAAAGAATGTCGTGCAAACTCACAGAAACTTAATTTTGGTACGGCCATCGCTGTTCTCTACACTGAAAGGTACGAGACATCAACTTTTACCAGGAGGGTGACTTAACGCATTATGGTCAAGAGTTAAAACACTGCACTCTAGAGCGATGTTGGGAGGAATGCCTCATGAAGAGTGACTACGACAGCAGAAGACGCGATGTGGAGCGCTATAACAGGTAATGAAGCACATTCTGATTCATGCGTCTTGGATATTCAGGTTACGAATCAAACAGTACAGGGACAAATTTTTAGGAAAAAAAAGATTCTGTGGCATTTGGTGTGCAAGATCAGTCTATGCGAAACTTAGAATTCAGAATTGGACCAGAATCCGAAGAAGTCGCAAAATGTATTACAAATATTGTGATAATTGCCATTTTACTAACACTTTTAGATCGAAATAGTTTTGAACTTAAACTGGAAGGAACCTCCACGTGTTATTAACGTCTTTTTCTTTTTCATAGCATTCTTTCATTTATCTTGGGTCGCCCACACCCATAAAAGTAACCTTCTCCCACTTCACCGATCTAGGGCCCATTCATTCCACGGTGTTTCATGTCCTCGCTGACACTGTCTTTTTGTTTGTCTTCCCCGTTTCTTTTCCCATGTACATTCGATTGCATTGCTCTTCTGAAAGGGTCCTCTTCCCCTTAAGTTTCACATTTCCAAACCACCTCCTGTCATTTCCTCCATCCCAATCTACCTCAACATTCTCAAATCTGTTTTCATTCGTTGACCGTCTGTTTCTGTAGTGCCCATCACATTTCAGCACCGTACAGGGCTAAAGGTCTCATGACAGTCTTGTACATTTTGGTCCTCAGCTCCAGTTCCACTTGAGGCTCCAGTAAACCTAACTTTATTTCTCTCTGCCTACTTCTACTGTGTCCCTCATAATCTCCTTTCTGCCTTTAGTTTTATCCTCAGTGTTTGTTGATGGAACCTGTACATTTTCGCTCCAGTCTTCCCCATGCTCTTCGTTAGCCATTATGCTCCCCAGGATCATTGTGGGTCCAACTGACTCCATGGTGCCCTGACGCTTTGATAATTTCGATGGCTATGCTGTGGATGATCCTCCTGCTTTGTGGCTCTCCTTTTCCTGATGGCTTCGTTAACTTTCTGCATTGTTACCATCTGGAGTTGTCCTTCCACTGATTTTGTTTCAATCACGGCTTCCGCATCACCCCCCTCGTCCAACTGTGTCTCAAAATAATCTTTCCACCGAACTCTAATCATTTCGTTCTCAAGTAAGACGCTCCTTTCCCTCTCCTTCGATCACTTTCATTGTTGGTATGTTTCTTCTCGCTCTCTCTCAAGGTTTTGCTTCCTCTCTGGTGCTTGTATCTCCCCATGCCACTCTTTTGTGACTAGCTCCTGTGCTTTTCCAACCGATATTCGGGATTACTAGCTACCTGGTAACCTGAATCGTTTGAACATAATTGCTCAATGTCAGATAATGAGGAATGCTGTTCTCATTATCATTAGTTTAGCTCGATTTAGTTTTGAATTAACAATGAAATGCGTATAACATAAAGAACGAAAAGCACCACTTTATTTTCAACATAACTGAATATTTGGTTGACAGTAAGAATCGATGGAGGAAGCGTGGTCTCGCGATCATACCAACAAAGTTTGGTATCTCCTTCAATCAGAACTACCGCAATCAGGTAGGCACCACTAACACGTTTTCCAGGTATACGAATTTAGGATTTCTTTCCAGTTGACAAGTGGAAGTGAAGTTTTAAATACTTACTTAAGCAGATAAATTTGTGACTGTAAAATAGATGAAATTCCTTTGTAGGCTTAAATAGCACTTCAAGTAAGTTTGTCTTCCTTCCTATAGTAGAATCCTTGTTCACGAAGATATGTGTCCTTTATTGTGGAATTATCAATTGCAATGCAGGCCGGAGCATTAGTACACATCTACAACGATGGCTCAGTCCTCGTTTCCCATGGTGGTACCGAGATGGGTCAAGGGTTACACACCAAGATGATCCAGGTGGCCAGTAGGACGCTGAGAATTCCTCAAGAGAAGATCCACATCAGTGAGACGAGCACCAGCAACGTGCCAAACACTTCCAATACAGCCGCTAGCTTCAGCTCTGACCTGAACGGCATGGCAGTCAAGGATGCCTGCGAAAGCCTCCTGCACCGTCTGGAGCCATACATTCGAGACGACCCTAAAGGCTCATGGGAGAGTTGGGTGGATGCAGCGTACAAAGACCGCGTCAGCCTGTCGTCCACTGGATTTGGCAAGGCGCGACAGGTGAACTATAACTGGGAAACATGCCAGGGGGAACCTTACGCTTACTTTGTGTACGGTGCGGCCGTCTCTGAGGTGGAAATTGACTGTCTGACTGGGGATCACCAGGTGCTGCGGACCGACATCGTCATGGACGTTGGGGACAGTCTCAACCCAGCTATCGACGTTGGACAGGTATTTAATTCGAGCAGTGAAATTGGTGACAGTGCTGAACTTTTGGGATAATGGTTGCTTAATTTTAAGCCATGTCAACGACAGCGACAATGTTAATCGTGGGAGACTTTAAAGACGCTTGGTGGTGGCAAACGTACCCACGTGACTAGTCCAATATTGTTGAGCAAGCACACATCAGCTCAAGCTTGGTGCAAACAAGAGAAAATGAACTGGTGGAATTGCCGCCATTAATCAACTCAACAGTCTTCCATTTTAGTGTGAAGGTCACAGTGGAACAAGTAACAGTGGCAACAGTGGACACGATGACAGTAATTCCAAGAATGACAGCGAGGAAAGTTTAGCAAGGACATTGTGGCTGTGGCTGTAAAATATGGCAGTCAGTGGCAACAACATTGGCACCAGAAATAATGCAACAGTTTCCCAGTTGGTTAGTTGAACTCATAGCCGTAAATTATTTGAATTACTTTCTCAGATTGAAGGTGGCTTCGTCCAAGGCTACGGACTGTTCGTCCTGGAAGACTATCGGGTCAGCCCGTCTGGTCAGCTGCTGACCATTGGTCCAGGATTCTACAAGATCCCGAGCTTTGGTGATATACCGGCTGAGTTCAATGTCAGCCTGCTGACCAGGGCGCCTAACCCATTTGCGATCTGCTCATCCAAGGTAAGTTTACGAGCCTACACGGCTATTTTCAGGCTGACACTTGGCAGTCCATTTTTCTGCCTATATACATATCTTCCATTTTTCCTAGAAGAAATAGTTCAGATCGAGTTCAAATTTTTCCCCTTAGGAATATATGCAAGTTCTACCCTGAATCCTATTTTGGCGTTGGTGTTGACGTTGACTTTTTTTTTTTAAACTTTTCAAGGCGGTTGGAGAACCCCCTTTGTTCCTTGCAGCTTCTGTCTTCTTTGCCATCAAGAATGCCATCCAATCAGCTAGGGATGATGCTGGCATCTCCAGGGCATTCCGTCTCGACAGTCCTGCCACGGCAGAGAGAATCCGCATGGCATGCCAAGACCGATTCACAAATCAGGTAAACTCCTATAATTGTTTACGGCAACAGAGACAGAATAACACCCAACGGTACAGATCGGCTGACAGATCGGCTCAGAATCTGGCAAATGCTACAATCCAAGTCCAAGAACCAAAAATTTATACCCTTTCAAATTCCTCAAAGAGAGAATAGTCCGTCAGACAAATCAAGGAACAGTTATTTTCTAATTCGTAATGCCAAGACGGAACGTAATTTTTTAAGGGTACTTAAATAACAATTTTACTTTTTTCAGATTCCTACTCCTGAGGAGGGCACATACACACCGTTTTTTCTTCGCCCTTAGCTTTGAGATGAGACAGTCCCACATAATCTGCTGTCCAAGACAGGTGCAACTAATCTCACTATGATTAAGTATTCTCTTTTCATGGAAACAGAGCAAATGATCGGGAACATTTTTCTTTTTTGATATGAGGTTTGAGCATTATCGTCGCTCAGTTATGGATTTGACAGATATGAGGTGCTGCTTAGTCACAGAGGCAATTCAAACTATAATAGCCTAAATTGTTATGTTACCCTTGATTAACCGTGGTGCATTTTGACATTTATCTAAAATGTTGACATTGTTCTAAAATTGGTAAAGCATACAAGTTTTTGCTTATTTAGTAATGTCTGTAGCTTTAATACAAAAGAAAAATCAGACTACATCTTTGAAAGTATTTGTGACTTTTGAATAATGTAAATTTTCTTGGAAAAATAATGCATCATGAATCATGTTTGTTTACTAAATAACTGAATGCAGTATAAGACTTTTACCATAGAAGCTAAATTATGGTACAATAAGTTGTACAATTAAACACGAAAAGCCTTCTCTCCATCCATGCATGACACTATTGAACTTATCTATTACAAGACTGGCCATGTCATATGAAGATTTTTCACCATATCGTCAGCTATTTGCAAGATGTTAAGAATTATGTTACATCGTTTTAGAACTAGACGGCAAGACCGAGTCTGAATAAAAAGGCAACAAATGAAGATGCTGGAATTTCTGTTGGACATTGACTCAGCCTGCGAGTAATATGCCAAAACAAGTAATATTCTCCGATTGGTGTATCTGTAGTATAAAAAGAATCTATCTAAAACGTAATGTGTTTTTCGGTAACAGTATCCGTCATGTTGTAATTTGTTTCAGAGAGGCATAAGCTGTAACCATTCTCAGCTTCAGGCGGTTGAACTGTCAAGAACTGGCGTTGTCACATTTCGACAGTACCGTAATATTAGTAAATAGACATTGTGAAAACATGGAATGAAATATAACAAAGAAGACTAAAGGTAATTAGAAATATTGACCACGTAAATTTATATTATAACATTTTTGAATATAAATTACTGAATCTGCCCATAGGTTACTGAGTAGTGATTTACAGCTTTTGAACCAAACAAAAAACTAATGCCAAAATAATTGGTCAAAATAACGCCATTTACTCAGCGAATAAAAACAGAAATCTCGTTTTTCGACTGGAATTACAAATCAAAATAAACGAAAAGCAGCAATCCTTCCACCATTATCAGTGTCCACTTGGCAGCCTTCATTTTGTTTTTGTTCATTTTTGTGACGCTAGAGGATTGTCGATTAGAGCTTCTTTTAACTAGATTTCAATTCATGCAACGGAGTTTAAACTGGATCCTTTGCGTGAACGTACGGCTTCAGGGGACATGGTTTTTCATAAACGCGCTGTTGCATGGAAGCAGGTGCACAGATATTTCTTTCTCTGTGTGTAGTTTTATCCAGGTCTTTTCTCACATCAAAGAACATCTACTTACCTTGGTTAGAAGGCATTAAGCTTACGGGGACACTGTCAGCAATGGATGCAAAGTGCTTTAATCATGAGCTGATTGGAAAATATCAGTTCCATTTTAAAGTAATTCTACTGAAACTACTTTGTTTTCAGTAACCTGACTAAGGTCATGCGAGTGCTGGCTCTAGGCCTACTATCTGGCGAGCCATATAAAACCAAGGATGTGGGAAACTTCTTTAGGGAATTTTCTGACCGGGACAGACCTGGGAACATCTAAAGGCGTGGGATGTTCCCGTTTATCTTTTCGTTCTGTATGTACTAAGTTTTTTAATTTGTTTCTTGAAGAATTTGGCCAACCCGTTCCAGCCATTCCCTTTTGGACTAGATTTATATGTTCTTGTGCATGTGGCCAGAGTATTTCTTTTCTTTTGCCGGACTGGGGTTTGAACTGTTTAAGCCCACTTCCATTGATCTATACATTTGGACTCTTGAGTGGCCGACGCGTTCCTGTACACGTCACTACGTGTACAGGAACATATGGGTCATATATTGCACCCTGTTTAAAAAAGGGAGCAACTAACCTAGTTGGCCCTAATTTAATTGAATATTGCTCATTTTGGTAATTTTTGTAGACATTTAATAAGCTTTGAAATAAATAATTAAGCCGCTAAAAGTCTTCTGCGGCGATGCACGTTAAACTTCAGTGGTTAATCTTGAATAGCTTTCCATGAGTTGAGAGTAAATTGGAACCCACAATTCATATTGGCGGGGTCCTGCAGGAATTTGTTACAATATGTACGTCTTTTTTTCACTTTCTTGAAACAAAAATACCAGACAAAATATTTTCATGATAGGATTAGGCCCATGCCAGGTGTATTTTGGGAAAAATGAACCCGTGGTATTAAACAAAGTGGGCAAAACCAGTGATATTTGACCAAAGTACTTTTCGCAAGCAATAGTTTGCTTACGCATTTGGGCACGATTTTGGAGGCCCAAAACAAACAAAGAATTCGAAGTCTACCTGAACTTTTCAAGACGGAGCTGCAAAGGAGTCAGATGTGAAGGTTTCGGATTTGTTGACAGTTTTATACGCTAGATTTATTTGTCTCCTGGACTGGACGCGTTTGCACATTACATGCACCAAAACACTAATTAAAGGTTTAATTCCTGCATTAATAGTACACTCTCTGCTCCGGGAATGGAAGACGGTGACATAAAAAGTCAGTTCTATTTGCCATCATAATTGAGAGAAAACCTACAAATTCACACATACAGAGCAGTGTAAGTGAACCCCATGTACATGTACTGTACGGAAATGGGACGACTGAGTGGGCTGCGAGATGGTCCAAAGAACCCTGCTCCATTTAGGGTTACGAACAACAGACACGGAGAAAGATTGTAAACTGACCGCACTGAGGAATTAGAAACTTAAAACTTCAGATTTTACTTGCTTTTAACAAATAACCCCCCAACACACCCACACAGGCCCCAAATAATGTAAACAAAGAGTTTATAAAAACACGAGATTAAGAGAAAACAACAGGGTTCCAGAAAAAGGTTAAGCAAACTCCTGTCTGTATAAAAACTCAAGATGGTGTGTAGTTCACACCAGGAGTCAGCCAGTGTAGCCTCAGTTTGGCAATAAAAGTGTTAAGACCAAAGATCAGGCTATTTACTACGTCAGTGGGCAGAGTATCCCATAGACGGGGGAATCTAACAAAAAGAGACTCATGAAAAGCTATAGTTCTAGAATAATGATGAATAAATTTAACATCATCAATGTGCCTAGAATTGAGATTGGTATAGCTCTCTGATTCAATGCCGAATTTGTTATAGATACATTTGGCTAGAGACACGACTGCCAAAAAGTTTAGCCTATGCATTAAGTAGGACAGACCCAGCTTGGAGCAACGGGTCGAGTACTCTATATTATCCCTGCTGGAATTTGGCAAATGATGTCTTGGTAGGCCCAAACAGGAACGAGTAAATCGCCTTCGAACTCCTTCCAGGAGAACTTGACTACCAAACTGGGACAGCATACTCAAGAATAGGTCTGACAACAGGCAATTACAGTTAACCAGTCTTCTAGTAAAACCAGACGTAACAGATTTTAATCTTTCATTCATTTAATACCTTTATATTCCCTTCTATGTGCTTGTTATGCTAAATTGTTTAAACTATCACCGAGAGAGCGTATACATTAATTGAAGGTAGACTACGTAAGCTTTGCAAGCAGCAATGAACAACTTTTGATTCCCGGTACCCCGATTGCCGGCCGCTGTAATGGCTTTATCTGTTGCCATACTGATTTATTGGTCAATGTTAATAAATATTTTTAAAATTATGATTAATAGTTGCATTACATTTTCAACAAATGGTTAATCAGACAGCGCTTACCAGTCACAGGAAAGTTAAAAAAAAATCGTCAATAATGTTGACATTGCTACCGCTGGCCTGAAAGCGTTGAATTCCGTTGTTCAGGTATATGTTTCCACTTTTCCATTTAAATGGTTTGTTAGTATTTTTTGTGTCTGGCAGTCAACACAGCAGTGGTTTTGATAGCAAGGTCAATTTTTCAAAATTTATTAATTAAGTCTGTTATATTTTGTCGTCTTAATGTAATGGCTTTAACGGAAAGAGTTAATTGTGGTTGCCTTAATTACCGTGCTCTGTTGGTGTTCTGTGCGCAGATATCACTGTTAAGGTTAAATTTGTTATACTTGTATTTCTTTATGCTGCCCTCATAAAAAGTTCCTCTGCTATTTCAAATCTACGGCAGCTTCTGATTATATCAGAAATTTGTTTGGATTAATTTATCAAAATAGTCTTTAATGCTTCGTTACTGCAACTTATTACATTTCCTTGGTATAATTTGTGTTTAATCAATGCAATACTCTTTTTTTGAAACCTTTCAGAATATTAAGTCAATCGTACTGCACATACTTATCGTTTCCTACTTAGCTGATACGAATTGCTGGGATTTTTTATTGATTATAATTATCTGGCCATACTTGGTCGTAAGATCACTTTGTATATATCTTTTTTACATGAAGTTTGTATTATTTACTCGTTAGTGATGCATTTAAGCGTTGATAACATTTTAATTGTTCAAAATAGCTCAAGATCTTACGGCCATTTTGTTCAGAATTTGCATCGACTTCGAATTAATCTTTATGTTTTCGGTGTTTGACCAATGTTCTTTGGCTTCAAAATGAAAGCCCCATTATGTATTTCAAGGTTTTCATCTATTCTGTATTGAACTTTTATTGTACCTATTTGCAAGCAGAAGGTTGAAGCACTAACTGTTTTTCATGCGGGTGAGAAAACCGAAAGAGCATGAAACAGAATAAGTATAACCACTAATGGGTCATTAGGGAGATATTCCCATAAGAATGTGCGCAACATTTTTCCAACTTTACTGTCCATAATTCAATATTCCCTAATCTGATCTAAACCAAACTTTGTATGTTTTCATTTTAGGCCCTAAACTATCATCTCTCAAAATATGGATGGTAAATTCGGCCTCTTTCTGGTAGTTTGAAAATAGGGAGACACTGAAATGTCTCCCTAAAAGGCAATGTCTCCCTAATGCTAAAAAATGTCTCACAAATGACCTATTTGTAAATATAACGTGTACGCTGTAATCTACGTTCATTGTGAGGAATACTTTGTAGGAACATAACATTATTATCCTATTGTGGCTCCACGGGATTGTATGGTGTTCTATAGCCGCCAAAATTGCGTCGCCTCGTCCCGTCGCGTCGTGGCGCCGCCACTTTTCTCATTACTTTTATGCTGAGTTTAATACATTGTGTCGTGCCGTCTTGCCGTCGCGTGGTGTTGTTTCTTGATGATGTCGCGTCGTGCCGTCCCGTCTTGCCGTCGTATCGTGCCGTCGTGTTGTGCTGTTGCGTCGTGTCGTCGTCCGTCGTATCGTGCCGTCGTGCCTGACTGTTTCTAAAAATGGTTGGTAATTACTAAGGCCAATAGAGGGCGTATGTCTCAAGCCCTGGATAGGGTTACACTCATTGGTCTCCATTATAAAGACTTGATAAGATATTGCGTCCAAAACGCGTCCCGCGTGTGCATATTTTCAGGAGGGTAAATAACAAGCGTTGCAAATTTTATTGCATGTACTTCCAAACGGAGATTTCAAAACTGCTGGTTAAGATTATTGTACTTCAGTCGTCGGATTACGAAGAAATAAAACCAGAATTCTGCCCCCGGAATGGAAAAATTTGGAAAAAATAATGGTTGAGGTGTGCGCAGCAGAGAATTGCCAGTGATCGATGGTAAAATCAAGTTTAGAATAAGAAGCAGCTTTTGACATGTGAGTCGCACATTCAGAAGGTTTCTGCACGTCTTGTGCTATAATGTCTTGGACCGTTTGAAATATTATTTATCGGCAAAAGTGGTTTTAAAAACTGAATGATTAAAGGGCGACGGCACGATGCGACTACAGGACGAGACGGCTGAAGGCCACGACGCAACAGGTCGAGGGCACGACGCGACGGGTTGACGACACGATGCGACTGGTCGACGGCAAGACGCGACGATTCGACACGACGGCAGGACAGCAGGACACGATGCAACGACGCGACTGCACGAAGCGACAGTACGACGCTACGTCACGACGGCTCGACGTAATGCATTATAAGCGGCATAAAAGTAATGAGAAAGGAGGCGACGCCACGACGCAACGGCACGACGCGACAGAGCTGTCATAGCGTCGCGTCGTGACGTCGGGGCGACGGGACGACGTGACGCACATTTGGCGACTTTAGAACACCATAGGATTGGGCGATAAGGATCTACTCTAGCATACACAGGGTATAGTGTTGCGTACTCACCTCTTGTCCTTTTCGATAATCACCAGATCCTGTTTGAAACTACATACGTATGTCCGTCAGGCTAGCGGCTCCTTGTTTTGTGACTAGTACCAGGACGCAAATTAACTGAGATGGAAGATATAGTAACTACATTGTTGTTTTTCTGCAACGGGAAAAAGGTAAAATTCTGAGCATGGAGCTCATGATATGAGTTATTCTGTTTGTAATATGAACCTAAACTATACGCACGCAAATTGCATGGTACGCGAAAATCATTTTGGTTGCATTGGTTTGTGCACTATCCCCCCTCAGCTTGAAATCTTGAAATGAATACAAACTATGCCCAAAGCTTCAGTTCATTTGCGTTTAGAGCACGCCCTTGAAAAAATGCGCATGTGCAATTCATACCCACAGAAGCTTCACCCGAAGCATTCGCCGCTGCGTTCCACCATTTACCTTGTTTCCATATACTGTAAGACCGCGGGGGTGGGGGATACATTTGGAAATAAGTTGCGGCGTCTAAACACATCACTTGTTTTTGCTTCACCAACAGAATCAAAATCGCAGACTACATACTTTTCTCATCAAAGAACCTATATTCGAATTCTTTGCTAAAAGCTTGAAAGGGTCTCCTTGTTGTGATCATAATATTTCCAAATAGGTCACTTGGGAGACATTTTGTGGTAAATTTTTCAACATTAGGGAGACATTGGTCATTAGAGAGACATTTCAATGTCTCCCTAATGCTCCAACTACCAAAAGGAGGAAAATTTTTAAAGTCCACATTTTGCGAGATGATAGATTAGGGTCTAAAAGGAAAACATGTAAAATTTGGTTAAGATCGGATTAGGGAATATTCGATTATGGGACGGTAAAGTCTGACAAATTTTGTGCATGTTCCTATGGGACTGTCTCCCAAGTGACCCATTATTATCAATAACATCACATTTACAAATATGTCATTTGGGAGCCATTCTGTGGTAAATTTCTCAGCATTAGGGAGACATTGGCTTTTAGGGAGACATTTCAGTGTCTCCCTAATGAGGCCAAATTATACGGTCCCAATTTTGAGAGATGATACATTAGGGTCTAAAATGAAAACATGCAAAATTTGGTTAAGATCGGATTAGGGAATATTCGATTATGGGTCGGTAAAGTCTGACAAATTTTGTGCATGTTCCTATGGGAATGTCTCCCAAGTGACCCATTATTATCAATAACATCATATTTACAAATATGTCATTTGGGAGCCATTTTGTGGTAAATTTCTCAGCATTAGGGAGACATTGACTTTTAGGGAGACATTTCAGTGTCTCCCTAATGAGGCCGAATTTTCGGTCCAAATTTGAGAGATGACACATTAGGGTCTAAAATGAAAACATACAAAGTTTGGTTTAGATCAGATTAGGGAATATTGAGTTATGAGACAGTAAAGTTGGAAAAATTTTGTGCACGTTCTTATGGGAATGTCTCCCTAATGACCCATTAGCGGTATTTATTATATATTATTAGTAGTATTATAAGATAGAGGTGATGTGATTGCTTAATAGAAATATCATTGGCAGGGAGCAATCAAAGTTTACCCCGTCGAGTGACAAAGTTACATAACATCAAACCCATTGACAAGAACAATACAGTGCTGTCCAATCCGCCATGCAACTGACTTCCATAGCACTACAGTGTCATTACTATGTGACAGTAAAGTTCGATTGATGTTTGACATTAAGCATTGTGTGTGTCTAATTTTGAAGAACATTGAACATTTACATAGGTTTGTTCAGCGTAGTATGTGGAAGGAAGTTACTTATTAACCATAACAGTCCAAAATCCTCCAATTTCGATATGAGTTTACCTACCCTCTTGCGGGGTCAGGGTTAAACGCTTTCCTAGGTCGGGTGTAGAATACTACAGAGGTCACTAGGAACATCTTTAAAAAGAAGTAAGGTGTGCACTGTGTTTCTTTTGTTTGATGTTCGTAGTGGGTGGCGTATTTCAAGTTAGGGCCTTGGGAAGGTTTCATTTTATGCACAGATTTAATTAGTGTCTTTGTCGCCATTGCCGTGAATAACCGTTTCTGGCACTCAGCGAGAATCTGCTTCGAGCAGCAGTGTTGGTCGGGAGTGTTCAATAATTTGTTGGTAGCGTTTCGACCGTGACGCGTGCCGTATCCTAACCAAACATGCAACAAAAATAACCATCACAAAGCGATAAAGCTGAAAGGAACTTTCCTGTCTTTTATTATTGTTTCTAATATTTATCCAGGGTAAGCCTATTCACCATACGGCAATCTTCAAGACGGCCCTTCTGTTCAAACATAAATTGAAAATTTACAAAATAATGTAATCTAGACCAAAAAATCACAAACCTCATTAGAGAAACCCTCAAGTAAAATAATTACACAGAAATCAATAGCAATGAAGTTATATAGTGAATATCTCTAGCTTAAACTGGGCCAATACAAATAGTAAAACTTGTGAGATATTCTTTCATAATTCAGCTGCATGTACTTTCACTGTAGTATATTTGGTTGTGTTAAATAACTTTTATCAAACCTTCTTTATAGGTCGTCGATCATCATGTTGATCCTGAAATGACGTTGTTGGTGTATCTACGCACAAAGTGTATCCTTGAAAAAGTTACTTGTTCGTACAGTTCTAAGGTTTATTTAGTAGCAGGTATTAATTATCTGTGGGTAAACATGCAATTAAAAAAGGTAAGATTAATTGAGGTTCTTCCTGAATAATCCTTTTCCTGTACTCTTTTTTGGCCAATCGTGTTTCCCTCTAACTCGACTTAAACACTTCCTTAATTTTTGTGTAAATCAATCAGTGCTAGTTGCCATGACCCCACACGTTCTCTATAGGAGACAGTAGACTTTATCAGATACGACAGTTAGCTAGAAAAGTGGAACATCAATTGCTAGATACTTATTTGACCATTGAGACAGGACCCTGGCTGGCCTTTTTTGCGACTTGTACGGTTTCTTTGACCCAGAGAGAAAAGTGCGTTTGACTGGCAGTAAGCTAGGATGCGGGGAAGGAGGTTGTGGGGCATGTACCGTCATGGTGTCCAAGTACTCACCCAAAGACAAAACTATCAGGTGAGAGAATGCTTGGGTTATTACTCGCATTATTAAAAACACCAACTTCATTCAGTGTCTTTGTGACGTGGTTGAACGGTTTTCATGTTTACTTGTCTATAGTATGCTGATGAGTGACCAGGGTTCAGCTTGTATGGGCAGTCGTTGGGCACAACTCCTCTGGAGGGTGGTTGCATCGGTTTGGTTATAGTGTAAGGATAGAAGGCCAATATTAGTTTTATTACACGGCAGTTTGGGAATACACCATGGAAAGTAGTTTTGTGGCCAGTCTTGAGAGGAAACTAGTCTCTAAGCCTCCTCGGTTACCTGAGGTTGTTGTGTAAAAAGTCGGGATGGGATGTTCAAAGTTATACGCTACTGTGCGCCAAGTTTCAATTATTATTTTACGAATGACGTACGTGGTCTGGTTTGCAGCCATCTTGCTGTGAATGCTTGCCTCACCCCCATCTGTTCCGTGCACGGGATGGCAGTCACAACCGTGGAAGGCGTTGGTAGCACCACCACCAGACTCCATCCAGTACAGGTATGTATAAAAGAAACTTGTGAACCACTACGTAGCATCTTCAAAAGTAAAATGGAGAAGGACAGAGGGAAAATTAAGCAGATTTATGATTAGTGTTTGTCAATCAAAAGCACTGATAACCTGATATCGTGATTGGAGTAGTAGTAAGCGTAGGATAGCTCTGGACCAGCCCCAACCTCCTATACCTCATCGACCCCCCTTCCCCGGGACTTCCCCCACTCTTCAGACCAACTCCATAATCTCCCGGGCCTCTTCTGAACCTCGGGGTCACGCCCAACCCCGGGACTTCCCCCAGTCCCGGGGAATAGATCACCCGACAACGACGTCTCACAAAAGCGGGCCCAAAACCGAAAATACTGAAAAAAATTCTCAAGATTTCTCTAAAAATCAAATGGATCCAACTTTTGCCACTAAATTTGAATACGCTAAATCAGTTGCCTCTCAAACATTATGGTTAACCGCAAACGGTTACGAAACAAAACGCAATATAATAGAGCAAGCAAAGCTGGACGTGCAAAACCAAAAGCATCACATTTGCTTGGTGAGACAGACCAAAGACAGAAATAAAGTTTATAAACCAAAGGAAATATTTATTCCCGATGATTTACTTACCGCTTAAAATTGCAAAATATTTAAAATCGTTAAATAGAAACCAGACATGTCAAATCGAAAAACCAACGTCAATTGTTTCTTTTGCAAAGACACGGTCGAATCGGTTTATTAGGTAGATGCGGCAGATGGTATGCACTGTTTAAATTCTGACGGTTTATTTAAATGCATCGACTGCAACGAATGCCACGACTATCACACATGTCACGACTGCAGGAAATGTACCCAGTGCTCTACTTTTGACGAGTGCAGCGAATGTATAAATTGTGTATTTTGTTTTAGTTCTTACAACTGCGAAGCGTGTTTCGTGTGCAGCAATTGTATAGAATGTTTTGGTTGTGTTGATTGCGTCTGCTGCGTAAATTGCGTCGAATTAGAAGGAATGGATCACGTTGTATTTGTGGATGGCCGGCACAATAAGATCAGAAACCAACGAGAGGACGACTTACCGACTAGTGCCGGATCTAAACTGGATCCCGATTTATATGAAATTGGGTTAATAATTGAATACGACGTTAACATTGAAGATTTAATTAGAGTAGATATTCCACCAGAAGATTTAATAGACTCGGCCGATTAATCCCTTCCAAGAAAAAATGAGAAAAAATTTCCCACTAAATACAAAATCAGAATCATGTCAACACAAATTTGCATCGTAACCGACGACCACAAGCGTCTCAATGCCAACAACAGTGAACCCAATGTCATATACGGTCCTTTTATATGTAAACTTAAATCAACCATTTTTACACCGCCACGATCGCCGTCATGAATCATCTGATTCCTTGCGATTCTATCGACCCCCCTCCAAATAGATTTATACAGCATACCGTTTAGATTTTTAATTGGGTCTGGGGGTGGGTCTGGGAGAGACAAGATCAAAAAAGTGAACTTAGATAAAATGAGAGACTTAACTATTGTGACTCGACCCAGAACCGTAAGGTTTCTCTTGGACCAGTGATCTACTAAAGGGGCAGTAGCATCTAACACTTTATCATAGTTCACCGAAATCATTTCATCAAGATTGACTATAAAATCAATACCCAAGGCTCTAAAACTGTCCTCAGGGCCAACCAAATGAACATTAATATCCTCAAAGAGGCGTTTCTGACGCCCCTTGTTACCACTAATCCACACGGCATAAGTTTTGTCAATGTTCACTCTGAGACCAGACATATTACCGAAATCGCCCAAGATCTGAAAAGCTCCCTCAAAAGACTGTTCTGAACCATCTAAAAAGATCTCAAAAGATCCTTCGAAAGACTATTCTGAACCATCTAAAAAGAACCCATTATCATCAGCATACTGAGAAATTCTGTACTCTTTGTTCTCGACTAAAATACCCTTGAAAACGTTGCCGTTGCGGACAAGCATGCCCATAATTTCGGTGCACAAAAAAGGAACAAATAAGGACTCAAACCATCTCCTTGACGACAACCCCGCTCAATTTTAAACGATTCTGATAGAAAACCGTTTACTAACACCGAGGCGGTCTTACCACCGCAAAGTACTTTTAACCATTTCTGAATAGAGGGACCTAAGTTAAAAAGATCCAAACCTTCAGTCATAAATTCATGAGAAACTGAGTCAAAAGCTTTCTCAAAACCAATTAACAAAAACAGACCGGGAATACTATTAATATTCGTATAATTGAGCCAGTCACACATCAGGTGAATATTTTCCCCAATGTGGCGTCCCTTCAAAAAACCTCTCTGGTTTTCATGGATAATTGCAGAGAGGCTAGTTTTTAGCCTCTCTGAAATACAACCAGAAGCTAATTTATACGAGGTATTAAATAAAGAAATTGGTCTCCAATTTTTAAAAAAAATGGCGTGGTTTATCCCCTTTAGGAAGCAAAGTAATAATACCGAGCTGTTGAGTTACAGAAAGGTTACCAGTATCATACCCGAAATTGAAAGACCGCAAAAGAAACCGTAATAAATCAGAGAAGAAAAATTCGTAGAATTCAAAAGTAAATCCATCTGAACCTGGAGACTTGCCGTTTGTTTTCTTCATGAGTCAGCGGTCTGCACAATTTATAATGCCATTTATGTTTACCATGCTCGCATTTACAGCACTCACGAGACATTTTATTTAATTCATTACATCGTATACATTTAACGCATAATTCGACATTGTCTTTAATTTTAAACGAATCCAAATATCTTTCCTTTCGGTATCTGTTGCTAATTCTGGTCTCCATCTTCAAATTTTGGTAATATTTGAATATATTGATCAATTTTATTGAAGACAACGGTTTGGTATTTAAAATCAACTTGCTAAATTTAACATCCCGCAAATGTTTTTTTATGGATTCCCTTTCGCAGTCGGGACAGCATCATTCTCTTCCAAACATTGTTCAAAACTGTTTCGATCTTTGCGATAAAATATCGCAGTCCAGGCAATATTTTCTCTGTAATCTTTCAGCAGCGAGTTGTATTTTTTTGAGTTAATAGCCAACAACTGTGTAAGTCGTGCCTGCCAGTGAACGCCATTTGGCTTAATGTACATGTGTTGCTGCCTCTTGATCTCTTGCGATATTTAATAAATTGATCACACGCGCAATCATCCACGTGTATTTACGCCGTCAAAAGCTTTTTGGTACAAGTTGATCACTTCATTCAAGTCTAACTTTTATCGATCTAAATCTCACAAATAAACATTTTCGTCTGTAAATATCTACAACATTTTTAAATAAGTCTTGTTTTCAAACAACGTCGGACAAATTATTAACATCGCTTCAAACGCGAACCTTAGTTTTTAATAAAATTGCCTGTTTCCACCGTCAACAGCGCGTCCATTACCAAAAACACATACATCATCAACGGCCCGGCGGTTTCTGCCTCGTGTTCCATTTGAATCGATATGTCACCACCTCCGCCCAATGGCCGCCCCAATCCGTGTGCCGAATTGTCATCAGAGCTTCTGAAATCGAGCCACAAACCGTATTTATCTTTCAAATAACCACCCATGTCAACGCCTGTCAGATTTAACTCTTTGACGACCGCTCGACCCGATTCCGTTTCCAAATCGCCATGGTACTCGGAATTTCGGTAAAATGCTGGTACTCAAGTAATCCCTGTGAATATAGCTGATTCGGTTTACCCTCGACCGCTATGCTAGTTTTCGTGATATGTGGATTATAAAATCGTTGTAGGTTATTTACGGTTGGATCTTTAAACAAGATCAAAAGACCTTTCAAGCTTTTAATCTTCTGATCTATGCTGATGTTCAACCGCGTCCCGATTTATTAACGGTCTGTTTCTTCCACGAATGATTCCGGTCGAATAAGTTGTACACGGGACCTTTATGTTTTTGTCGTAAAATTTCTGCCAAATCGCGATTGGTGACGACTTCATACTCTAACGTCAAGTCTGAAATGCTGTACTCTGCGGACGTGTCTGTACTTTTTACCACCTTGTCGTGTGAATTAAAAGTCAACTGATACGTAAGAGGCTCTTTGAAACCCGATGAACCGTCAATAGCGATACGTCCAATGCAATCGCGTATCTGTTCTTGTAAGCGTCGGCGATCGCTTTGTCTTTGCCATCGTTGGCCCCTGCACTGCCGTCGGCTGCTCCCAGTCGCAACTTTGTCACGTTTTCGCGTTCCAACCCAAAATAGGCCATGTTTTCCGTCTGTGTCAAGGGCAGCCAATTGTCTTTAAAATGGTGAAATACACCCGCGTCTCGGTAACTCACGATCTTGTTACCCTGTAAACTTACGTTAGGTTCCGAGCGCCAATTTTGCGGTACCGGGCACCACCACGTCGTCCATCCCCAATGCTGGAAATTTGACATTTACAGTATGACCAGCAGCGATTTTACTGGGATTGTGCGCAATTTATATTTTACTTCCAGATTACAAACAAGAAATACAACGCAATTAACGATACAGCTGCCGCAAAAAATAAATCTTCATATTTGCCCAATAAATCGCGATTGTGGAAAGTTTTGTGCCTCATTTCTGCAAGCACTTCTTGGATCTCTAAAAGTATGTCAGAGTTGTGATTCACGTCGGCACGCATGTCGCCAAGCATGCTCTCTATATTTGTCTGATCCGTTTGAATTTGTTCCTACTGCTCTTTAACTTCAATCAACTTGTCTTTAACTTCTTGATCCATGTTTTAATATATGTATTTTAAAATGGCGAATGCTTTAATGATGGTTGGAGGAGCTATAGTAAATGCATTGGCATTTACAAGCTCCAATTTTTTGTTTAACAGTATAAGTCAAAAACGAGTGGACGGAGAGCGAAAGAGACATGATTTAGCCTAGGAGCAATTGCCGCAAGCGAATCAAGTCTGAGAAACTCGGCGAGTTCACATGTTGGACTTTTTTAAACGAACGAATGAGGCAAGAACGCGCGAGTCAACAGACCTTTGTCAATGTCGAAGAAGCGTTGCGTGCTTATGCGGAGTTGACCGGTGAAAGCGTGACGCCGTTGCCGCCGGAGCCCAAGTTGTCGGACTTTTACGTGCCTTCGGAAGATCGAAAGGTTCGCGAGTTGGTGTGGATCTTGGGAGGGACTGCGTTGGTCGGTTTTTTGGCTTACCAGTTTAGTTAACTTTAGCTAGGTTTTGCTCAAGTTTAGTTAATTTTATTTTAAATGGATAAATCAAAGCACAAAGGAAAGGACAAAGAATTTTCAAAGTTGTCTTACAGCCTAGGAGGCTACTGGAAAGGTGAAAGTGCCGTGAATCACGGGGGCAGACAAGTCGGTTACTAGAAACTGTTTAAGAAAGCAACCCGCCTGGCAAATCTATTTACCCGCCCCCGGTACATACCCAGGCCAACGACGTTGCAGTCTGAATCTGCAGTACCAAATGAGGCGCACCAATTGGATATATTATACTTACCCTAGGACCGCGCAAACCGTAAAACCTAAATACGCTTTAACCGTAGTTGACGTGGCTGCCAGATATAAAGAGGCCGAGCCGTTGACGAGTAAAACTTCTTTTGCCTTTTTCAAATTCTGTTCTTGCGTTAAAATGGAGTACATTTTCGGGCGTATGCAAACGGCTTCGGAAATAACTTGGCTGCCAAATTCGTCTTTCATTTTGCCCATGCCTTTTTTGTTTTTCGGATCGTAAAGTCGATGATCCGTAGGGCAATTGCTCAAATCGACTAACCCACGCTTTTTACGTAAGTAACCGTTTAAACCGTCGGTTTTAATCTGAACGAGTAAGCTGTCGGTGTCAGTGTATAATAAACATCCGATTCAAAGTCTGCTTTCAACTCGTAATAAAAGTCGTACATTAATGTTTTAGATAAGTCTAGCACGCTTACGCCGCAGTAAATTGGCTTATTCAACTTTGTTTTTGTGCAGTACATTTCAATAAACGAGAGATCGCACTTTTTAAACGGCGTCGTTGTTTAATAGTGTGGTTTAAAGTTAGTTTCTTGCACCTTTTGGCGTCTTGAAAATCTCTCAGCAAATGCCTGTCAATGCGGTATCTCACATTTTCCATCGTCTTGCCAAATACCTAATTGTTCGTCAATTTTAAAAAGTCCTTTTCGAAATCAGACTTGGCCACTTTTCGCAACTCGGTGATTTGTCGATGTAACGTTTCCTCCAAGGTGCTTGTCTATGGAAGTAACCCTTTCTTCGCTCGATAGCAAATCATTTTGGTAGGCCGACAGCCATTTGTTGGGAACCGAAATGTTTTCGGGTGCCAGGGGAAAGTCGTTGTGTAATTCGTGCAACCGCTGCGGGTACCGCTGTCCAAGGTGATTTCGAGCATATAGCCTTTCGAAGCTTTTGGTGAAAGTTTCGCAATGTACTCGGGAGAAAACTTGGTCTGACTGGAACTTTGTGACGGGTATTTAAACGGCTGACTCATGGCCCAACCAAATAGGCTATTTGCATCCAGATACATGATATAAGACGTCTGAATGTCTGGGTTATAGTCGGTTAAAGAAAGATTATTGGCTCTGGCAACACGCTTTGCCCCGATGCCGCCTCTTTTGGCTCTTTCGAAAAACAGGTGCTTGTCGATGTTTGTTAATAATTTAAGTTGAACTTCAGACTGTTTCAAAAGCCGCCCCACGACAGCCCCGGTGACGTGTAATAATTGGCCGGGTCTAAACCGTAATTTGTTTTGCAGACCTTTCGAAAGTTTTCAAATACGCAGGCCAACAACAGCTTGCCCGTTTCGACATAGAGTTCGTGGTAGTCTCAGTTGAACGTTTGCCACACATTTTGGGCTCGGAAATGTTCTTCTTTGCTTACGGTCTGCTGCTTCAATGAGCTATAAAAAGCGTCTAGAGGTAGTCGGTCGATTTCTTCGAATCGGCTAAAGGAGTCTATGTATTCGTAAGGGTAAATGCCCTTTTCTAAAAGCAGGTCCGTATATATTGTTTCGAAAATCTCTCGCAGAGCAGGTTAAAATCTTCTGAGAACAATTTTTAATACCTTTGAACGCGCGAGCACCTCGTATAATTAAATGCTCGTCGTATTTTTCCAAGTTGTGTAAGATCACCGGGACCGGCGTTTGATTGGGCACTACTCGGAGTTTCAGATTGCAATGGGCAGTTGCATGGCTCCGGTACTTACCCGTCACGTGGCAGTGATCGCAGACTTTTCTAAACTTGTTGATGGGCTTTTCGCAACTAATGCAAATGTAGTCGCTGAAACCGCGGTCGTTTAAGGAACTAAAGGCCGGCTTTTTGCTTTTAGTTTTTGGTTCTGTTGGGATGGGACATTGACACTGTGGCTCTCTCGTTGGATAGATAGGTTCGTCGCAGATCTAGCAGACGTTGCATTTGTCGTGGCGTTTTTGCAACTCGTGCGACAAAGCGATGTGTTTTGGATCGGCAAATGTTTTGTTGAGAATATGTTGGCCCTTTATAGGTAATTCGACTTTGCAAGGCGCCGTGTCCATTCCTTGGCAATCTTCTTGGTGTTGGCCGAGTCGTCGTTCAGTTTGAAAGTGGGATAGGCAATTAAAACACCGATAAGATTTACCGTCGTAATTGTTGACGTCACCCATAAACCAGCAGTAATGACTCGTTTCACCTCGGTTAAAATAAAGTAAATTGATCGGTTCGCCAATCTGTTTAGTTTTGTGGAGTACATAGACACCCACCTTACTCGTGTAACCGAATACGTTAATTGCCACATTGTTTTGTGATGGGTCGTGGAATTTGTGATGGGTTGTGGGAAAGTCCACTTTTGCAAAATTTAAGCCGTCGTCTGTAGTGTACGTCGAGGTGCGTTCCTCGTGCATTTTATAATCTGGATTGATTTCGAGTTGATTTTTGACGTTGTCTGAATATAATTTTAAAGCAGCTCTCAACGCCCAGCAAATGCACTGTTGGTCTTGTTCGTTTTGGACGTTAATGATCGCTTTCTTGTCTTTCAGTTTTTTAGGCAATGAAATGTAAGTTGCTCCTACCGGATTATATTTCACACGTTGATGTAAAACGTGACGACTTTGTAAAATACCCAACCCGTTCTGTTCTTGAGCTTCGACGTCTTCGAAATGTTTGTTATTTGTTGATTTAACGCGTTTTTGACTTGTTTATAAATGACCGTGTTGTTGTTACTCGTAAACGTGAAAACACCGAGTTTAGTTTCAACTCCGGAAATTTCCATTTTGAACTTGACCTTGATTTGCCGTCTGCAACTTGAAAGAACCAATCTCTTTAAACTCGGTTCGCTTTTTCTTCTTTGTACTTTTTGTAAAAATCGAAAGTGTATCAAGTCGTCGGCAAAGAAAGTAGGCGTCAGTTCCCAGTTTCGGTAGTTGCCATTAAATCTTATTATTCTTCGGATGTTGACCTCCTCAATCGCTTCTGGTTTAATGTGTGATTTAATCTCGATGATGAGGTCTTTTCGCAATACTTTGCCTTTTGCGCCAGTGGCCGTAAATGGTATGTTGTTGTCTTGGGCTATATGTAAGAGCTGACGATACGACTGTCTCGTGAGATTTTTAAATTGTTGTTCGCTAGCTTGAATCTCTCGTATGAGTTCAGGTTTTCGTGTGACTTTTTTTACGAGGTGGCGGTAATGATATCTTATGTTGTTTGACAAAGTCGGATAAAAATGATTTTTTTAAATAGGTTAAAATCCCGATAAAACAGGGCGACGTTGCGGTTTTGGTGGGGTATTCATGGTTTAATTTGTATATAGGTACTCATAAATTTAATTTCAATATTATTGAAGCCTCATTCTTCCGATTTGGGAGAATGGGTTTTTTGTTTTCGGTTTTGGGCCCCCTTTTGTGAGACGTTGTACGTCATAAAATCTATGATACAATGAAACTGCAAAAAAAGGTTTATTTTCTCATACATACCCCCATGCACAAGTTGCCTTCTCGAGTGCATGTGTCTTTTATCCTGCAGGAGCGCCTTGCCAAAGCCCACGGCTCACAGTGTGGTTTCTGCACTCCCGGTATGGTGATGTCTATGTACACCCTGCTAAGGAACCGACCACAGCCTACTATGGAGGAGATTGAGAGCACCTTGGAGGGGAATTTATGTCGCTGCACGGGGTACAGACCCATTCTGCAAGGCTACAAGACATTCACCAAAGTAGGTCTGGTCCTTGCCATATTTGTTCTTGGATTTCAGTATAAACAATTTCTTGTTCTAATGAGCTGTCCTCATTGCTTTTTGTTTTATATAACAGCAACTTATATCAGGCCCTTATATGCCTCTCAATAAGGGTCAAAATATATTTATTTGCGCTGATTCAATGGCATGAACGGGGATGAAAGCCACCCAAAACTTGTCACAAAGAGTGATCAAACCTTGCCTTAATCAATGTAGACATTTCTTCAGTCGACATTAAGAATTATGAGCAATTCACTCCACTATGCACAACTTAGTAAGGTGATCACGACGGCAAAATGGCTAACATTGTCCGTATATTGCGTGGTGTCTGTCATGCATCCAGACTGGCGGGCGATAAACCCCGTGGCACGGCAGGAAATTTTGTGGGAACACGCTCGCTTCAACACTGCGACAGCCAAAGACACAAAATAACAGAAGTTTCTTTTCAAAAGTTGCAAATGTATGTAGGAAAACCGTATACAAGCGTTTTAAAGTTTGTTCATAGGTGTTCTGTGAAGACAGAAAAGACAATAGGGTTTATTTTTCATCTTTTCAATTTTGTTTTCTGACCTGCCGATAAAAATGATAGGGTCGCGCCGGAAAATCAGGATCAGTCGGGAAATCGGAGTCAGAAGTGTTTTTTTGGGGGGAGGGGCTAACAGTTGAGTGGCGTTTTGTGAGGAAAATTTATGATAATTTCACAATCCACTTCATTTCTAAAAAGATGACAAGATATTATTAAAGGAACAAGAATTAATTAGCCCAAATTTTAAAACAAAATGAAGGGGTATGAAGTTTGTCTGGGAGAGTCAAAAGACAATACAGTGCTTAAGGATTACCTCTGCTGACCATAGACTGAGATGCAATTGGGTCTAAACCATTGAAAGTTCCCAAGTTCTCAACCTAAAACCTGAATTCCCTCCGTAAACTTGAAAAGCCAATTAAGATGCTTCTTTAATCCTTTGGAGTGCTTGAGTTGTCCCTTTAACAGGCTCTGATTCAGACAAAAATTAGGATTTTTATTACCTCTGAATCATATTTGTCATTTAGTGAGCCATTGTGACTGCAGTACAAGGCAAGACCCTGATTTGGCATTGTTGGGTTTTACAGGATGAATGCTGTGGAGGGAATAACGCTACCTGCTGTATGAACGGGTCCAGTGATATCAAGGAACTCGAGGAAGGGGTAAAGCACTAATATTCTGAAGTATTAATGGGCTATCTTTCAGAAATAAGCTGTGCTTGTTGGCAACATATCAGTCGACACGTTTTTGGCTAGTTGAGTCTCGCTGCGACGATATTTAGACAATCGCTACCAATCAACACTAAGAAGAAAAGTCAACAGTAGCAAGGGTAGAAAAAAAAATCGACTTCTGCGACATGCTCCTGACGTGCATGAATCAACAGCAGTTGGTCTGATTGAATTGGCGATTAATTTGTTTCGAGATGTCACTTGTTCCGCGATCCTTTAGTGGTTGACTTACGGGGCAAGAGAATCTCATGTTAATCCAAGAGGGGCGGCTTTAAATGCTGTGAAACGTATTTGCTGAGGCTCTGCAATTTTTTTCACTGAGATCGTTTCAAAGAGCTTCCGGGCCTGGTGTGTATCGCCCCTCAAATGGTGTGGATCAAGTTTAGAAGCCCAAGCCCGTTCTTTAATTTTGCATCCACTTACTCCATGCATTTGCGTTTATTCTGATGGTTCCCCTCCTAACGTCTAGCTCATACTTGCCAGAATATTAGAGTCGGGCCAACAGGTTTTTTGTGTATATTGAAATCATCGTATCCAAGTGTTACTTTAAACCCCGTTTCAGCCGATATAGTAACGGGGAACCAGTTTATTCAAGGTTATTCAAGGAAGTGGTGACCTTTAGATAGGTCAAGGCCGGTCTGAATGTAAAGCTGTCTAGCTATGGCTTGAGGTTTTGCCATAAACGCACCACAGCGAGAATCCGTAGCCGTGAACAAAAGTATCTATTTTAGACCATGCCTAATTAGCGACTAAACGGTGACATTCCGACCGCTGTTTGTAATAGGTATCAACAACGATGTTTGACCCAAGCAAGTTCATTCCCTTAGACCCGTCCCAAGAACCCATCTTTCCTCCAGAGCTCATGGTAAGTAAACTTTGAACTCTGAACCGAGTGCCAGATGTTCTGTGCGTAGAAAACTTGGATTAAACGGAGTAAGAAGTTAAGAACTGTGTGTATGTAAGTCATGTCTTCCTGAAAAGACCGTAATTTGGAACACTGATATAAATCCCTGGAAACTTTGGTAGATGTCTAAACTGTACTGAAGCTATATACAGGTAACCTAAAAAAATAATCTTTAGACTTCCGTAAAGAAATAGAAACTGTATACAGTCAAACCTCGGTAATGATAGCACTGTTAATGCAATATTCTACTTATAACAAGGAATTCGTTCAGGTCTCGGTCCTTTAATTCCATTACTGATAATAGTCCAAATAACACCTTATCTAATGAGGTTCGACTATAGTTGTTACTGTCAAAACCCTGTTCGTTGATTCATTAAGTTCCACTGACCTACGGTGCCCCATACGTTTGAAACACAGGTAGTTCTAAGTCACATTGGAGGGAAAAGACCACATCTTTGTTGTGCAATTACGTTATATGTTTTAAAACAAAATCCAAGGGTAAAGACTCACACCTGCTATGTTTGGGAGATGTGAGACAGCAAAGGGGAAAATGTACTGTATATGGATTTTGCATATGGACGTTTGGAACACTGAGGTACTATGTAGCAGTGGACCTACTGGGCTTAAATATATATGCTTTGTTACTCCAGATGTGTCCTTATCGAAGGTTGACAAAAAGCGCCTATTTCAAATTCGCAACGCCAAACCGACTCTCTATATAATGCCTGCTGGTGATTGCTTTTGTTTGAAAGGGAAAGTTTATTATTTATTACATTCTTGTATATTTTGTACCACTGATGTACATAGTTTAATTTTCTCATGCTGTCAAGTAACTATTTTCTTGGTTTGACAAACCGAACTGTTACTTATTTCGATCTAATTCCTTCAGGTTACTTTGCAAGAAACATTCTGCAGACCCCTAAGATTCGTTGGTGGTCGGGTGACTTGGTATCGCCCCGTTACAATACAACAGCTGCTGGAACTGAAGACTATCAATCCTCAAGCAAAGATAGTTGCTGGCAACTCGGAAGTTGGTAAATTGTAAAGAATATTGTCTTTGGGGTAGATGGCTTTTTGAAACGTCATAACGACACAAAATCAGCATCCTGATATACGTTCATCGTGTCACCCAAACATGAAGTGTATTTGAAAACTATCGACAGATCAACAGTTTTATCATTAGAGGAAATTAAGGTAGGCCTAAAATTTTATCCAATAATATGATTTTTGAAAAGATGATTTGAACAAAGAAATAGTTTAAACAAGAGAAAAATTCCTTCTCTTTTGATTATCTTATTTGTATACCTTTATTTGTCCTTGCGACGTGAAGGTGTTGAAGTGAAGTTTAAGAACCAATGCTACCCAGTTCTCATCGATGTCAATCACATCCCTGAACTGATAAGTGTCGAAGTGACCCAATCTGGAATCAGAATCGGTGCCGCTGTGTCGCTTACGAGAGTCAGTGACTACTTAAAGGAACTGATACAAAAAGAGTCAGGTAAATAAATCTCGCAAGCTTCTAAATGTATATGTGTAATTATATTTAAACTTAGAAACCAACATATTGTCGTCTGTGTTGAAAGTTTGAACTGTTTACTAAACTTGAATGTTTGCACACATTTTCCCCTCGCAATTAGAACATAAAACGCGCGTCTTTGCCGCCATTGTTGAGATGTTGCGGTGGTTTGCCGGACAACAAATCAGAAATGTTGCGGTAAGTTTAAAAAGGCATCCGTTCATCCTTACTAACATAGTCTGCCTTTAAGCTTTCGAATGAATGCACTTTGCGTACACAGTTCCTTTGATTTGTCCCAGCCGAACTTTTCGCCTATACCACTAAATTACAAACAATGGACCCTCGCAAATGCAGTAGATAGCATGAACTTCTGCCTTAAATTTCGAGTCGTATACATGTAGTTCTAATACAGTGCACACGCTGAAGGTACAGGTTTTTTTCTAAAAAAAGAGAAAGTGTAATATCCTGCAATTTTCCGTGAATGGGAGTCATGTAATTTTTACCTGGATGTTTAAATTAATATTGAATGTTTTAATGACTGCCTTTTAGTGCATCGGTGGTAACGTAGCAACAGGAAGTCCAATTTCTGACCTGAATCCACTCCTCATGACAGCTGCTTGCACTATTGAACTTGTTTCAAAATCAGGTAGGCCATCACTCCTAAAAAGTGGGTTAAACGAAATCTTGCTAACATTTTACAAACATTTTCAGATTTGGTGTCCAGTTCCTTAGCATCAGTGTCTAATAGCTAAACAGTAACCACCAAAACGTATTCAGCATTTAAACTAGTTTAAAACTGATGGCAGGAAGTGTTCAGACCAGCACCAGTTTAATGGACAAGCACAGGTTTTTTGGCAGATGATCAGTCGCCACATTCACCCTTCAACAAGTAGACATGTTAAAGTAATAAGATTTCCTGTTTCAAAAAGATTTGATGAATTGTGGGATTTTCCCTTCCATTTTTGAGACTGAATGAATGGAAGAAATATGTGTTTTGTAGTCTTAATTTACTTCTCATTAATTAACATCAACACATTACAATTGTTTCCTGCTAGTTCAGCTCATATATTTTGTGGCACGGCTCACAACCTTTCATTTCGTAGACATTCAGGAAATAGCTCTGAAAAATACTGAAAATTCTGTTACCATCCCACGTTTCATGTAAGCACATTAACATATGCCGCATGCTGACATTCACTGACATTATCAAACCAAACAGGTCAACGCACAGTGACAATGGACGGCAATTTCTTCACTGGATACAGGAAAAATGTTATTGGGGCTGAGGAAGTCATCTTGGCTATCAATGTGCCATTTACATCGGAGGTAAATTAATCAAAAAGCAATACAATAATTGTGATAGAATAATGTTAGTGACCTTGTCTATTTAAAAGGATCGTTGGTGCAAAGCTAAAATAAATCTTAAGCTAATCTATTTTTAAATCCATTTAATTGAAGTATTCATAAGTCGAAGCTATGATTGTTTTACTGAATCTTCCTTTTGACCATTCATTAGTTTCCATGAGAAACTTGATCATCCCTTTTGAACACAGAGCGGTCATTCTGCCTTAAACGTGTGGAAGTCTAGACGTTCTGCACCTTTTGTATTGTGGTAAAATGGCGTCTGCAGTAAGGGGCTCGTCAAAAAGCTTAAAGGGTAGCTCCAATCAATTTGTTTTAAAACAGACTTCAAAATGCCCCTCTCTGTCTCTGTTAACCTTATTTTAAACTTTTGTAACACTGTTTTAAAGGGTATTTTGCTACGTTTTGACATTTTTGCCAAGTACTCCCATGTTCATGAGTAAAACAGTGACGTCATCCCAGAAAGAAAGTCTCAGTGCATATGTTGGTTTGCAACATTGGTTTGTACAAAAAAAAATTCTGCATTTTTGTAGATTTTGCTAGACTAATTTTTTCCTTTGCTGATTCACTGCCATTTTAGCATGAAAACATCAACACTACTCTCAGAAATGTTTTCAGTAAGTAAATTCTGGGCTCACAGTTTAAACAGAAAAACATATGCACTGAACTGTGTCTTCCCTGGATGACATCACAGCAACAGAGCCCTCAGTTGTCCAGGAAAGCATTAATACTTTCAAAAGTTTTGATAAGTGAACTTTCATTGCATTTAATCAAATAGGAATATAACGTGTATGCATACCTTGGAGACGAGTACAAAGTTGTAGAAAATTTGTTTCCAAGAAAAGTTCGTTGCAGCTACACTTTAAGTTCTTTCCAGTATCATAAGTGGAGTGCAAATTGCCATCGTTTTTGCGTTTCATTGGGACAGAATGTATGTAAATTTGTGATACATGCACCTCACACAGCATGAATATTTCTACGGGTACAAGCAAGCCCAACGTCGTGAGGATGATATCGCCATCGTCAATGCTGGCATGAGGGTGGTCTTCAAGCCTGGTACTGATAAAGTGCAGGATTGCACGCTGGCCTATGGTGGTATGGCGCCAACAACTGTCCTGGCTACAAAGACAATGAACGCCATTAAAGGAAGGTGGGAATTACGTCCAGACATTTTTCCTTAAACAGAACGTCCATTCTGATAGTGTCTTTTCACAAAGATTCCAATTTTGTCTGCGCCCCAAGCTTACAAAGATATAAAGGATACAAAATACAAAATTTAAATGAGCTCCTGTAATAAATTGATTTTCAAAAAATCCTTGCCCTAGATCTTGGAGTGAAGGCTTAGTGGATGCCATGACTCCACTACTGGTCGAGGATCTACCGCTGCCACCCGGCTCTCCAGGCGGTATGGAGCCTTACAGACAGTCGCTCACCCTTAGCTTCTTCTTCAAGTTCTACTTGGCCGTCCTAGAGCAGATTAAACTTAGTCAGGTGACCTGGGCAAGTCAATTTTGCTGTCCTTGATAGGCCACTGAAGATGAGGAATAATACTGAAACAGGTCAAAATAGCACTCACTGACAGAACAATCCTTTTCTCTCAATTCTAGTCTTAAACATAGCGGTATGTCATATAATTCTTTCATGATTTTGAACGGAAAGGGGCACCTTTACGGAGTGATGCTGACACCCGCATGTAGAGGGGAGGAAGGGGCACATATTCCTTCGAAGCTACCCACCTGCCCATCACACTGTTCCCTCCATTCAAGGGATTTTGACCAACTTTTTATCACCACTAATGGAAAAACATGGATTGTTAAAACAGACTTATTACATCTTGTTAAAGGGTAGTTTCAATCAGGTTTTTAATACAAAACATCAAAACACACCTTTGTGTCTCAGCCTGATTTTCCAACTTTGTTGTCACAATTTTAAGGGGTATTTTATCGCTTTTTAGTTTGTATGCTAACGAGTATTTCCATATCCATGCATGCGAACAACATGTGATGTTTCCCGCAGTAAGAAAGCCTAAATTTTACATGGGTAAAGTTTTGTAGATTTTACTGGACTGAATTTTTCTTCTTTGCTGATTCATTGTTGATAATGTGCATAGTAGTAAGTGAGCACCACCCCCTTTCTCAGAAATGTTTTCAGTAAGAAAATTCTGGGTTCACAATCGTAATAGAAAAACACCTGTGGCATGAACTCTATCTTTCCTTTGTGACATCACTGCAACAGCGCCCTCACATATCTAGGAAATCATGAAATATTTAAGTGTCTTAGAAATGCACTGTTTAGTGCGCATAATCTAATGGAAATGTAAAAGAGTTTTTATACATTGACGAAGAGTACAAAGCTAGACAAAATTATGTCTAAGAAAAATTCATGCGGCCACACTTTAAGGATTCAAGCTTAATAGGAGCGAAGTAGGCCTTGGAAAGCCCGCTGTAACACCGTAAAACGACATCTTTCTGGTTTTCTAGATAGTGATTAGAATACTAAGAAACCGTTGGAAAACACTTGACGTTTCGATCAGTGTGATCTGATCGTTTGCAGGGCCATCATAACCATCTACTCGTATACTGCGTAACCGCTCCTGACACGTTTGCCATCACTTACTTGAATCCATGCTTTTAGCCGGGCTTGAGTGGTTCAGACATTCCACCATCCTACAAGTCAGCAAATCATCGTTTCCCTAGGAACTCTGCTCGAGGTTTACAACTTTTTCAGGTAAGTTGTTGTAGGTTTAGGAAAAAAGAACATGCCAAAAACTGTAAAGCCATAGATCACGCTTCTAATTTTGATGACACATAGATTTATTTTCTGTTAATAAGGGGGCATGTGGCCTAGTGGCAAGAGTTTGTAGCTTCTGACTATAGGGTCAGGTTGCAGCACGTTGTGTTCTTGGGCAACTCACTTAACCCCACGTGTCTCTCTCCGCCCAGGAGTAAATGGGTACCTGTGAGGGCAGATATGGTTATGCTTAGCCGTTTGCGCTGAATATGGCAGCATACCAGGAAGCTGAGATGTTTTTGTGACATTGGACAGTGACTTCCAGCACATAGAAACCTTATAGTATTATCTGCTTTATAAGACTGGTTCACTGAGTCATTATTAGAAGCCATTATAGTTTGTTTACAGGTTTCCTTTAAGCCTCTGGCGGACTTTTGAAGTACATGCCCTGCTGTGCTGGTTTATGCACGTTTTTAATATGAGCAATGTTGACCGTCTGGGTACCATTCATAATTATGTTTCGCTTAATTAAGGCAGAAATAACTTGCATGTGGAATTATGTGCACTGGTAAAAGTATTTCAGCGTATAGTATCTGCCGTTGTTAATTAGGAAGTACCTTCCGGTCAACTAGACGCAGATCCTGTGGGTCGACCTTTGACCCATCATTCCGCCTTCAAACAAGTTACTGGGGAAGCTGTATTTGTGGATGATATACCACCTACCGAAGGTAAATCTATAGGAGTTCGTGATGTTTTGCTGAGAAACATGCAAACATTGGCCAAAGCCTATTTAATATTGCACTAATTTCGAAAAATTAAGCTTTCGGTGTGTAAAATGAAATATCTGCAACACAATTATGGGTTTCTGTAACTCTGTTTCTGTAATTTTTTAATTTGCTTAATATTTAGCATAACTTACATAATTTTTACACCTAACACATTTTTACTATAACACTTAAATTTCCTTGTTTATAGTACCTGTGTGGAACCATCGGTCCTAAATAAATATTAGATCAATTTAAATCCTAAAAGAGCCCAAGTTCTTTTGTTCTGAAACTTAGCAAACATGTAACGACACTCCTCACTGATAGCAAATTTTGAGGTTCATTTCAATATCAGGCAGGTTTTTGGTGTTTTGGTCGTTGTTGGTGATGATTTCAAACATGTTGGCTTGCGCGCACTAATGAACACGCAGTGGAAAAAGTATGGATTCGGAAAAGTGCGCGTTGTGTGAGAATGGCATGTCGTATTTTCACAAAAATTATGTCAAAAATACAGGAAGATGTGCTAAAATGCAAAGAATCGGCGCACGAAAATATATGCATTGCGTATGAGAAAGGGTTAAGATCGCAGTTGGTGCTTGTTTACTAGTCGGGTTATTGTGTCATGTATTCATATGATACCATTGAGGAGGATGTGGGGGAGGGGACAAGGCGGGAAATATCAATGAGAAAAGAACGATTTTTTGGGGTAGAAAAGGCCTCCAAATTTAGCCTCGCTCCTCAGAAGGACCTGAAAGGTTTACCAATTTTGGGGGCCCTAACAACGTTTGCTCGCCAAAATGTCTTTCTATTGACACATACCTCCCTTTCATGGCACCAAGCTAGGTTATTTTTAGTGTTTGAATGGATTAGTCTGATAAGGTCGTTCGAAGGTAATACAGAAAACTGTGAAGAGTGAGATATCTGAACGTGTATCTTTTAGGAGCATGGCATGCAAAAACCGCCCAGCAAGGTATCTGTGACCCACTCTGTGAAAATGAGTCTATATGTCGCCAGAGCCATTTTGGAGTAAAAAGTCCTTAAAATATTTTTGCACAGTGTAAATTAATAGGAACCCACAGCATTTTTCACCATGGAGTACCAACTTTCATCAGGATGCCAAACTTAGTGATACATCAAAACCAAAAAAAAACTGAATTTGCTCTTTCTAGTACAAATGAAAACTCGAAGAGTGGCTCTGGCGACTTCAGACTCGTTCTCACAGAGTGGGGCACATTTGTTTTCTAGTGAGTCTGGTCAGAATTCCATACTTTATATAAAATCAGGAATCAAGAAACCTTTGTTCTTCTTCCACGGTTTGCTCTTTGTTTGTATCCAACAGGTGAGCAATACCTCGCGCTAGTCATGAGTAAGAAGGCGCATGCAAACATTTTGTAAGTATGAAATTAGAATCGTGTAAAACTTTTGTATGATTTCTTGCCTCCTTAAACTTGCACGTCTGCTCTGCCTCAGTCCCACAACTGTCTGAATTTTGCACGTTTTTGCAAGATAATAATCGGTATTTTCATCATATTAAAGTGAACCATTTGACCATCAGTTTGAGTATGCGTTTTTTATGATAGCCTATATAAAAGGGGGCTGTTTTGATCTTTCATGTTTGTGTGATAATAATTTTTATTAAAAAAGCAAAAATGAAGTACTTATGTTCAACAAGGTTGTTGGTTTCTATATGCCGATCAAGAAGGAAAATGGAGATTTCGTATTCCGTCTCCGCACAAAGATTTAACGGGCGCTGTGCAGTTACAAACCAATGGTAGTTTCCTTAGTTTTACTAAAAAATATATGTTCTGAAATGCCACAGAAATATCGAATCTACTGATGATGTCAAAATAAATATTTGTTGTTGATCTGGGCAATGTGTAGCGGCTGTGTGCAAACACTTTTGAACGTTTGTTTCATTGGGTAGGTCCGTGGACGCTACGGCAGCTCTTGCACTGGATGGCGTCCACACGTACGTAAGCGCTGACGACGTTCCGGGAGATAACTTGGTTGGAACGTCACTGGAGTATGATGACGTCCTCTATGCAGAAGAAAAAGTAGGTTTTGTAAGTTATTAGGAGGAGCATAGTTACTCTTTGTCATCACATAAAAGTGCAAAATCAAGAGTAATTAAAGCTGCACTTCTTTAATCCACCAGGTTAATTTTGTGGGTCAAGTTATCGGGGTGATCGTGGCTGACAATCAGGCAATTGCGCAGAGAGCTGCCAAGCTGGTCCAAGTGGAATATGAAGAGCTGAGGGCGGTGTTCACCATAGAGGTAGGATACACTCTGACGGAAGGGGTGCAAGCAAGAAAGCATCGTGCATAAGAACGATGACCAGAAGTGGGAAGTGACAAAAGTCACGCATGGCATGCAGCATGACAGGTGGCTAATAAGAAAATCATTAGTTCAATTGCAGAGTGGGAGGCAAAGTGGCCAGTAGAATGGCTGCCAGCAGCAGGCCTATCAGGCAGAATAAGGTAGACGTCGTGGGTACTTGAACCATTTCCACGTTATACATGATGTGGCCTGGGAACCGCTGGTCCTGAATAGCATTAGGTCGCCAGCAATCAGTACAACATGTTTGCATGTATGACGATCTGCCAAGGCGGCAGAGTGGTGAGCCTGGGCCACAAAAAGTGCTTGAATAAAAAGCAGGCAGGCTGTTGGACAGAAATGCAGAATATCAAACTGAATGGCAGACAGAACTACCCTACATGAAGCAAAACAGGTTACATACAATGTCATTATACTGCAAATAGTTCCCGTGAGAACGTCTTCCGTTGAGACACACTCTAGGCACCAACAACGAAACATTACAACATATGCGTACGAGACCTGTTTGTAAAGCATTCCTTAAGTCCTGGCGCTGAAAGTGATGCTCTTTGATTCACAATCAGGACGCTATTGAAGAGAACTCTTTCTTCCCCGGGAACTGGCGCATTGAGACGGGAGACCTGAGGGAGGGTTTCGAGGGCTCTGATCACATCATCGAAGGGGAGATAAAAACTGGCGCCCAGGAGCACTTCTACCTGGAGACATTCACCACCTTGGTCATCCCAGGAGAAGGAGAGGTAGAGGTTATCGCAGCTAACCAATCACCGTCAAGAACGCAGGTATCAGCGTGCTGCCATGGAAACGGATTAAAATCTGCCATTCATTGCCCCAGGCATTTATTTAGAATATTCTAAAAGAACACAAAAACGATATTCTGCATTCATCGTCTAGTTTTTACCTGAAAACGCCAATAAAATTGTGTAATTGCTCGTTATGGCAAATTGATTATGAAAAACGACGACAGATTTTGTTCAGAAGGATTATTACAGAATGACAGACAATAAACGTAAAGTCTCAATGATTTACTTGCTTAGATTAAAGAATTGATTGAAAAAAGCCACGGTTTGCCAAGAGTCACCTTTTTAACCGCTATTGGCATCACTGATGAAGTTTGAAAGTGTTTTTTTATCTTTCAGTCAAGTTCTTGGTATAATCCAGTCAAGTTCTTGGTGTAATCCAGATTAGGCATATTGAGTGCATTTGATTGGCTTTAAATACAATTCTTAGATACATTGAGTCACTTGAGTGCCGGGACTGCGTGGGCTCTGATAGTTAATAGCTCACATTCTTAAGGCCGGTCTTTTATTACTTCGTTAACTTCCATATTTTGCCATTTCAGTTAATTCCACAACATCCCCATATCTATTTCTCTGTTTACAACAGAGACTTGTAGCCGAAGCTTTGGGCATAGCAAGCCACAAAGTAGTGTCTCGCGTCAAACGCCTCGGCGGTGGGTTTGGAGGCAAGGAAGCCAGGGCATGTCTCCACGCAGCTATGTGTGCCGTTGCCGCCAACAAGTATATAAAGATTTTGTTCAAACAAATTGGTTAGAGTTTATCTTGATGTGCGAAATAAAGCAATGCACCAAAGTGATAGACATTGATGTTGTTTATGAACGCCCAAGATTTGCCCAGAAGTACATGTACTACAAATAACACATAGTGCGTTGCCTTTCATGAACGCGTTGGGAGCACTCAGGTCGCAGCATTTATCCAAACAGCGTAGTTTTAATGCCCAAGATGTGCCTATTAGAATACTTAGCTGGATACATGGACGTAACGCTCACGCGGACAATAAGTGTCATTCGATTTAGACACTTACTGTCGATTCTATATATAGTTCTTATTTAGTTTGACTTATGATCGCAACAAAACGTCCTGTTGTTAATACTACCTTCCTTTTAGAGTCAGACGTCCTGTTCGATTGATGCTCGATCGGAACGAAGACATGATGATTTCAGGCACACGCCACCCGTACCTAGCCCGCTACAAAGCAGGTGTAACTAGCAATGGTCAACTGAAGGCGCTCGAGATCGATATGTACTCTAATGCTGGAAGTACTTACGACTGTTCAGCGAGTGTACGTATGATCATGTTCTAGCATGTTGACATTTTGTTTAGTCCAAACTTAATCTATCATTTATATGCATGCCCCCGCCTTTTCATTTTCATTCGCTAATTTAGCTTGGTGGCATTCCTGAAGGTCTAAAAGGAAAGCGGGTTTTCTGCTCAATATGCTGGCTCTCGGCGTTGGCATTTCAGAGAATACCCCAGACTGTACACCGTCAAGCAAGAAGTAAAGACTTGCTTGATGGAGGTGGATCTTGATTGCTTAAAGCCCTGCACTAAAAGTTGCGCAGCAGTCTCCCTGAGACAATGTACAGTTTCAGACGTGTGATTTTGTTATTGTTCTCTGCGGCCAGACCACATAACTCACCAAGGTCGACAAAAGCGTGCCTTTATGGCCTTTATTCAAAACGAGAGAGGGAACCTAGTTGCGTTTATCCCGTTTGGCAAATACCAGACGATAAAGTGTTGTGGCGACGCATGTCTTGTGCCTACTGCGCATGAGGCGTGGATTAGCGCGAATGATTTCCGTGTGAATGTGCACAGACACGCAGATTTCTTTATAGTGAGGAGCGGGCGTAAAGTGGTAATGGTATGCAAGTGTCCGCTCAGTCTTGCTGTTTTACGCCTCGTGGGTTAAATGGGCACACGCAGTGTCTTTAGTGGGTGATGACACATTAAGACGACCTATCAGAGGAGCGGATATCCGGGTCTCTCAAAAGTCAATACCAGCAGCCTTCCTTATTTTGTTCAGATAATAAACAAAAAAAAATTGAAGCATTATACTGCACAAGTGTTTACTGAACTCTTTTTCAAAATTTCTTTTTCTTCGTCTTGTTGTCGTCGTTTCAGGTACTCGAAAGGTCCATGCATCACACTGACAACTGCTACAAATGCCCTAATGTTAGAGTCACTGGGTATCTCTGCCGCACGAATCTGGCATCTAACACTGGGTTCCGCGGCTTCGGGAACCCGCAGGCCATGCTGGTAGCAGAGACTATCATGTCAGATATCGCCTTGAAATGTGGACTGACTCAGATCAAAGTAAGTTATTATACCAAAAAGAAATGTTTCGTCCTGAGAGTGTATCCGCCTGAGTAGAAGTACCCCCCTCAGATCATCTGTAAAAAAAAACTGCGATGGTCATGAGTGTTCAATTGCGACCGTGACGCGTGCATTTCCTAGTCGTTCGTGAACCAGCGAAGTTCAGTTCCTACCAAAAGAGCCTCCGTTGCTAAGAAAATAGCGCCCTCTCTAGGTCCAGCTCGAGGCCCATTTATAATCTTAATGGTAGTTATAATGGATTTGCTGCAGGCGATGTCGCTTAGAGGCATTAATCTCAATCCCACCTCGGCCCCTGGTCATTATAGGTTTAGATCGAGTATCTTGCTCGCGCAGATTTCCCCCTTATAACTACATGTATTTTCTTGGTGTAATTCAGAATCTGTGTTAATTTCCCGAACGTACGTTTTATCGTCAAAACTAACCAATAGTGCGTGTGGTCGAATAATTATGAAAGACGACAAAAAAGATTGCCAAAAAGATTGAAAAAAATGAGACAGGGCAAGATATAACATTGGCAATACTGAACGAGTTTAGAAATTGGCTCGAATGGTAACTGATCAAGCTCGTGGGGAACCTGTTTCATTTTGTTAACCCCTCAATAATATCGTTCGGAATGCAAGACATTTGGACAGGCATTTCTGCCCACAAAAGGCAGAAAATCTGAATGAGCCTAAAGGACAGGATGTCATTGAACGACTCTGTCAATTTGAATGCAGTCACGCTTGTTCTGAACTAGATCGTACTTTTGGGTCTAATTTGTAGGACAGGCCTAATTACTATGTTCGTAAATTCCTGTATTAATTTTAACACTTGGTTGTAAATAACTGAATATCGACTTTAAACCTCATTTTAAGTATTTCCCGAAAAAATTGATGGACGCTGCCTTAATACTTGGTGCCAATTAAGTTGAATGTAAGTCTATATATACGCACAATGGTAAGAACAGCTAGTGTACAGGAAGCATTTCCTCAGTTCAGAAGCTGACCAAGTGTTGGCGACTGTATGGTCACATCTGTGCAGGTCAGGGACATCAACTTCTACAAGGACGGCGATGAGACATTCTACGGCGCAGAGCTGCGGCAGTGGAACCTGGAGAGGTGCTGGGACCAGTGCTTAACCAAGAGCGACTACGAACGCCGCAGACGAGACGTAGACCAATACAACAGGTGCGATTCAAACAGGAAGCATGACCTGAACTCTCAGTGAGCTGTGCACCACAGTATTCCTGCTCTTTCAGGGGTAACATAACCCATATCCAGTAGCGTTGCATCATCGAAGGGAGGGACGCTTAGGCCTACCCCCCAGCATTTCATGAGTGCCCTTTTCCCTTATTGCACCTTTTTTCAAGAGCGCCCTGTTTGCCCCTTATATTGTCTTCTTTGAGTGATTAAAAGATGTTGTCGAGCTTCCGCTTCCCTTTTTGGTTTTACGAAGGTCAAGTAAGCGGTTGAAAAGTCTCGCCTTTCACCATGGATGCTGCTTACCCCTTTTCACATTTTTACCTCCCTCCATTAATGACCTTGCTATGCAAAAGTGCAACATGTGTTAGGTGTACGTCACGCAAGGCTGAAAAATGTACGGTGTGGCATCGGCGAGCTCGAGAAGCGCATATTATTAACCACGTGCGCGCAAGAGCGAGATCTTTCTCTTAGAGTGCTTTTTCTATACCACACACATGTATACCACAAATCACGCCAGGTACTTTTTTTTTTTTACTTTTCGGCCATAGAGAGAATCGATGGAGGAAGCGTGGCATTGCCGTGACACCCACGAAATTTGGTATCTCCTTCACAATTAAGCACTGTAACCAGGTAGGTCTAGCCGCTTGGAAAATTTTGGCATGGGCTGTACTTAGTCTCATTAAATTTAGATCGCGAGCCGCGATCGAAGAGTTTTTCCCAAGGGCCAGTATAGCGTAAACCAAGGGGTGGGCCGAGTAACAGAACGCAACGCAGGTTGAAGATTTCTAGACCACGAATCAGGACGTCGGAAGAAACAAATTCTGGACAGTAAAATGTATCATATATGCAAAATCGAAATGATGGAAAAGGTAATAACAGCACTGAATAATGCTTCCAAAGCATTCCAAAATTTTTCATCTGTACTCGTATCTTTATTGCATATTATTTTACAACGAACACCACAAGGGACGTTTGCAACGGGCAAACCAAACCATGGCTACGCCATTGTCAAGGTCACCTAAGAATACATGCCACCGAAATATAAAAACCTGTCAAAATAGTTTTCTCTCCTACAAAATATTCCTGTAAACGAGAGACCCCAAAGACAAACTTTGGGCTTCCCCTGCACATTATATTGTAACCCAGTCTCCGCCAAGACTGGGTAGGAATTCTCTTTCCTCTGGGGGAATTAGACCCTCCAACGTTGTTAATCTCAACAATGGCTGCCCAGGTAACGGTTAGTTTATTTCAATTCATAAAATCAAACACATACACATATATATAAAAAGTGTATACAGTTGGCATAACCCAACATTACCAATACAGTGTCATACGTGAATATAAAGAAGATTAGTAACACGAAATAACCCCAGCATGAGAGTGACAAGGAATGTTAACAGGGCTATCCTTCTGTAATAGGAGCACCCAGGTATCGAATCCTACGTTGAAAACATGTCTCAGGCCTTTGCGGGAATAGTACGCCATCTTCCAGAGGTTAAATTTCTTTCCCAATTTTTCGAATGTTGCAGGCTGGTGCTTTGGTGCATATCTACAACGATGGCTCCGTCCTCGTTTCCCATGGCGGTACTGAGATGGGTCAAGGGTTACACACCAAGATGATCCAGGTGGCCAGCAGGACGCTTAGGATTCCTCAAGAGAAGATCCACATCAGTGAAACCAGCACAAGCAGTGTGCCAAATACATCCTCGACTGCTGCTAGCTTCAGCTCTGATCTGAACGGCATGGCGGTCAAGGAGGCTTGCGAAACCCTCCTTCACCGTCTGGAACCGTACATCCGAGATGATCCTAAAGGCTCATGGGAAGATTGGGTGGACGCAGCGTACAAAGACCGCGTCAGCCTGTCGTCCACAGGATTCGGCAAAGCGCGTGATCTATATTTTGACTGGGAGAAAGGGAGGGGTGATCCTTATGCCTATTTTGCATACGGCGTGGCTGTTTCCGAGGTAGAGATCGACTGTCTAACTGGGGATCACCAGGTGCTACGGACCGACATCGTCATGGACGTTGGTGATAGTCTAAACCCAGCAATCGACATAGGACAGGTAATTTCATAAAGTCGACCATGATAAAGTTGCCAATGTTTCAAGAATACTGACAATAGTGAAAAAAAACTAATGTGGTGAATACGATGTTTCCTGTTCTGCTACAAATTTCTAATTGCTTCCTCAGATTGAAGGTGGCTTCATCCAAGGCTACGGCCTGTTTGTCCTGGAAGACTATCGGGTCAGCCCGTCTGGTCAGCTGCTGACCATCGGTCCAGGATTCTACAAGATCCCGAGCTTTGGTGACATACCGGCTGAGTTCAATGTCGGCCTGTTGACTAGGTCGCCTAATCCATTTGCGATTTACTCGTCTAAGGCAAGTGTATAAACCACATAATCTCAGGCTTTGAATGTCAGATCTCTCCCTTGCAACCACACTGCTCAGAATGATTTACAAAATGAGTGGCCAAGATTACATTTGATATACTCCAGTTTCTCTCATTCCTATATGTCAAGAACTGAACAGAATGCTACAAATTAATTTTTACGACACATCAGGTCTGGTGTAAGTGAGAATCACGAAGTTTTGTGTTTAATTTTTCGCAGGCTGTTGGAGAACCTCCTTTGTTCCTTGCAGCCTCTGTCTTCTTTGCCATCAAGGATGCCATCCAATCAGCTAGGGATAATGCTGGCATCTCCAGGGCATTTCGACTGGACAGTCCAGCCACGGCAGAGAGAATCCGAATGGCATGCCAAGACCAATTCACAAATCAGGTAACATCCGGCGGTACATTCGCTGGTAGATCGGCCCAGAATCTGGCAAATACATGTATTACTATTCAACTACAAGAACCAAGAATCCAGCTTTCACATTCCTCAAGGAGAGAACAGTCCGTCAGACAAATTAATGAGCAGTTATTCTCAAATTTCTTAGGATACCAAAGTAACGCCAGTGTATTTTTCCTTTAGATTCCAGTTCCCGAAGACGGCACATACACACCGTTTTTTCTTCGCCCTTAGCTTTGAGGTAGTCTCACATAATCTGCTGTTAACAAGAGGTACAACTGATCTCTTCAGGATTAAGCCTTCCTCTTTTCAGGAACACATCCGTCAGAACAAATAATTAGGAATATGTTACTTTTTTTGAAATGCGGTTTGAACTGTATTATTTACACTCTCTGAAGAAAAAGAAATTTTTTCTGGATTTGACACACATCAGATGTCGTTTGGCCTCAGAGGGAATAAGCCATAATAATGTTTACAACATATCATTATGCATTTGTTAAAAAATTGCAAATCAATTAAAAATTTGTTGTCAACTGGCTTAACCATGACAATTATCATTAGTGATACCGCATGCCCCAATTTAATAATACTGTGCATTACTTTTGATGTATTTTTTTAACATGTTATTCTACAGGCTAACAATGATAATGATAATATTTGATCTGATTCTTTGAACTGATGTAGAACCACCATGTGAGCAACAAATGTTTGCCTGAAAGTACGATTGAAACTTTTGATGTTTACCGGATATATTCTAAAATGGATAAAAAATACAAAATTATGTGTATTTAGTGATACATATGTAACTATTTTAATTGATTTGTTTTAATTTTCATGGCATATCCTTGGAAATATTTGTAACCTTTGAAGAATAGAAATTTTCTCGGAAAAATAACACGTACTGAAGAAATTTTTGTTTACTAAATAATTATCATTCATAATACGTAACGATACTACCATAAGACTTTTGCTGCAAAAACCAAATCACAGTGTGATGGTACGACTAAACAAGAAAAGCCTCCTCTCCATCCATGATACTTTTAACCTGTCACTGTCCCTTAAAAGAGCGACCGTAGCATACTAAAGCTCTACTGTGTCCGATCGGTAGACTGTAGAATGCTAGGCTGTTTTATAACTAGATGGCAAGACTGTGTGAGAGTTTGGAATAAAAGTCAACAAAATAAAACGAAATGAAGACGCTGAAATTTCTGTTTGACAATACAGTGCCCACACGAGGGCTACATTTCTACTGCAACAATTTGGCTAAAAGATGTTCTTGTAGTATTAAAAGTATGTACCGGCAGCTCTGACGATCTAAAACATGATTTGTTTTTCGGGAACAGTATCCATCTTGTTGTATTTTGTTTCAGACAGGCACAAGCTGTTACCGTTCTCAGCTTCAGGTGGTTGAACCTTTAAGATTGGTGTTGTGACACTGCGCCAACGCTGTAATTTCAATATATGAAAAAACATCAAATTATGACATGAAATAATTATGACAAAGGAGAATAACAGGATCATTACAAAGTGACCACAGATAAAAATTTTGAATATAAAAAAACTGAATGTGCCACTATAGATTATCACCAAGTCGTGATTCACAGCTTTTGAACCAAACAAAACAAATTAAGCCTGGACAAAATGACCCCACAAACTCAGCGAACAAACACAGTATCTTCCATTTGTTATGACTGGAATTACTATTTGTTAATTACTGAAATAAAAAAGCGGTAAGCCTTCTGTCATCATCAAAGTACAGTTGGCAGACTTCTTTTGATAACTGACGCTAGAGAATTGTTCATAGGAGCTTCTTTAAACTAGATTTTAATTCATACGACAGGGTCACATGAGTTTAGTGGATCCTTGGAAAGAAAGTTTGTGGGGACATTTGTTCTTGCAATCCATAGCTTGGAAGCAGCTGTACAGATAAATATTAGTCCGTGTGAATCCCTTAGTCCAAGTCTTTTATTGAAGGACATCTCACTTGTCTATCGACCCTATTCACATTTAGGCTACTTTTGATCTTATTCCCAAATCTGTTTTATATATTGCAAACTGTTGATTAGGACGGCACCAGACTGTTTTATTCTTCCTTGCGTTCCAAGCCTCCCTGTCAATAATTGTTTTAATTTGGCAAGGTTCAATTCTGTGTGTTCAATCATAAATTAGAAACTATTTAGAGTAGACAGTTGCAAATTTGTCGTGAAATGTCATTTCATTGCTTCATTTGTACTCTAACCTTAAAAAAATGAAGATTTGATCTTGCTTTCAATTCAATATGGCCGGCCTTGTGAATAAAGTCTATTGAGATATTGTCAGTAATGAAAGCAAAGTGCATGAGCTCAGTGATCGGAAAATCTCGACAATCTCGACAAAGTAATTCTGTTTAACAATATTACAGATCTGCACGACAGACAGATCTTGGGCCTGATGACTTGTTCAATTTTTATTAAAACAAGATTATTTTGATTTGACTCAAAGAATGGCCAGCGCTGTAGTCAAGTGCCCCACAAGTCAAAGCAGGTCTGTCCTAAATCCATCATTAACCACCAGTCACTAATCAAATCTCAAGCTATACAACAACTGAACTGGGAACAACAAAATCATTCCTTTGTCACTGTTCCTCCTGTTACATGTGACTGGTCAGATTAACGGACTGGTGGAGACTTGAGAAGGAAAATGACCCAGTTATGCTAATACTGGGAAAACACAGTGCTCGGCACTCAGTACGCACTGTCGGATAACTTGAATCTCATTTGCACATATGTCGTAATTCTGAGCTCACCTCAAGTATGGTTCCCCTCGCTTTGACCAACCTGTACACAAAGTAGATGGGTATGCACATCATGGAGTTGAGGGCAAAGAACCAGCCTATTGCTTCGCCCCAGAGGGGGAAGGTGTAGTCGTTGTATTTTAAGGGTGTCCATGTCACCACGCTGAATATCCAGATGGCCTATTAAATTTGGAAAATGTAATAAGTCTAACATGCAAACAAAGATAATTCCTCTTCCACATATGACACAAAATATCAATCTTGTGTCGTTGTTTTTTCCAGCAGGTACATGTATATTGCTATTTGGAAACTGACAGTGCAGGGTAGAAATCAATCAACCTAAAATTAGATTTGCTGTTTTTCATGAATTTCATGATGTTAGTTTTGATGCATATCAAAATTGTTTGAAGGATACTGCAAAAATTGAATCTTTTTTTGCTTTTCTTGACTTTAAAATGTTTGACACTTATTTCTAGTGTAATCTTGAATGAGTGAAACACAAACTGATGTAACATGATCGACAACATAGCACATGAAACTTATAATCGCTTTCCACTTAATGTAGTTAACTCAAAAAGTTAATGTTGCGATTTGCATGTGCTGGACTTGTGATGGAATTGACAATATTAAAACGTGTCCAGTGTTACATAAAGTCTTACCACTGCTATGCTTGGAGTGAAGAACATCCAGCACCATTTGAACCAGCCAAAAGGCCGGTAGCCAATCATTCTTTCAATGTCCTGATAGAACCTCTCTCCACCTCGCATGAAAGAGAATTGAAAGGAGAGTTAGTTTGACAACAGACATGACAAGCTAGGTTCTGAATGAAGTCACCTCGTCATGTGGCTGTGGCTTCTATAAAGCCACAGACTTTCGTTTTACTAATAAGGCATATCAGTAGACTACAGCCTCAGTAATCTGCTCTGAGCGGGCGTGTCATATTTTTGGTACCCACCACACAAGTGTGCCATGAGGTGTGCAAGTATATGCAAGTTTGACGCGAAGCACGCTGAGTACGTGTAACTAATTTATTCCGGCTTAATTGTATGGTCTTTGCATACACGCAGAATAAGTGCAAGAACCCGTTTGTAACCACCTGTCTTTCTTTCACCGATTGGGGGTGCACTTCAGTTCGGGGCAGATAGGCTGCAGTCACAAACTACAACATCATGGTAGGCCGTAGCCACAGATTACAGCTTCAGTAATGAGGTGTAGCCGCAGACTACAGCCTCAGTGACAGGCTAAAGTCACAAACTACAACATCATGGTAGGCCGTAGCCACAGATTACAGCTTCAGTAATGAGGTGTAGCCGCAGACTACAGCCTCAGTGACAGGCTAAAGTCACAAACTACAACATCATGGTAGGCCGTAGCCACAGATTACAGCTTCAGTAAAGAGGTGTAGCCGCAGACTACAGCCTCAGTGACAGGCTAAAGTCACAAACTACAACATCATGGTAGGCCGTAGCCACAGATTACAGCTTCAGTAATGAGGTTTAGCAGTGGACTACAGCCTCAGTGACAGGCTAAAGTCACAAACTACTTGCTGTTGCCACAGACTACAGCGTCAGTAACGAAGTGTAGACTACAGCCTCAGTGGTAAGCAGTAGCCACAAACCTCATAGTAAGCTGTGGATAGGCTACAACTTTCTGTAATCTTTTCATGCTCTATCAGTGATAAAATTTTTGGCTCTCGGAACAGATCATAATTGGTTTGTGGTGGGAGTACCAGCTTTTCGGACTACTTGAAGTTCATACCATAATGTGGATGTTTACAGACCAATTAAAGTAACTATGAAAACAATTACGTCAACCTCTGTGTTGGTTATAGGAACTTCTGCCTTGGTACATATGTATGCAGTTATAATACACCCTGTAAAATAGTAAGGTAGGAATGACCAAATTATGTTACAATATATTCAATGCTTTGATCCTACATTAACGGAACAGCGAAAAAATGATAGATACTGGTCATTGCCATGTGAACAATTATGCCCATTTAATCATAAATTTTACGTCTCACAAAGTATACTACAATACTTCTGAGGTTACCGCATGGAGGGTCTCCATCAGCCCTTACCATAAACCCATCCAATCGCAATGGTTTCAAAGAATGCCATACACAGTAAGACCATACCACTCGCTGAATAGTAGTCATAGACTTGAAAAACGTACATTCCTCCCTAAGAATGAAAAAAATTGCAGTATATCAAGGACCAAGCACAATTATAAATATGCATGAGCAATGAAATATTATAATATATAATGTCATACTGAATACACTTTTATGCATAGCAGTTATAGAATTAAAAGTGAGAAGTGGCAGTTTAATCAATGTTATCTTCTACATAGGTATATAATTTACATGAAGACACACCTCTTAAGTGGCACAGAAGTATGGTGAGATAAAAAATTATAAAAACCAATTACCGATGGAACTTGTGGGTCATTGCATTTTTAAGGTCAAGGTGAAAGGTGGACTCTTTTTCCCTAAACAATTCACTTGATACGTCCCTTGAAACAAATTTTTACTTACATTTGTCACCATGGCCAGGCCAAAGGCAAAAGAAATGACGCAGATGGCCAATATAAAGTATTCTCTGTTGTACCCTTTGCGCAGTTTGGGAAAGAGGTCCACTACGGCGGTAATGAAGCCCTCAACAGCTACAAACTTGATTATCAGAGCAAACGAGTAAGAAAATCAAAGTACATGAGGAACACGACTGAAGGTAATGATTTAAAAATGTAAGGGGTTACCCAAAAGGACACGTGAACATGCTCTGAATATTGTCCTCATGTATTAGGCAGTTAAAAGTTTCAGAATGGAGCAGAAAGTCGGCCTGTGTATATTACTAAACTGCAGTCAGAAATGATGCTCTGGCTCTTCACTGTAAGGTGACATTCGGACTTTGAACACATTTCCCAAACCCACTGTTTATTAATTTTTTGAGGACATTTGACCTTTTGATCAGTTTGATCAATTTTGTTGATGCAAAAGTGGAGATACCGGTAGTTGACATTATTTTATAGATTTTAAAATCTTTACATGATGTATTTGTGTGTTTAAATCACCAGTGTTGTAGTCGATTACTTTTCAAGTACCAAGGTTCTCTGCCAAATATTGAACTTAGTAAGGGGGAGTAAAGCTGGAGTACAAAGGCATTTGATGATACACGCACAAAGGTAAGATTACAAACGAATGTAAGACTTCAGACACGCCCACTTTTGTCAAATTTAAGTTTTAAGGAGAAAGGTACTCAGAAAGTACTTTTGTCCTAAAACCTAACTCAGTGATAGTCTGAAGTTATCATTTTACTTTGTCATCTTACCTTTCTGAATGTACCACTAACCCTCCCAAGTACTTTAGCTTTGCTCCCTCCCAAACTGGGTCAATATTTGGTAAAGAACCTGGCACCAGAAAAGTACTCGACGACAACACTGTTAATCGCAGTCAAATATTTTCCTAAATATGTTGCCCGTAGAATGAATGCAGATGTTTTGAATTGAACAGTAATATTATGCTAAAGGTTTGAAATGAAAACAAACAACCCTCACCCCCCCCAAAAAAAACCCAAAGGAATTGTTTGTTAAGATCACCTGGCTATCCAACCCCATTAGGACCAGCATGAAAAAGAAAATACAGGACCAGACTGGAGCAGCTGGCATCAGTGATACAGCTTTGGGGTAGGCTATAAACACAAGGCCTGGACCTGTCAGAGGCAGAAATGATAAACCATATACTTTCATAGTTATTTTTTGAATTTGTTAATTATACCAGACATGAAATGGTACAGAGGGGTACCCCCCCCAAGTCCAATCCCTATATACACTCTTAACACATCCCCTTGATGTGTGAACAGAATTTCTGAGATACCAGTACAACAATGACCAACACAAAAGCAGGGGGGTGCTCTATGTCCCGTAGTTTGCTTCATATGTTGTTAATGACGGGTCAAAGAACCTGTTAAAAATGAAAGCCTACATGGTTGCCATGGTTGAATTGGATTTTGTAAAGGGCGAGCTTGTTTTGCATACTTACTCATAGACCTAAGAATAGCACCAGTCTGCATAATGCAAGCTGAGCCAACCTTTAGTGGACTGGGTAGTGGCCAGGACAATACAAGGTCAGCCTTTTCTAAAGAGTTTTAGAGGCACTTTGATATGGGGGCTGTGAGTTACTAAAACGTTGACTACTCGTCAAGGAAGCCACCAAGAAAGGACCCAGTTTAAATGAGTGTTCATAGTGCAAGAAATATGACTACTTTTTACATGTATATCTGAGTTTTCTCAACTACATAAAAACAAAGGAATGCCCACCACATGGTGAACATGCTCCTTAAGCACAAGTATGTGAGACACACCCCTCTATTCTACTTGCCCTGTTCTGCCAGTGGTCACTGGCAGTGTCATGTTACTGCCACTATGAACCTCCCTCAAAAGACCACCATCAACTTCCCTTGTCTCAATTGTTGTAGGGACTAAGATTCCCTGGAAAAACTCCAGGTCTACCGCTGTGGCCCACGCACCCACATCATTGCCTCACCTTTGTCTGCTACCTTGCTGATGTCAATGTTTTGCTCCTGGGCCATGAAGCCCAAAACGGAGAAGATGGTAATGCCACCATACAAACTGGTGAAGCTGTTAACGCTGACTATGATCAGGGTATCCCTGGTGGGGGAGAGTATAGGTAACAGATGATAAGATTTGAAATGTTTTGCTGTCACAGATTTGAAGAACTCCCAAAAAGAAAAGTTTTCAGGCCTATCTATGCAATGTCATCTCCCTGATCTACGAAACCGAAAGCACATAGCCAAAACAACATTTAGTTCAAGACACAGGGATGCCTATAAGATGCCTTTCCTTCCTGTGTTAGGCATTGATGTAGTTAACTGGATTTCTTTCCCATGAACCACTCTCTAATAGCACCTGGATAGTCACATTTGTCTGCGGAAACTCCGTGGCAACGTCCATTTCTTTTCCCAGGGCCCTGACTTTTTAAATTTGACTAAAATCTGGTACACTGAGTTCTTCAAATTCAAGTGAACGTAACAATTTGAATTCTCCATACTGAACACACTGCTGCTTTACCTCATGATTCGGGGCAAGCTTTTGCTTAGAAGGGGCGCCTTGCACCAAAACATTGTTTTCAATGGATAAGAAGGGCACAAAGGAACCAGTCCATTCAGAGATGGTGGTCGCTATGCAAATGCTTGCCCCGAATCACAAGGTATAGCAACAGCTAGTGTCTTTAGTCTTGAGAATTCAAATCGTTATGTTTATGTGCAATCAGATAAATTAGTATACCAGAGTTTATTCAAATTTAACTTGCAAAGGTGTATCGATTTAGGTGTCACATCAAATTACAGATGGTTCAACACCGGGCCTGGCATGCTAATCCCTTCCCATGAAACCTGGAACACTGAAGTGTGATGCACCCAAACTGGTGACAGATAAGAATTTGATATAACAAGCAACATCGGTTGAAGACTGGCTTTTGTTGGAGGATTCTTTAGCCCTCGGGGCTCAATTAACTGAGGAGTGCAAAGAGGAGGGGCATTACATCCAAAATGAAATTTTCACTGTCATCAGCCAGAGTGTGATACAGAGACCCAGAGGAGTTCATCACGGCCCACTTCGGTTCTATCCAAAGTCCCAATCTCTTTCGAAATACCACGCGGGCTCACCCCAGATGGCCCGGGAAGGGATTTTAATTTGATGACACGCCTTACTCACCGGTAACAGTTGTTGTGGAAATGGTTGTAGCTGCCTAGTGCAGTCAGGCATCCAATGCCGATGGCGTATGAGAAGAAAATCTGTGTCCCGGCATCGATCCACACCTTTAGGCAGAAAATACAAAGAGTTGGTGGTGTAAAGAAGACAGCCAAGGGGAGAAAAGGACGCCCCTTTGGGGGCCTCTGCCCTGCTGAGAATTCCAGTGAATGATAATATGGAAGTTATGTGCCTCAATCATCAAAAGAAATGCTCTTAGGTGCTACAGTAAATTTTACAAATCATCCCTCCAAAAATAAAACGGGGTTAGAATACAATTTATGATCACTGATACATGTTTAAGTTAGAAGGCACAAAATTCCTAGAAGTGACAATGGAAGAAGATAAAATTGTTGAAGCACATCAAAAAGTTTGGAAATCAGGTCAGATCTCAGCAATCTGAAATCACAATTAAAAATCACAAGCAAACAGAAAGAAAATCTCCAATACTGAAACTGTTTCTAACTAAATGAGAATATGTCTTTCTAAAATAAAATGAAGCCCCACTGTGGGTCTCCCCCCAGAAAATAGATCCACTCTCATTGCATCACTGTCAAAGGCACCATGAGTTAAGAGTACCTTTGAAGCCACATCAATTTGACTCAAAATATACTTCAAGGTTGCATAAGGGATCTTGGCAAAGGATTGCAAAGAGGCTGAAGTCAGGTTTTGGTTTCTTTAGTTGAAATGGCCTTGTGCACTTAAAAAAACTAATCTTGACCAAAGTGTGTCACCTCTTAGTGACCAACGTAAGGCAATATTATGGTAGGCATTAAATGACCATTAAAGCAAAATTTAAAAATTAGGTGAACTATAGTGGACGCTTTTAAAATGTTTTGCATGGAGAAATTTAGGATCTAGACAGCAAGTACCTGGCTATCAGCTAGCCTTGTTATGTTGGGCTTTAAGTAAAATATCAGCCCATCTGCCGCTCCATCTAGCATGACACCACGGATCATGAGAATAGTTAGCACCACATAGGGGAAGGTCGCAGTAAAGTACACAACCTGCAGTAATAATAGGAAGGGATTGGACAAGAGATCCATTCTTAAATTTTAAGGATATCTCTACAGGTTTGATTTTTGAGGTGGATTATAGTCTGGAAGATGTGCACACTTCTTAGTGCAACAAGGACAAACTTGCTGAGCTGCAGAGCTCATGTTGGGATATGAAGAGAAATCTACATAACAGTCAGCAAAGGCATCACACACAATGATAGTAAAATACTTTGGCTTCACAGGGCAGGCAATGGCTCACAAGGTATTATATAACCAGTTCTCTTACATACAAATGGTTATGATTGTGCAAATCTTTCCCATGGTTTTGGAAACAAGTTAATTGCTGAAAAAGTGAAAAACAAACCCTGAATGATTTAAACACTCCCCCATAAAATCCACAAATTTTGGGGTCAAAATCCTAAGAAATTCTCAATGTGTAGCAGTACTTATTCGAGAGTTATGGTTAATTTGAAGGGTTACAACATTTGCCATGGCAGAAATGCACTCACGGGAATCTGATTTCAGTTATGCCGTGTTGCTCATCTGTGTCAGTATCCTCAGAAAATCAGAGAAAATGATATTACTAAACTCATAGGATTGAAGGGTTTGCATATACCAGGATCTGGTTTACAATTATAGGACTGGGTTCTCACAACTGACTCTATTCACTTGGTAACTTTTGGAAAGAGAAAAGAAATGGTTTCAAAGGTATGCGTGGGGAACAGGAACCAAACTAGACGAGCACTAATTTGTGCATGTGGCCTAGTGGTTAAGGTTTGTAGCTTCTAATCATATGGTTGGGAGTTCAAATCCAGCATGGTGGCAGCATGTTGTGACCTTGGGCAAGTCACTTTACCCCCATGCGCCTCTCTCCACCCAGGAGTAAATGGGTACCTGTGAGGGCAGATGTGGTTATGTTCAAGCCGTGTGCGCCTGATAGGGCTGCATCAGCTAGTATACTCCCCAGGGAGCTGAGATGGTTGCAGAAATGTTCAGTTGTTGTGAGCCCCCGGCAATGTGAAGGGATAATAATGAATGCATAAGGACTTCCAAAGTGATTTATGCGCTTATGCAAATAACATTCACTATTATGATTAAATTCATGCATGAAGATTGTTAATGAGCATTGTGAATAATAAAATCATAATGCATTTTCATGTACGGGTACTAATATGTTTTTGTTCTCTTTTCTTTGAATTTTGAGGCTGGGTTTCCTTATGGGTACCTGGTTATCCATTCTTTGACTTCAACAATATGCGAAGTTCCCATACTATTGGTATACATAAAATGTCAGCGTGCTCACTTTGCCCGTGGACCTCACACCCTTCCAGATGCAGAAATACACCAGAACCCAGGCAAGGAGTAGACACAGTGCCAACTCCCACTGAACAGCCCCAATCTCCTCGATGCCTGATGAGATGTCTAACACACGGTGCCTGTAATTTCAGATTGTTTAAAAAGTGAACCGAGAATTTTTGAAAAGGAAAAAAGCTGCAGGTTGGCACAGAATATTCAGAAAGTGCTCTTGACTCACAAGATACTCAGGAGTCACTATTAAGTTGACAACGAGACAAGACCAGACTTGGAAAAACACTGTGAATTGATTGGACTTAATGAAATGACTTAAGACTTGACTTAAGTAAGATTTGGTTGACATTACCAACTTTTCTTGCAATACATATATATAAAAAAGAATGAACCAATGAGTTTGTATGTACCCAAGCAATGCTGTCTGTTGTCATGTTGATTTTATATCATTATAAAAATATGTTCATATTATCATGGGGAGAAATAAATGGATCAGACACTGCACATCACAAGTTACATCACCAAAATAAAGGAATTAATGAAATACATGGGAACAATTTCTCTTCCCAAGCTACTCTATCTTAAAGATAGAGTAGCTTGAGAAGAGAAATTATGACCAAGGACTTTGCAAAGAATTGGGCAAAATTGACTGGTTGAAAAATAGTTAGACACATCACTGCTCAAAAGCACTCTCGCCTTATTCACTTGGAGCCCATTCTTGAGGCTAGAAATATTGGACGGGGGATATTTCTCTAACCCCTAAACCGAGCAGGGAGACAAAAATCCCAATTTCACTGGTCAAAAGTGAAAGATGCCAAAGTGATTATCTTACTCAAAGAATTCTTCGACAGGAGAGGTGAAAGTCTCGTTCGGGCAAGATGTGTTTTGGTCTTCATCATGCAGCACCCAAGACATCGAGTATGACAAAGTAGTATTTTTATTTGTCACATTTGGTCGCAATGAGACATCACCCACACAAGAGCTGCTTGTCTGTTAGAGTACGAATTCAAATGCAGCTTCAACTTGTGGAACGATACAAAATCTTACAATACGTGCCGTGTGTTACACCACAATTCTGGCACTACATCAGGATAACACCTACGTGTATAATGGGAAAACTGAGCTTCAATAGACCAGGAAAATAAGGACCAATTTTTCTTGTGACTATACAAGAATACCTGTGCAAGCAACTATAATGACATGAGTAAGAGACCCTAAACACTGATTACCATAACCAGAATGAATTAAAAAAAACATGCAATGAAAAAAAAAAATAAATGCCATTCTTATGTAAATTAGGCACCTCTGCATGCCTACCAATATTAACAATACACAAATACAACATATGCAAATGTACATGTATGACCCCATATCTAACTTTCATTTGGTCATTGTGGTGCCAAGTGTATGTTTTTATGCTAATGCATATTTACTTATTTATGAGCAAAAGGGCAATGTCATTTCAGTATAATGAAGAAGAAACCTCAACAATACAGTGAGTTCAGCTTCACTATTTACAAAATTATTTTGTTCTCTTGATTTTTCTTTTCTTTCGGAAATTGTTCTTAAAATTCATGACAGAAGGTTTAAAACTAATAGAACACCAATTCAAACAGTCCCAGAAGGGCAAATTTAAATGCCCGATTTCCAATCAATGAAAAAAGGACACCAACATTGTAATTGTCCCGGCAGCTTTCAGTGTTCCAGTCGTTGCTGCAGGTGGACCAGGGGAGCTCCGTGGTGAATGATGAGAAGAGATACATCAGACACCAGGCTAAGATGATGATGTAGTAATGATTCATCCAGAAGGTGATCACTGTGGTTGCGTAGCCAATTCCTGCCATATTCCAGACCCCAAATAGTTAAAACTTTAGACTTCCTCACTATGAACATCTAACGAAAGAAACACAGTGCGCTAACAATGAACATCAATTGTTATTGCAACGTGCTTCTTTTGTTAGATGTTCATATCTGCCTACCAAAATGCAAATTTCAGAGTGTATTCAGAATATAATGTGTGGCAAAGGCTCAGAATAGTAGTTGGGTGGAGGGGGTGCCCCGGGAGACATGTTGCAAATTTTTTTTTCCAGGAGGTTGTTTGATATTCTCAGTGCATTACGGAATCAATGACAAGCAAGCAGTTCAGTTACACATGAACTTAAGAGGGAAGTGAACCAGTCAGATATGAAGTATTATTTTTTGAAAATCTTTCTTAGGTACCAGCTCATCAAGTCACAGATGAATGCATAGCATAAAAGAAATACTTTTAAAGTAAACAGAAACTTCAAAAACACATCTGAAAAAATGCCCTACATATAATTGTCTTTTTAAAAGGGCAAATCTGTAAAATGTACTTGATTGGTCAGTACACAGTGAATGAGCTTCAAGTTTCATTCTGATTGGCCAATACTGAGATAGCCCATTGAAATTTACATGGATAAAGACTAAAGCTGGCATGCATAGAAGATTTGCCAAATTTTCTTCTCCTAGTAAGCTTAAAAATTCAATTGCCAAATAACTTTATCTCAGATTTACAATGCAACACTGTTAAAAGATGGTGGCTTGAAACAGATTGTTTCAGTACTGGAACATGTTTTCTACAGGACAGTGCATAAAAATGCATTGCTATGCATTACTCAATCACACAGTACTGTACAGGAGGCCTGAAAGTACAGCAGTAATAATTTTATTCTCAATCAGATATAACTATAAGTCAGCTCTTTTTTAAAAATTCTGCTGAAGAAATTCAGTTTTTTTTCTTCAATTTTCGATGCTTAAGGTATGGCATTCAAAAATCCTCACAGTAATTATTACTTAACTAGGCCCTACAACACTGCAAATTCACGGCAAAAAAGACAATAATATAATCACAAACCTTTAAAGATGGGACATATGTTCCAAGCTTTGATGCCTCCAAGCGACATGAACTGGCCCAGAGCCACCTCCATGAAGAAGAGAGGAATTCCCCCAGCAACAGCGCATATTAAGTAGGGAATCAGAAACGCACCTGAAAAGTTACCCAAAAAGATAAGCCTGGATGACACAAGTTTACAACAGGAGTCAAAGAGGCTTTGGGTTAAATGTGCAGATACAGATTTGCAAATCAAGCTGGCGTAGGCCTGCGCCTAGGCCGAGTAAACATATACTGTAGCTAGCCTATCCAATTTACGAGCCTACTCTGCCAGTCTACGGTACACCTTCCGTAGGTGTATGCCGCACCTTCGATTCCGAATTTAAACTTTCCACAATTTGCAAGGTTAAAGCGCCAAACCTACGTCTGAAGTGACAACAGATGACACCTACCACCACCATTTTTGTAGCAAAGGTATGGGAATCTCCAGATATTTCCCAAGCCTACAGCAAAACCGATGCAGGACAGGATAAAGTCTAGCCGTCCCGTCCATCGCTCCCTTGGTTTCTCCACGGTGCCAGGCCCAGATGATGATGTCCTTTCCACGAAAGTACAAGTTTCATCTGCCTCCTTCACGTCGGAAACGGCAGTCGGCTGCAGCGGTGTACCCTTGAGTGGTGTTTCTGACATGCTTGATGAGTGGTGTAAACCTATGTGGCATCAAAAATAATCTTCTGAGAACATGATATGACCGAGCAAATGCCACTCAACCAAAGTTCACCACCGAAACGAGTACTACTGCACGTATGGCGACTGTATGTACACAGTCTAGTCTAGTACATACTGTACACGTAATTAATGTAAACCGTGACCCGCGTGCGCGTTCGATTCGTTGAATATGAAGGTCAAAAAGTGAGGCGTACACGTCTACATGATATGCATATTTATGTATTCATGCATATTCGTTGAAAAGTTTCAGGGCGCGTTCAGAGGGATCCCAATACGACGCTTTCAGCGTCGATCTGCGCACTGCCGTGTTTGAAAACGAGGCTGTACGTGTCAGCTTCAATTCTTAATACGATCAGATGATTGAAAGGAAGGAGTTAAGACACAAAATACATAACGGTATGTGAAGTTCAGACTTTTCAGGCAGCAAAATTTTGTGGAAGAGTCTATCAGGATGACTCGACACGTAAAATCAAAAGATAAAATAACGACAATTGACCGCGAACTAACGTACCTGCGATGGTTGTGTATCTTGTGCAGTGGGCGTGGTTAAAACTGAAGTGGCGTCGAACTTACGAACCGAATACTCCATGTAATGTACTCTGTGGATCATGGACTCCGGGTGCGCGCGAACAAGTTACGCAGAGAGCCTTGCTTTCGATGCCGATATGCGCAGACGGCGTAATGTCAAATCCCTATATACTCGACTTCGGCTCCGTCGGAGGCTTCAACTGTTTATTTATTTACAACCTGACTTTGAAGTTGTAAGCGCAATAGTAAGTCTGATAGTGTTACAAACGCCACGTAAGATGCAAAAGAGCCAAACAGTACAGTCCTGCAATTGAATTTAAACGCTTCAGGCCTTTAATCGGGGGTTGGTTTCAGAGACACAGCCTGCAACGGAGACGGAGTTGAGTATTGGAAAACGGCTAGCCCTTAGTCAAGGCGCGCGTGGCACATTTTCATGCTCAGAATCAGCGTACGCCAGCGCAGCATGCACATGTTGATGGCATGGGAATTGTGGGCAGCGGGACGCTTACCACGGCCAGGAAAAGTAAAAATGGGTGAAAGAAAAAAGCGAAAGGGACGAAAAGGAGAGATGAAATAGGATGAAATCAATAAGTTGCTTGAAATTCCCTTGGAAATGAACCTATTGTCGAAAATCGTTTAGCAGTTGGCAGCTGATGAGTGCTTTGCCCCATCTCCACGAAATTTTCTCCCCCCGCCCCAACAAACAAAGTGCTTCTCCTGTAATAAAAACATGCGCGTGCAGACTTTTTCACGTTGATCTATGTGGAGGGTCGTTAAAATCCTTCACTGTGTTTTATTTACATTTTTTCGATTAAAAAGGTCTTTTATATATTTTACTGTTTTACAAATTCAGTATTTTTCAAATTTCATCGTTTTCCCTTTAATTCAAATCCTGAGGCAAAACACTGCAGGTGATGAGTCAATGCGTTAAGTATAAATAGCTTTTCGTTCATTCCAATTTAGGAATTGACCTGAAAATTTAGTAGGAATTTTTTCATAAAATATAGTCGACGAGACGAGGGAATCAAGCAGAGTGTCTCTCATGTGTGGTGTCACTATTTTTCCAGTATTTAACAAATAGTTCTTTAGGTTTTGCATGTTTTGCAATATGAACCAGACACACGGCAAATGAATATAGCTTGTTACAGTTCATTGCATGTATTTCTTTTTAACTGTGTAGACTTTTACTAAATCAACTTTTACAAACGAGAAACACAAAGCATAAAATACCAAGAACCAAACCAGTAAAATGCTATTTTTGATCAGTGAACCAGGCAGCCTGAAACCAAATACGAATCCCACAAACGTGAAGGATTAAATTGTAACTGCCCCCCTTATTCTCCACCTTGGTTGGTTCACGGCTGCTAGGTATGTCTAGTTGTACTAATTGACAGCACTAGTTTAGCTTAGTAGTCCCTCTAAAAACGGCGTAACTCGCCCTCTCTTCCTGGTGGTCGACCTGAGCAAACCAGTATTCCTGAGAACATAGTGTTGTGCGCAAGCCGCGGGAAAGAAGCTCTGTACTCGAGTGTGAGTTTGGCCTAGTGTAAATAATTGGGACGCTAATCACAGAACAACACTGAAAATTAGTCAATTTTTATGAGTGTCCATTTTAAATCTTGAAAGGATCAGTAAGTCACACACAGTGTAATTTCTTATACCATTGCTGTGCCGCGGAGTACAGTTGTAACGTACAATGTATAGGTGAAGCGCCTTTGTGAAGGCGCGTGTTGTTGTGGATGTAAAGGATAACGTGGGCTGGCTATGCCTGACCGGGTAGCAGACTCCAAAAGACGAGACTGCCACAGTATTGTTGCCGTGACTGACTACACAAGTACGCCTCGCTTAGGATTTTTCGTACGAAATTCCATCATGATTTTATTCGAATATTAACCACAAAAAACCAAACAAACAAACAAAGAAGGAATACACTTATGGTTCAGCCATTTACAGAAACAGAAACTCTAGATTAAGGTTCAAGGTTCATCAGACACCGAATCAGTGGCGTAGCCGGGGGGGGCTGGGGGAACGTGCACCCCCCTACAAATTCCCGGTGCCCCTCACTGAAAAAAAGGATGAATGGATATTGACCAAGAATAACAAAAACTTGCCCCCCCCCAAAAAAAACCAAACCACTGAAAGCTGGTGCCCCCATGAGATGCTGGTGCCCCTTTGCTCCTCCCACTAGTAAAATTCTAGCTACGCCACTGCATTGAATGACACCAAACAGCACCAAAGACTGGTTCCGACTGACTGAACTTCAAATGACATTGGTATCGGTTCACTTCGTGGAAATAAAACCGCGTTTTCTAGACTTTTCACGAAGTGATCTTTCTCAATGCGTCAGTCTGTGAAAAAATAATTTTAAATTTTGGAGAAGGAGGCCAACATTTTTAATTACCCAAATTAATTTAATTAACTCTTCAGAGCACTTATAAGTTGTTTAACTTTTTCAGAAATTAAAAGATTTTATCATTTCACAACAAGAATAGGCTATGCTAAGTACCCAAATTCATCAAAAATTGACATGTCAGATCGTAGTACGATCAATGACTTTTTTAAAGAAGGTAACCGAGCATGTACATATATGGTATGTGGGCTGGGCAAACCGTGAACGATCACTACAACTTAACACAAATACTGTGCTATATTATAACCCTCGGTATATGTAACAGTTGTCCCATTGCTGTGTATTTTCCCTGAATACACCAGTGTTACACGCAAGGGAAGCCTCGAAATGAGGGTAATCGAACGCTGCAGTGTACTCGCCAACGCATTCTGGGAAAAAGGTTAAGTCCCCGCCACGTTCCATCATGTACGTCATTGCACGAACAGTCCATCCGTGACGTCATTACACTCGGGCAGCCTCCAGAGACCCGCTCACCAGCCGGGGTAGTAGTGGCTGACACCAGGGCAGGCACGAGAATCACGTGATGGCTAAGCGAACGCTTTGTGTAAGTTTGACTTACACGTGTAAGCTAATCGAACGCGCCCATTAAAGGTTTGCTTCCTGCGCAAAGTTGCCTCCCTATATTCAAGCGTAACAAGTCTGCAAAAATGTCCAAATCTTTCAATCGTGGTGTCCACACAATGGTTGCTTATTTAAGGCAAATTAATTCCACACTTTTGCCGTGCTTTTATACGATAGGATTACAGAAAAGCGTCTCTTCTGAACAACAATATTTATGACGCTATTTTTACCCTTGGAATACGATTTTCTATTTTCCCGACCCACACCCAACAGATGACCTTTTAGGCATTCTGCCATGATACATGCACAAAAGCCCTGAGTTCAGCACGTCTCGGTAAAAAAAGAATAAATTGAGACACTTGGCTTGCTTTGACGATTTACTCATAATCCTGGGATTTTTGTTCACGAGCAACACGAAGTAAATCATTCTTACTTAGTCCCTCTAAAATAACGCGGGATGTTAGTCAAGGTGTTTGCTCAAAGTCCGACACGAGAAGGTCAGAGAAGTCTAAAAAATACTTCAAGGCTTGAAATCAGCCCAACATTACAAGTACATGGAAAAGCTTGAAGACGGGCTTTTGCCTGGAAACTAGCGTCCCAGAATGTTACAACGGCGCATGACGGCATGCAAGGACATACCGCACGTCCTTCAAAATCGCACCACGGCAACGAAGTGCCCTCTCCATTTCTTACATTTACCTACGCAATGTATTTTCTGCACGATCTTGAATTCAGGGACTTCACTGCTTATCCGTTCCATCCAGTTTTAGTTAACTTTGCTGAAAACCTGCAAATTCAGGCTCTGCATGGCGTGGGTCGGGTGCACCAAATAGGACGATTTGGAAACACGAAATGCAAAGCAGCACGGTTGTTTTGATCAGCTGTCAACTGGACGTTCTAGTTTCTTCCCTCTGACTAAATTCTTTACAAGGAGTTTCTTCTGAAGATAATACTAAACGAATGTGACACGTACCTCAATGCAGCATCGGAAACTACATGCGTAGAAGCAAATGATAGCTGTTCCTCTCAGCAGAATTCAAGTCAAAATTGAGTCTAAAGTGGAAATCAAACTAAAGTGCTTTTGAAAATTCGCCATTCACATGCAAAGTCATTGAAGGCTTTCTTCCGTGCCTCCATTACCTTTTACCATGCTTTTACTGACCTAGTAGAATGACGCGACAATGCATGCTTAGGCTAGCCAAGGCCAAATCTCTCAATGTAAGTCAACACTGCAATAAATTTACAACCCGTCAGTGCATTTAATTCAGTTATTTGATAACAAACATAAAACATTTGCCTCATTAAAATGTGAGTTTACATTCCAACAGGAGTTCCTTCTCAATGCTATCGATTCAAAATCCCAGATAAAGCCTAAAATACCTTTTAAACAATCCACAGTTGGAATGCTGGTAATATATATTTTGTACCAATCCCACTGATCAACATAGGGTTTTCTCATGCGCTGGGTTCTGAATACGGACGTGTATAACAAATCTGGACAGGCAACGCCTTGTGTGAAATGGAAGCCTCACAGCGGTCATTTTACCGAGCTGAATACGAAAGGCGGGTTGGCTCGGTTGCCATTGTACCTATTGACGCCAGGGAGAACAAAGGGCGGGCATTGCCGGGCAAGCTTCGTATTCGGCTCGGTAAAATGGCCACTAGTGGATCCAATGATTTCTATAAGCTGATTAAAGGCATTGCGAGTCCACTTTTTTTATATACGTTCGTGGTTCTAAAGCGTTGAAGGTCCCATATTACAATGCTAGTGCCCCCAAGCCACCAAATTCAGAAACGGAGTTCAGTGAAGTGTTGAACAGCTAGTATTCAGCTATGAAGCTCCCATAGTATTGCACACAAAAGATAAATACAGGTGTCACAAATGAATTTATTTTGTAAATTTGCACCAGTGTGAAGTTAATAATATGGAATATAAACTAGTCTCTGTGTGTTTTTACTATATATTGTGACGCCGCGCCCCTCCGCCGAAGGCGAGGGCGCCCTCCTCCTCGCGGTGCGGCGCGTCGGACGGCACGCCGGAGAGTCCCTGAGCGGCTAGGGACGAGTCCGTTGGGACCGAAGTATACCGTCCCCCAAGAAAGTTTGTCTTCGTCGAGATGATGGCTAATCTGATTGGTCGAAACTTAATGACGTAACCCGGACAGACCTGACTTGAAACTTCGCCTGGACTCCTGACTTATATACAACAATTAACAAGCGGCTGGTTTATTTATCAACACTCTCAACCAATACACCAGTAGAGGGCGCTATTGACGGGGAGACTGTGTGATTAAACGTGACCGGACTTCGCCCAGCAGAGCAGCGAACACCACAATTAATTGTGAGCATCCAGTGCCGAATCAGGGACTTTGGCAAGTCTACGGGGCTTATTGTCAGGGCTGCGCTACACGCAACTCACGTCACGAGATAGCAATCCACCCTTGCATCGACCGCAAGCTCCTATCAGGAACTATACCGCACCACCAATTAGCCCCTCAACCTACCGAGCCCCTCAACGGCACACCCACCACTCGGACTTAGGCACAGTCACACTAGGCTAGGTGACTTTAACCCTTGCACAGGATTCTCGACCCTTACCTCAGGATCAGCCCTTGATCAGGACGACTAGGCCAAGCCTGCCCGCGCGTTTTATAGCTTGGCACCGCGCCTAGTACTAGTACAGTGATTAGCGCCCTCTGTCACGTCACAATATTTACTTACCTGCCATTTCATTGGTTACAAGTTATTGAATGTTAATTAGGTCTGTGTACTTACCTGCTTCCCAGAGGGCAGCATTGCTGAAACCACCGAATAAGGAATGGTATGCCAAAGTCAGCGAGTGTGGAGCAGTGTGCGTTGAAGTGTAAATAGTGCCATGGTTATGAACAACTGAGTCCAAATTCTTGTCAATTATTTTTAGGGGGGTGCCAGGCCCTGAGAGTTGTTGCTGCTAGCAGGAGGGACACTTGCTGCTGAACCCTCAAGCTGGCAACATCGATAGAGCTCAGGACAAACCAAAGCCAAGTGCCAACAAATTATTGTCGACAGTCTGAGCAATAGCAAGTTATACAGGTAGTGGCTGCTAGGTATTGTTTTTCCCAAGTGGATGAAAACCCACCTAACCATGGGTGTCATTCTTGTTGATGTTAAAACATCTATATTGTGAAAATTTACTTAGATAGTGACTATAAAGACAATTTTTTGCATTAAGAAACAAACTGCATGTGGCAGATAAAATTTTGATCTTTCTAAAAGTAAGTAGAAATTTCCCAAGGTAAGTAAGTCAGTTTGGTATTCACTTTTAGATGGCGGAAGTTTTGGGGTAAAACCCAAGCCATTTAATCTGATTGGTGAGACCCGCATAAAACGCCTGATGAGAAGCCAGCCCTGGGAACTGGTGGGCCGGTTTCGTCACCGTAATTACTGTGACCCCTTTGTGAGTTGCGGTGAGACTGAGAACCCACCATGAACTTGAGCCCTCCGTGTGTTCCATTGGCCAAGAAAGCCTCCATAAAGTTCCAAGGTTCCAGGAAACACCCGTGCATCGGACGGGAGGGACACTTTAGTCATTCACCCAGAACACTGACAGAATTGTAATCTGGAATATTTACTGGTATATACATGTACTTTTATCCTTTGGATAAGTGTTAAAGTGTTAATTGTGAAGCATTATGTGTTCTGTTAAGTGTTAGATTGAAAAGCCACACAAAATTGCCCGGTGTTGAAAGAATCACTGATAAAATTGAAGTGTGATTCTAGGTAATGATATTATAAAGTTGAAGTAAGGAGAAAGAGATTGAAAAAGTAAGTGCTGGTGAAAACTGAAGTGGAAGCCACCACGGTAAAAGGGGAGAACAATTTTGGAACCGAGTAATTATTGAGGTGGTGGTTGTGAAAAAAGGAAAGAAACCTTTAACCTTTATTAAAGAAACCTCTGTGGATTTTTAAAAAGATGAAAATATGTTAAAATGGTGTAAAACGAAACTGATTTGAAATTGTGCTGTAGATAAGTAAACAGAATCTGACTGTGTGGTAAAAAAACCGAATGGATCTTGAAGTGGTGTGTAAAAGCTAAAGGACAAAGAATTGTGGAAAAGGATCTAAGTGAGTATTGGGATAATACAATTTGACTTTGGAATAAATATTTATTGCCACATTGAAAGTGATGAAGACTTGAATATTGAAATTGTTAGTGATTTGGGGAAGTTCTCCAACGAGTGCGCCAGTTGGTGGATGTGGGAATTTCTGAAGGCATAGATGTTAGCACTTGTAGTTTTAAGGAAGTGAATACGGCTATATAGAAATATTGACTTATAGAGAATTGGTGCAGTTGTTTCATCGCTCGAGTCTTGGGCATGTTCCATTTCTCGTACTTGGCGTGAGCCATCTATGGTGGCTGAGTGACAACTGGGGTAAACGTTTGATAAACATACTCTCTCCAGGGAATTTCTTCAAAGGGGTTTCAAGGTACACATGTCGTAACTCCAAGATCAAAAGTTTTCGTCGGGCAATGAATGCTAGGGATGAATATATGTCTTTTCCTTTACTCGAAATACTCAAGAAGCCACGAAGCACAGAGTGGTTAATTTCTTCTATGCCGGGGAGCAATGCACACACATGCCAGATATCGTCAAACATGTGACTGGCTCCACAAAAATGGGTATTATGGGACATTTTTTTCCAAATTGAGTTACATACACATTTGAATTGGTTGCATTGTAAGCTTTAATTTGGTGTAGGTTTGAACACAGTGGCATTTTGCAATCTGGAGATATATTGATTTCTGCATGATAATCAAATCATACATATAGAATTTCTTTCAGAAATAATGCCCTTTAAACACAGGAATTGGAAAAAGAAATCAGCCAAGAAGAAAGTCTCTTGATACCCATAGCAACAGTTAGGCTTCTTGTATAAACTGTGAAAGTACTAGTCCAATAGAAGCCAATAACCAAGAATTAAAAAATCACGCTGTCCACATAAAAAGCCTGTAGTGTGAAATAGCACAGTGTCCCTTAAAACCCTTTTTCGCATAGTGGGTCACATATATACATGTACATAATGTACTCCGCTTTTAAATACTTCAGCATTATTCTAATGCTTAAAAGAACAAATAAGGAACTTAATCTTGGCTCATATATAGAGCATACAGATTTTAGGGCCATAAAAATTTGTCTGGGCAACGTCAAATGTCACAAAACTGCAATACACGGTAGCCAAGTCTGAAGTCCTGAATTCATGGTTGGACGCGGATGTCTTACTAATGACATTTTTTCTCTTGAATACCTTTCCCCACACAACTTAAATATGGTGATTCTATCTTTCACATTCATCAAAATACTCCAGATCAAAGCATACACAAGTTCCAGACAGAAAAAAATGTACAGTACAAGCAACAAGGCAATTCCTCCAAGGAGAACAAACAATCCATCCGTGAACAACACCCAGCTGAGGCCTTCTGGAAACCAACAAGTACTTATACACATAAGACCACAGTTGATAATTCTACATCATGTACTCGCCAACACAATGCATGGCTCAACAATGCATGTCCCATTCCGAAGATATACCACAAAGCAAACATCTTTATGACAGCTACCAGTACACAAAGATATCATTATCAAGGCAGTAATCTAAGATTAGGCCTTTTTTAATCATATGTATCCTTGAAATGGTACTTAAAGCACGCACCTCAAATGACTTTTCATTATACTTGGGGTGGCAACCACCTCTCATCCGTATGATAAGGGTTCGGCCCAACTTGGACCTTGAGGTTGTGGTAGATTCTTTCTTGATCCATAAGAGCTTTTCCCTTATTGTCCAGTTTTCCTCCCTTCATTAGGCAGTTGCCCAGGCACCTTCATTAACATGCCTTCATCTCAACCACTCTGTAGATGCATCCTTTGTAATCTTTCAGCCCTGTTGATATATATACGTCACGAGAGACTTATTCTTCTCTCAGCTTTCTGAGGACTGTACAGCAAAAGCTTGAAAAAATATCAAAAAGATCCACCATTCTACTGAAAACACAAGTCAGTTGTTCTCACTTTTCCACCAAAGGCAAGAATTTGGGTAAAGTGCTCTGCTCATGGACATATAAATAACCCTTACGACAAGCCTGAGTTAGCATATAAACATAAGAAAAAAACAGATCTTGAGATCACAAGTATATCCTAAAAGACTGACGGCCCACACACTGCTGCTAAAATTATCATAATACTGCTGCTAAATACAAGGTTGGGCCCTGCCTGGTTATACTTGATGGATTTGGTTTATTGTACACACAATTTACTCTCGAATTTCAAGGGTAAGCTTTTCATGACATAATGATAAATTATTAATTTTGCTTTATCACAAATTTATGGTAAAACACTCTGACAATGCTTGTGTGTGTGTAATGCACAATACTCTACTGCAGCTGCTTAAAGTTTGCTGACATGAACATTTGCACAAATTAAAGAAATGACTTCATCAACAAGTCTCCTGATTCAAAATTTAAGTCTAGCGAACGAAAGCGGAGACGTCTCCTGGTTACAATATAATGGCCAAAGAATGAAGATTAAAACCAGTAAACGACGCACTCACATGTAACCATTAAAACCGATGACACGTGGACTCCAAGAATACACTGTGTCTATACTGATGATAGATTTTAAAAAATTGTTTTCCACTGAGAAATAAAATGCAGGTTTAGGGAACATGCATGCTATGTCTCACATACTTTGTACCCTAAACATGTGTGTGCGCAAAACTGAAAAACCATCACACAAAATGACATGTACGGTATTAACAAATGCACAGAAACAACTTCAATACGCAAAACCAGCGCTAAGAGAAAGCTTAATTTTCAAGCTTAATTCAACCTGAAACTACGACTGGTCTGGTCCACGTCTTTAAGACTTTTATCTCCCGGCAGTGTCCTCAGGAAATACTCTGAAGTCTGTAATGGTAAGAGATGACACATAACAGTTTGGATTGCAACTTTGGACAAAAATGATTTAAGAAATGATTGAAAACAGCTTTGTGTGATCTGCCGAAGTTTCAACATTGTTGTTGGAACTAAAAACTCATGATAACAATATCTGTAGCAATTATGAAATAAAATTAATGATGATAAATAGTTGCAACTACTGATATAATGATATTAAGCATGCGCATGCAATTAAAGTCAGATAGCACAACCTATTTATACGGCTGATTCTGTTCTAAACATCATTACAAAAACTTCTTCAGCGCTACCAACCACTTATCGTTGCAACACTTACATACACATTCAAACCCCTCTCCTTACTGGTCGCTCTCTGTCCCTGGAATGTCCAGCTCCTGGTCGTCTGCCAAGCTGCTGGAGTGCTCCGAGGCCTTGCGAGTCCGGTGGACCGAGTCCTCCCCAAGAATCTCGCACAGCTCGTCCAGCCGCTCCTGCATGCCTGGCACCCCAGCCAGCTGTGCCTCCAGCCGCTGCTTCTCCTCGTTCAGTGACAGACGCTTGGTGACGTTCAGCTCCTCCAGCCGCCAGCCACCCTCCCCGTCAAACTGCAGAAGGTGGGTGTGGAACTTCCTGCAGAGGACGCGGGGCAGCAGACACGAGTGTAGTAGAATGGCACAAACGTGTGGATCTGAGCTTAGCTCACCCTCCTTGTCGTGCAGATGCAAGGGCTGTTACTCTCGAGTTGCAGAGACTCACTAGGCTCAAGTGCAGCTCTTGCAAGACCTGCACTTGCAGGGCAGGTACTTTGTTCTTTGTACTTTGTAAGGGGCAAGGCAGTTTCTTCTTTACAAAGGGCACTTCAATTACAAAATCAACTTGTCTATGGGAAAATGGGAATGGGCCTCAAGGCAAAGACTACAGGTCCCAAGGCACTTATCTCCAATGCCTCCCTAAATTTCTACCCTGCACTTGACCCTCGCCCGTCACTTGAATGTGTGGATCGCTTGAGTGAGACTGAGAGCACTAACCACAAAAACCATACATTACATGAATATTGGCTGGTGCAAAGTCAGGTAATGTGTAGTTTAGCATTATATAAAGCATTATAAATGTAATCCAATAGTTCTATTCATGCACTGAATTTCCTAATGTAACTACTGTCAGAAAGTCTGAAACCCTGTCATTATGCTACAGAGTACCAAAGTGAATACGTCACACAATTATGTGTGTAAAAGGTATTAATGCGAGAACAGCACGTGAACCAACACGCGCACGGTTTCGATTCGTTTGCGCTACACTTCCTGGTTCAAAATGACGTCACACTTCGGTACTCTATAGCAGCAAAGGTAAAGAAAATGTTTGACTTTGTCAGCCATCCCAGTGGCCAGTGTTACAACAATGATTCACAAAGGTATCTCTTACCAGAGAGAAGGCCTGTGTGTGATGGTCAGCATAATGATGCCTGCATCCTTGGCCCGCTGGAAGATCTTGCCTTCCACGTCAATGCTCACGGCACTTGTACATTCATCCAGAAGTGCAAACTTGGGTCTGGCGGTGAAATGCACAGGAAAACACTCACGAGTATGGATATCAAATAATCTGTATTATTATAATGATCACTGGGATATCATTCAAAACACAGTTGAAAGTTTGAAAGGTTAGATCTCTCACTTCTGGTAGAAGAGTCTTGCCATGCCCATTCGCTGCTTCTCCCCGCCTGATAATACATCTTTCCAGTCACGCACTGCATCCCAACCTGTGTCCAGAACCAATATATAGCATTACATGAAAACTTCAACAGTTTTTCTCTGAATGCACCTCACGCTGCATTAACAGCAGGCATCTTTGTTCTACTCCTCCCTGGATGTGCCTTTGAGTACAATGTTTTCTCCTCTTCTTTATGGTGCGCATTTAGTTTATGTGTTCTACTTTTTCCCCAGGGCCTTGTTACTTTGTGCCGGGGTGCCCGTTACCGGGTACCTTGGGTTTGTAGGCATAGCCGAGGTGCCCAAAATCAGACAAAAGAGCTGAGCCTTGTAACAAAAGACCACACTTAGAACAAAAGACCGAGCTGCTGGGAATTGCCAACATTTTTTCGATCGTCAATATCAGAGGAAATCTGTCATTGTTTGAAAGATTATACCACTGTTTGTGGCATACAGCGCGAGTGGATTACCACTGGGGACAAAAGCGCTCCAGCGTTAAACTGATGAGCGATACAAGACTGTCTCTTCCGAAGCCTATATTCTAGCCTGGTTCCCTTATGAATCCAAAGATCACACTCCATACCAACAAAATTAAAAGAAAGTTTCTTGGGCTCAAGTAAGCACATTATTTTGAAAAGTTTGACACACAACGTTTTAAGATTTTTGGGTGCAGCTTAAGGTATGAGGAAAGTTTTTCTTGTCTTGATTAAACGAAAATTGGCAGAATGTGATCTCATACCACAACCCCTGAAGACCTGTGTGCATTCATAAGACTTGCATTTATGTAATAAAGAAAATCCAATCGTGTAGTGTGCATGAGCAACTGGCTCAAATGCTTAATCAAGCGACTGAAACAACTTCATTTGCCCTTGACCGCTGCTCATCCTGTGGTGACTGAGATCATAACACCATCCTTACCCCCTTCTCTGTTGACAATGGGCTGGAGGTTGACTGTGGCCAGGATTCCTTCAAGGTCCTTATCCGTTAGGCCCTTCTTGAGCATGTCAGCACGCTGGTCAGGGTAGATCACCTGGTCCCGCAGCGTGCCAAGGGACATGTAGGGTCTGAAACCAGACATTTGGATTAGATTTTCAGGACCGACGGCTCTGGTAGAACGGCACTGAAAATTTGGCAGTTCAGGGCTTTGAACAACCGACATAGTGGTGGACACCATTCAAGGCTGATATAAATGAATTTCCCTTTAAACACGGTTAGCAGCACATACAAAGACGGCTTGATGCATCTTATGTGTAAATGTACACTCTGTCCAACATGACCGACCTCTTCCTGTACATCTATCCAAATGAGATGCAATCAAGCAACATGAGTCTTTTGTCCAAGTTTTATTTGAAGAAACATCTCTTAATAAAATGTCCAAAAATTAAATCTTTTCAGTTTCCAACTTCCACAACAACTGATCCAAAGGTTGTTAAAAGGTTGGAATTTTCCTAGAAATGAGGTTGACACTGTATTCCATTCAAATGAATGAAATTCAATAAACTGGCCTGGGACGAAATATGCCTGATTTTGCTTTGAATCACAAATACAGAAAATCATTAAGTTAACTGAAAAAGGTAATTATAACAAAGTCCTTTATTTGGAAGGCAAAGGAAACTGAATGAAGTTGGATTCAAATTCACAACTTCTAGAACAATGTTCAAGTTGTTCTACCAACTGAGCTTTCAGGTTTCCAAATGTGAATGTTTCTAATCTAGTCGATTATATCAGCAGAAAAACAGATACAACTGAAATTGACTCTGATCCTCTTGATCTACCTTTGGGGAATAAAGAGCATCTCCTTTGGATTCGGTTTGACCAGCTTCCCACTGTATGCCGGCCAGAGACCACAGAGGATCCTGAACAGGGAGCTTTTGCCACATCCGTTGGGGCCAGTAATCAACAGATGCATGCTGTCTTTCACCTGAAATGTTGTAAGACGAATAGATGAAGAGATAAATACTTGGAGGTTTCGTTTTACTGCAACACAATTTTGCAGTTGAATTGACCCAAAATCCAGAGGGCAGTTTGTATACATCAGCAAAAGTTGATGGAAGCTTTAAACTTATGCTCAGTTTGAAAACCAGGTTGCAATTTTGGGGTTTCTTGTTTTAGTTTCTTCATAATTTGCCCAGTTTGAAACCCTTTTCACTGAGAATAATCTCCTTGGGTAGCTAAGGAAGCTTGTCAACGTCAGTTTGCAGTTTTACTGTAACTAAAATTGTCTTTCTAGGTTCAAGAAAGCTTAGCATAAACTCCAGTGCTCTGACGAGTCAATTCTGGGCAACTTTGGGTGCAAAGTATGAGTTGACCACCAGCCAACTGCTTTTTAATTATGCACATGTCAAGTACAGTCACACCTGAACAACCTTGGTTGAAAAAGTTTGTTAAATCTCATGGTTACTCGCATTTTGCCATTGGCTGCAACTTTCGCAGCATTCAGGGTCATCTTGAACAATTACTTTCGTGTTACTGGTTACCTCCCTACTTACATTGTAAAAAAGACAAATTTCCCAACGATAACCAGCAGTACGGCCATGCATCTGAGCCGGGTTCAAAATGGTCAACCAGGTGGTCTACACCATCCATCGTTGATCCCCTGTCTGGGACAGCAAGCAAGAATGCTGATCAACAGTAGATTAGTTACTCTGAGACAAATGAATGTGCACTTACCTTTAAAGAAAGCGAACTGACGACAACATCCCTGTTTGGGGTGATGATTGGTAAATCTTTAGCAATGATTAGGGCTCTGTCTGTCTCTGCGATCTCCCCTGAAACAAAAAGATTATCATTTATCACAAACACACACATAAAGGTATCACTGATGGCTCAAATTAAAAATATGGTTTCAGTACGGAGATGAGCAAACACAACAAGCTCCAACATTCATTTTGGTTTTCTAGTCCAGTGTTTGCTACAAGGATACATCGTATTTGTCCAGAGCAGTGGATTTCTGAGAAAGAGAAGTCACATAGAGGTCTAACCACTGTGCATACTCTGCATGATCAGCATCTGCAGTATGACGGGCAATCTTGCTAGAATGGCGGCAGTGATCTGGCCTCTCCTGTAATGAAGTCTTTAGAAAAGAGGCAAGCAATGAAACAAATTGTAGGCTGACATACCTCTAACCTCTAGAGGGCCTTGGAGGCGTGCCACACAGTGTGGTGTCTTGTGACCACCTTTAACAATCCGTGCCCGGACATAGTGGCCATTGCTGACGTCATCAAACACCTCAATCAGGTCAGACACACGAGAGGTGTACCCTGCTAGGGCAGTCACCTGAAATATACAACATATCTATCAAACCCCAAATTTGCGTAAGAAAAATGACATTTCACAATGAGCGCTTAAAGTTAACTGAGAGAAAAGACAAAACATTTGAAAAGGCTAAACAATTTGAAGTGACCCCAAAGTTGGATCATAAACAAATTGTCCATCAACTAAACTTTCAGTTGAAAAATTCAATTTTTTGGATGTTATTTTCTGTGTCGGAATGTTGTGAAATTTGTCCTCTGCCAATGTAAAATGAAATTGATTTACCAGACTGGTAACTTTACAGTGACACCAGTGAAATGTCTGTGATCTTGACGAAAGGTGTGTGCCCCATGCGTTCACCCCTTTGATACACTCCACGGACCGTTCTCACCTCTTTGTAAGATGACATGACCCTCTCCATGGCATCGGCTAGGCTAAGCAGCAGGCTTTTGGCTGTGATGAAGTTCTGGGTGCGAAGACTAACAGACTCGCTCTCACTGACTGGTTTCCCATCTCAAAGAAGAATGTTACCAACCATCATGTCAGCAAGTTCTTGTTTTGTCTTTTATAGCTCTTAAAACTTATTTCCTTTCAAGAAGTGACATTACTCACCTTTAGATATTGAGCACTTACATGTACATATACAGGAAATGTAAGTGTTTCAGAAAACGTTGCCAACTGTATTTGTTACTTCATATGGTGAACCACTGGCAATTAACATCTTATGGATGAATTTGTACATCAAGTGGCCTTGACAAAATAAAGTACAATGGTGATGTGTACATTAAACCATACCGTCTGCTGCCCAGCAAAAGCATGTAATTAAACCATCTGTGGCAATGTGAGTTGTGTGAAAACAATCGTCCAATTGCCCCCATCTGCTAGCCACAAGATGACAAGCTCTATTACTAATGGTCGCTATTAAACTCTGTTTTCCTGCAATTACAGTGTAGGTAAAACCTTCTCCAAAAAGTGAAAAAACCCTTATTCACTTTTGATCTGAATCCTGATTTCCATATAATCGAAATGGATACCAATGGCATGCAAAATGTCAAGACGCAGACAGTCGCAGAAGAAATGCTATGTGACATCATTCCACCACAATAATTGCACAAAATGGTGTCCAAAGCTCAGAAAACTTTCACATAAAATGCCCTTTTTACGTCTTGAAGCCAACCGGTACTCAAGTTTAAAATACATTGTTTATGGTCAGCTGATTATGGTCTGCAGTTGGGCCTGCATAATTTTGGATATCTTAGTAATAAGGAGAATACGGGCAAAATGAATGGTACATGTACTAAGTGAGAGGGACGTCGTACGCCTGTCATCCCAGCATGCATGTTTGCACAGGCCTACTCTTGCAACTCAACGAAGGCAGTTGGCAAAGTTGAACCTGGACCGACTTTCCCGACTGTCTTCGTCGATGTCCGCGTTGGTCACAATAAAAGTGTTTCCACATCACTGTGTATCCTTGGGACTGATTCATTGCATCTCTTTACGTCAATATGGAAACCAGGCTTAACTTACCAGTGCCAATCGGAGTTTTGGCAGTAATGATTGGGACAGCAACCATGGCAAGACCGTTGGCACTCCAAGTGTACTTCAGAAGGAACTGCTCCAGCATGACGTACCACAGACGCTGACGATAAATCAGACTCATCTGTTTCTTCAACGCTTCGTAACTACTCTTCAGCTGCGAATGCTCTACCTAAGTTGGTTGATGATAGTACAGGTGTACCAATGAATGACTATTTGAAGGCCTCTGACATAAAGCCGTGTACATGTAATTTTATTGCTTTCATACAAGGATTCTGCCAAACAAATAATGTGAAATATGTCCAAACTGCAATAAGCTCTTGTTTACATGTACATGTATTTGAACATTGAAATTTATGGAGCAAGGCTGCGGGGTATTAGTTTCATCAGAATATAGGACTTGTACAGCACGATGCCATTATACTATACTGGCATTACCATACTGGCACAATAGTATTTAAGCTGACATCAATGGTTATTGAATATGTGGTGCTGGATTGCAGAGGCAATGGGAATTACTGATATGAATATACACACAGGGGGAAAATATGATGTCACATACATGTACATTGTATACAACTGACAACTTCCACTTGTTTTGGTTAATTCTTTACATTTTTTAAGCAGTATCATGAATAACAAACTGAAGCTTTTGAACGTTGGGAGGATGAAAACATTTAGAATGGAGATTTCTACCTCATGTCCATCATAGAAAGCAATCTCCTCGGCATTGGCAATCACCCTGGAATGCACAAAGCGGAGGTTGCCCTTCTTCTCCGCCTCATCAGCCACCAGGCGTCCAAACCTGGGTGAGGCCGCCCGCAGTATCTTGGCCGTGGCGATGAAGGTCAGGCTGCCGATCAAGGTGGAGAAGCTGGTCCCTGAGTTGTACCTGGTGGCCAGGCCCACCAGCGTGTAGCACATGAGCATGATGTCCAGCATGGGCTTGCTGAGCTGGGAGTACAGGTGGGCCACTGACTCGCAGAACGTGCTGATGTCCTCCGTCAGGTTCTGGTCCGGGTTGGCCAGCCGGGTGTCCATGTTGCCCACCCGGTAGTATGTCTGGTTCTTGAAGTACATCTTGTAGCAGTGGTTGACGAGCCGGGAGCGGAAGGCCAAAGACAGGTTGCTCTCCAGGAAGCGGATGGCACTGTTGACAAACGTTGCTGGCACAGCGATCAACAGCCACTTGAGAATGTGCAGAAGGAACTGCAGCATGTTCTTGTTGACGATCGCTTTGACCATGTTCCCTTCCAAGTGGGCCACATAAATAGACAGAAAAGTCCGGCAGATTAACGACATCGTGTGGAGGCAAAGGAGTCCAAACTCTTTGGTCAAAATCCCTGGCATGATGATCTTGACCAGACGTATCAATTTGCGATTCATTTCCGAGCTGAGAGAGTGTGATGATCCCTCTGTGCTATCCTTGATGGTATCCATAATAACAACGCTGCTCTGCTTCCCAAGGGCCTTTTCAGCCTTTTCATCGTGCTTGGCGGTGATATCTTCGAAGATGCTCCTCATCACCGAGTATGCATATTGCACATGATCTTTGGCGCCGTACGCAACCACCACCGATAGTGCCACACCAGCCAGGATCTTTGGGTGTTTGAAGTTAGAAGACTTCAAGTTCCTTAGGGACTCTTTCAGGCGTAGAAGACGGGACATATTTGGTTTTTACAGACTTGATTTGCTGAAGATAATACAACAAGGTTGATGAGCAGGCAGGTGGATTGTCAGTTTAATATGAAACGCATGTAGGCATGTGGCTTCAGGTATGATTGACTCCACATTAATTTGAAAGACAACGAATGTTGCACACTGGGATTTGCATCAAAGTTGATTAAGACATGTCGTGGTATTAAGGAACTCCCTTTGCATCAGTCAAGACCTGTAAATGAATCAGGCAACAAAAAGTGGCAAACTTAAGAATGCTATCTGTGCTATTAAGAGACACCGGTCAATCTGCAAGTGTACATTGTACATTGGTCGATCCCATAAAAACTCTTTAAAAACAGTCATCCATAACCTTGACCTTATACTACTGTATAAAGAAAAGGTCATCAGCGGATGGCGGATCATTCTGCTTAAAAATCCACCAAAGAAAACTGTAATGTGCTGTGATCAAAATGATCATTCAGAGACTGATCAACTGTATTCAATACAGTATACATACATGTATAGAGGTACACCCACATGTACATATTGTACTCACTTGATCTGATTATGTACGTTAACATGTATACACCAGCCTCATACACTGCTACCCTAACAGTTGCTGGTACCCAATGCTTCATTTACACTGAAAGAGCTGGGGGGGGGATTGAATCCATCCTCTCCATTAAACATTTTCCCTGGTATCATCGCAGAGCATTTTTTCATGCACTAGCCTTCAGGATTTCCTTGTAACATCTTACAATCATTTGACATCAAGCAAAAAAGCGCACACACTCTTCTTACTAAGAATTCGTTTCCCGAGGCAGGTCAGCCAAAGAAATACACTTTTTAATTACCCAGGTTAGAGGTCTTTGTGTGATTTACGTTTTCCAATGAAGTTTGTTTAGGATATTTACAACAAAAGTACACTACTGTGACATATTTCTGCTTCTTGTGTATGATATACGTTGTCCAAGGACACATTTACTTGTTCTAAACCCAACATTTGGGTAATACTTGTATGGAATATTTGAACAAAATTTTCAACTACCACATCAAGTGAAAGTACGAAGACAAATGGGGTAGTAAAAAAGTTACTAGAGCAGGAAGGAACTGATGATACATTGGACGTTAGTAATTAATGTACTGAAGATGTCCTCTGACCTGTGCTACATAACGTTTGCCGTTGACTTGTGGATGTACATGTACATGGGCCAACATGCATGAGGTACATGTAATGAATTTAAAATGAACACAAAACGACATCTACATGTTTATGTTGCATTTACATTTGGTTAAATCTCTGTACGAATGCCAAGTTTCAAAACAAAGGAAAGAATGTTGTAGTTTACATGTAACTCCCATTATTTTCACCATGAGCCTAGGCCTAAATATATTTCATATCAGTCTTTGCAGAAATGCTGAAAAGACATAAACCTGGGAGTAAGAAAAATTTCCAATTTAACTAAGAAATTGGGCCTCCTTAGAAATTTGTCTTGACTCCCCATGGACTTTGTACACAAGTGGAGTTAGGTGCAACATTCCTTCCCAACAGGAAATTCATAAACATGCCTTCTGGATAAGGCAACTTTAAATGAAAATGTGCTTATGGAAGAAAAACTTTCACAAGCATGACAAGTGCAATTCAAATGGAAATTGAGTAAACAGCCTAGGTCCTCACGTTAATCATCCCGAATAATGATGATCACGTTCTACGCACTGAGGAAGGTGCCTAACGATCAAGACAGTCCCATGATTATGATTGATATAGGCCTACTGATGAATTACTATGATCAACTACGATCAGCGCTACCCCCCCCCACACATAACTGTGGGGTCTGTCGTCCCAAACTTTATTTTCATTATTTATCTACCTGCAATATTAACGAGGATGTCAAATTAACCAAACTAAACACTTAAAGGGGAGCACGGACGGCGGACAACGGACCCCACCATGCCACTGTTTCTGGGGGTATACATGTAAGTGCCACGTACGTGTGTAGTTTAGCCGGTCACACATGTATGTCGATGGACGGTCGTATTGTCACGATGCATTTGACATTCCTATCATTGATCATGCTTTATTTGTCATAGCTTGTTCACGTTTCTGCGTCAAAACAAAACTGGAGTTTGCTTCTTGCGTCGGCCGCGGATGGCAATCATGCACCAGCGACTTATCATAACTTCTAGTTGATTCCCTTCTTCTAGCACGAAAATTGACGTACACTCATGGACTCATTGAAGGAACCCGACTGTTGTCTGATCCGTTTTTTGGCCGACAGCGCCCCCATTGTCAAAAAGCGATTAAGCCTTACGACCTGGCTCCCAGACTTCTCCCTATACGGATTAAAGGGCCCAACAACAGTTCCGTCTGTATATTTAACAAAAAAACTTTCGACGAATCGGCACCGCGCGCGCCTAGCGAGCCTTGTCAGATTTTGTCGTCTGTTATCCCCCGGTCTGGAGACGTATAAATCTAATTTATCAAGTATCAAGAGAAACTTAGCTGCTATTGAAGTTTTAAGGCTTGGGAATGACATAGGCCAGACTGCACTTTAAGCTGGTAAAGATGAACTGGGTTGGTGGGGCAAGGTAGGCCTATAGTTTATCCCAAAAAAAAAAAAAAAAGCAAAACGAACGTAACATGGTAACATGCTTCAGTTAACATGGTTAAACCTAGCCCAGGTGGACTCCCTGACCGTACTACGTTACTCAGTCGTAATGAAATGAAGACAACGTCCAACCTGGGCTAGGTTAAACCTAACGTTACAGGCATTGGGACATCGATCATCATTTGTTGATACAACCTGCTATTAGTAGTGCTAACGTCAACAAAACTTCTGCCAAACTGCAGATGAGCCTAAAGACTTTCTATCGTTATGCATTACCTGGTCCTAGGCTCCAATATCGATGCATCCTCCAATAGGACCTGGGCCTTGGCCCCCTATCATGCCTATTTTACTTCCATCAACGCAGCATGCTCAAACTCAAAGCAAACTGAACATTGAGTGCTTTTAAAAAGCATTTTAATGGCTTAATTTAGCTGGTCACCTTTAGTTAGGCTTACCTAACAATTTATTTTTGATGACGGAGGGAGTTTTACATTGATGTTGAACATGTTTTGGACTTATTTAATAGCCTACATGTATATAAGGTTATAAGACAGGCCTTTTGACTATACATATGTTACCAAGGTTACCGAGGTCACATGTACATTGAAAGAGATGTAGTTTTCTCAGCAGCAGAGGTCTTGTTAATGTGTGCCTAATATTGGACATACCGGTAAAAAGATACTTAGATTAGTGAGAATAAGTGCAATTCACAATAGTGCTCCTCTAAGAGTTTGCAACGCCTTGGCAAATCACAATGTGCAAAATCTGTTGACCCAGTGCGCATTCAGAAAGGGTCGACAGATTTCGCGGGTTGTGATCAGCCAATGCGTTGCAAACTCTAGCAGGCGCACTATTGTGAATTGCTCGTATTCTACACATATATGGAACTACAACTGAAAATGTATTTCACCAACGGTGCCTTGCACTGAATAAGAATTTCAGTCCTTCAAATAAAGTTATAAACCTGAAAATGAAGTAGGTGTATTGCACCCAGGCAACAATTATAATACCGTTCTAGTCTACGGAATGAATCCGGCTAAAAAAACATCAATTATTACAAGTGACATAAAGTTGACTCTAACTTTTTGTCCTCAGGAACAGACTCAAAATGAAAGATGAAAAGCAGCGACAAAAGGTCAGTGCCTGACTCTTAGTTGGTCATTTGTGGTGACCAACTGACCGTGACTTCTATACTCATAATTTTTCTGACAGACCCCAGAGGAAGGGACTGCCATTTCAAGCCTTTAAAGTTTATTTTAAAACTAACTCAATTTGTCTTTAGTCCGGTAATATACGTTCTTCATGTAAAGTCAATTTATGTCCAACTCCCTTCATAAGAAACTGGCCTATCTGATGGGCCAGTTGCTGCCCACTTTTGGGTGGTTATTTCAAAAGTTCTCATCTCCTCCACTCAATGATGCAAATTTACACCACTGCTTTATGCTTTTACATCAAAATCCTTTTTGTAGACAAGCCTGAAGTGGGCAGGGTGACTGACAAATGTCACTCTTTATTGCAGGAATTCTTTGAGAAGATGAGATATGGAAACAAAGTGAGACAATTGAGCAGATCTTCAGCTCCCCAAAAGGCGAAACTTCCAGCAAGCCTTGACCTGCTGTCATTACAAGCTGCCGACTATAGTGCCACAAAGTTTAGAAAAAGTGGTTAGTCAAATTAAGCGACTGGAAAAAAAACTACTAGATTGATTTCACTTTACTGTATTTACTTTGGAAAGTTTACTTGACCTGTTCAAACACAAATTCCATTTTCATCAATGGCAAAAATACTACATCATTTGTAAGATTATCATCAGTAAGATTATCACTGGTTTTTCTTGGGAATAGCCGTGATTTAGGTTGCGAAATGATCATCAATTATTCATGATTTCAGTAGCCACATCACACTTTCAATGGTTCAGGTTTGATCACAAGCTACTGTGGAGCAGACAAAACATATATGTTGTTGCTAAACTAAAGCAATCTTTGTAATGCCCTCAGATACCATGAAGAGTTCGAAAAGTAAAGTGAAGAAGGTTGAACTAGACCGAAGCAAGGGGCTCTTCCCTTTTCATCACCACCATGATGATTTGGAGCTTCCCATGTCTCCTTGTGCCCCATCCAAACTGCAACTAGATGATTTAGATCAAAGGTACTGTAACAATGCACTGTTTAACTTTGCTACCAACATCTTTGACATGGATGTGTAGAAATGTACGAACGGTTTGAAGAGAGACTGACTGGGCAGAGACAACTTTCAAATCAAACAAAGGGAGGGATGGGTTGTAAATTAAATTTGACAAATCTCACCAATCCAAAGAAAGTCATAATCGTTTCATAACAGAGAAAGTATCATGATAAGATGTCTTGTAATCTTTGTTTTATAAGTTGTATATTTGGCTCATTTCTTTCAGATTTCTTTCCGTTCGATTTTTGAAGGATAAAACTGGACTATTAAAGACAAAATTGTTTCCTTTTTCAGCAGAAATCTTGATGGCCGTCATCCTAAAGAGGTGACACCACAAGCCAACACAGTACCCTTTGTATCACCATCACAACAAATAGACCAGGAAATCTACAGAATAAAAACTGCAGAGGATTCAAAGGTACCCTGCAGGCACTGTGTGCTATATGGATGGAGCACTGTAGTTTGAAGAAAGGGTTTGGGCTTAACATTGAGAGAAAGACAAAGAATACTTTGTTCTCTATGACAAGTATTAATTAATTTAAGCAACGAATAAAGAAGATGCCTCCTTCACTTTGGTTTGTACAAAAAGATAAATTACAGTGTGGTAATTCCTTAGTTGTAAAAGTACATGTATTTCAATTCTCTTGCCCAAATTAGAAACAAAGCTGACATCACAACTTTGGATTCTTAATTATAAGTTACAGTCTCAGTGTAGTGGACAAAGTCATCTGAGCTTCCAGCCATCAAGCCCATTTCACAGCACGCCAATGGCACAAGAATTCTTCAATGCACCACAACAACCCTTGAAGCACCAAGGGAAACACTTTGAGGATCTGTTCTTCAGCTTTGTACCCAGTGACACCTCGAAACCAACGCAAGACCCGCCTGAGGAATTCTCCGCAATCAGTAACGACGGTGATGAGTGAGTGAGGACTTTTGTACCGAAGAATATGCACAGAGAAGACCTGTGTGCTTACGATTTGAAAGCTTTGCACACAGTTTATGACTGCTGCAGTGACTGTTAAGAATGGATGCTGAGAGTAGGCATGAATTTTTTTCTGTTAGGTGCCTAGACCGGGGGGGGGTTTCCTATACCAACACTGGAAGACAGCACAAGATGATATGCAACAGTTGGTTGTTGGACTATATACCGACCACTAAGTTTAACTTTGATCTACCCATAGATTTTCCCAGCACGAATCAGTGTGGTTTGCATAGATTTGAGAGTTTTTGTAATAATTCTAATTTCACCTTCATAAGCTAGTGGCCCTGTCATTATTTCTCACATATGTAAGATTTTTATGACATACGTTGTAATAAACGTCCAATTAATTGACAATTCTGATCTTACATTCATTAGGTTTGACTACAGCCCACTGTCCTCCATTCCATCTGAGTCAAGTGTTACTTCATCCCTTACTGTGAAAAGTCCTTCTTCCCAGTTTAATTCTACAATTGAGGTAAATACCATGGGTATACTGTGATACAAAACCCAACATTACCCTTCCCTTCAGTTAACAAGGAAAACAAATTGTTGTATATTATTGGATTGTTGAGGTCATGCAAATTGAGTGCATACTTCTGTAAGGATTGAACTTGTCCTTTCCACTTTTGCCAGCACAACCAGGTGCCACTTGTCTCAAAAACCAGCACCCTACCGTCACAAGGAAAACAACTTGAAAGTTCAAGACCCATCTGCAGTCCCGTAGATCTCACACAGCATACAGCATCATTTCCAATAATGATTGACAGCCTCCCCAACGAGGACTACAAATCAGACTCCAGCCTCTGTGGTCACAAGCGGGAATCTGCCCAGGCACAAAAGCCGCTGGACAACCCTGGGTCGAATCAGCAACAAGTTGATCTGATGTGCAAAGAGAAAGCCAGCTTCTTGTCGCCGTTCTGTAAACAGGCGGAAGTTTTCACCTCGGCTCAAGTGAGATCAAGAAAAAGAAGGCTGGGCTCAGAGATAGCTTTCTCTGATACACAGAGTTGTGAAAAATCTGCAAGCTGCATAGGACTGTCAGAATCATCAAGCAACATGAGCAGCGGAAGAGCAATAGAAAAAGAGCAAAAGTGGTTGAGAAAGGATGACATTGCTTTAAATACAGTAGGAAACTCCTTTGTATCAGGTAAACCAGTTTTTTCCTTCTTGTCCAAAACCGACCCACAGGCGCAATAGTGATAACCATGTCCATATGCATTCAAATATATATATGTGGCAACCCTGAAAGAGAACATTGTGTTTCTGATATCAATGGACAGAGGAAAAGGCCATTTTGTACTCTTCCACAATTAGACTGATTTATTTTTCTACAGGTACAGATGTGTATGTGGCTTTGGGCAATGATATAGGCTTTGACATTACCTCAAATGGAAATCATACAGTGTTCAATCTTAAATAAGTCTTTCAAATATATTGGTAACCATAAACACATCTTCCACTGAGGGGGTTAAAGGAAAACAAACAAATAAGCTTTTGTCTGTAGGCTTCACGGATATTCAAACCTACAGGGTTTCAGATCTTTTGCAATATGCCATTAGGCTTAGTTAAAGTTTATCCTGTCAACTTGGAAAAGTAATGTGTAGATTTTCTGACTTTTCATAGGGCACAAATTTACAGAAAACTCAACCACTGGCAATGATGAGAGGTAATTATGCACAGAACAATAAACGATTTCATTATTAACAAAAAACATTAAAAACAAAATTCTTCTTTGTGCAATTCAGTGAATGATAAATTCATGAAACTATATATACACATTATGCCTCGATTTATGCCACTGATTATCTTCAGAGCAAAGTCCAACTTTCCTTTTGTACTCTGTTTAGAACTAGCAGTTTTTTTTTACTTTTTATTAAAATGATCATAATTATAGAAAGTTTTGACCACTACAGATTTTCACCTCTTACCAAGTAGAAATATCTGTTCTTCCAAGCTTGCATTATTCTGCGAGTGGCACTGAAATGCATTTTTACTAAGAAATCTTTCTGTGTTTATGCATGGACTGAAAAAAACCTTTGTATCATGCCCTTAGAAATGTTTCAAAAGCCCCCACCAAGGCAATGAGCAAAGTGTGTGAACAAGTTCTAAAGGAGGTGAGTCATATTCACCAATGGCAGTTTGACATGTGAAGAGATAAAGTTCAGTTGCTATTGGACAATGAGATTTCAGCTGAGACTCTGATTAAAGAAGAAGTTTACAAATGTTCAACATTCCTTGTAGTCATAGAGTGCACTTTGCGAAATCTTTCATACCTTAAAGGTCACCAATTAATTAATCTCTTTTCATAGTTCTTTCCAGTAAGTAAATGTACATTCTTTGTTCTAACTTGTGAGCGTGAAGCCTGTGATCTCTCTTTGTGATTCTTTAAGGTTCTACAACTTGACAGTGAATTGTGCCAACACAGCCCACTTCATCAGGATTCATCTTCACACCGAGGTACTTTTTAGCAGTATATAAAATTTACCTAAGGAACTGACAGTTTTGAAGAATGAGTTGTTTAGCAGAGTTAAAATGAGTCACTTGTTTTTCTGACTTGAGTCAAGTTGTGTCACTGTAACATAGTGACTCCAGTCAAGTTGAGTGATTAGGCAAAAAGTTGAGTCAAATCAAGTTACCTATATTTGAACACGCTACGATAAATAAAAACAAAAGAGAAAGTCTTTTTAGCATTTTAAATTTTACCGCGAGGTGTCTAAATGTGGTCACGCCACATCTTACACTTGATGATAATACATGACAGGAACAGTTTAAACTGGCACTGTAAGTCATTGCAGTAGTTTTGTCGAAAAGAAGTTAGCTTTCATTTTTTTGATTATTTTTCACTCGAGTCAGGTCTCCTGATGAGGGACTCGGGTCGAGTCATTTGCTCACAGTGTCTCAAGTCAAGCCGAGTCATCAACCCGTCAGGAGTCGATGCACCAAAACTTGTGACTCAAGTCAGACTCAAATCGGGTCATTGACTTGGGTCATTACAATGCTGCATTTTAGAAACTGAGGGTCAACTTTACTTTCGGCCCTAATTTTAAATGCATATGGTACCATGAATAATATCATTTACCATATTTCATTGGGTGCCCACCACATCCCCTTGCAGCCGTATACCATGTCAAATTGATTTTTGTCTATATATCTCTAGTTGCAAGGTGTTTGAAGAATGGAACAAGTAGCAACATGATGCTTGCGGTTATCTTGATCAGCAAAATGACTCTAACACCATGCCATAATAGTTGCTCTTGCACATTTAACAGGATTACAGCCACCATTGATGGAAGTCATCAATTTACCAGTCAAGCAAAACAAGCTCGAAATGGAAAAATTCAGTTGTCAAGTTGCTGAGGTGAGAAAATGAGAAATACATGAATATATAAGTTTTTCTCTTTTGTCATACTTTGTAGTCCGCTCAGTGCTTCCCCAAAGAAAATATTATTCCAGGTGACACTCATGAATTTAGGTTTTTGAAACTCTCGCTCTTTCAAACTGAGAAACACTATATCATGTGTAAGATATTCAAGTTACCTTTGAGATGCGAATTTCACATTGCTATATAGATAAAAGGAATTTCAGTGAATTAATCCACACAGTATCAGATATACTACACAGTATTAGATATACTACACAGGATAACTCACCCCAGAGAAGTCACATACACACCACCTTCACAATATCTTCCACATTCTGGAAGGACAAATCACGTGTGCAGAGTTCGCTCAGTAGCTAGTCCCATTTATAACATTTATTGCAGGTGTACTCCAAGAGTGCGTGAACCTTTGTCACCTGATGATTATCTGTAAAGCACGAACTTTTCAACTCTCAAAGTAAATTCACTCCATTCCTGCACTACAAAGTTAGAATATGTTTATTCTGTAAATGTTTACCCAGCTCAACCTTTACTTAATGCTTCAATGTAGGTTCCTCTTTGTGCACATCAAGAAAGAAATCCTCACACAAAATGTACATGCACTTGCTTTCAGATATTCACAGTAAACTGTTGATACATTGGTCTCGCAGTCATACAGATACATTCTGGTGTGGTACATACAATCTTTGATGACAAACAGAAGTGCAGAAAAAAGACTTTTAAAGCCAATAGAAGTATCAGATTTCAGCACATGCACTAGCGATGTTAATAACCCGAGTCTCAACTGCACTGTAGGCTAATTAAGCATGCAGATGACAAGTCATTAGTGAGTTTTTACAGGATAATCCTGAGTATTTCAACACCGTTCAAAAATTTGTAGACTGGTGTGATCAACATCATTTAATTCTCCGTGGTAGCAAGACGGAAGATATGGTCTTTGATTTTCGTCGGTCAGCTGCAGCTGCTACAAATGGTTCACAAAACTTTGCTTATCATGATCACTCTATTCAGTAAGTGTCTTGAGTACAAGTACTCAGGTACCTAATTGATGAGAAACTATAGCGTAGACTAGTAACTGTAGGACTGTGGCTGGCAAAGCAGATCAGAGATTATACTTATTGACAAAATTGAAGGAATTTCATGTTGATAACAGGTTTTTGATCCTTTTTTACAGGTCCTTTATTTAGAGTAACCTTACTTTTTGTTTCATTTGTAACTTCAACAACTTGTCAAAGGAAAATATCAAGAGATCAGAAAACCCTAGGAGGATTGTTCAACACATTATCCACTCTAATTTACCATCAATTACTTCTCTGTTTGCTGGAAGTACATAAGATAATGCTCGATCCTTCACACCCACTGTTTGAATTCAACAGATCCAATATATGTCTCTGTGTTCCATTTGTTTCACGAATTCTTTTGTCTTAAATGCACCTTTGTAATAGGTCTGTGAATAGGTGATCATTTATCCACGTTGCCAGACTTTCTTTACGAAGTTCTTTTGTTTTTTACAATTCTGAGCAGTGTTCACGTACTTTGGTCCTTTTTAATATACTGTATCAATAAATGGTGTATTTTATTTTTTGAAATGCCACTGGAAGTTTAATTTCTATGCTTTTTAGTGCGGCCAATAAATTGAAATTGAATTGAAAGAGTAAGCACGTAGGATACCTTCAGGAAGAGTAGGTCAGTTGCAAATCCTGCAGGGATGAGCCAGGCCAGAAAGAGACACCCATTTTCCTCTTTGACGTACTTGGCTTGGAAGGTCGTTTTATATTTGTCATTGGGAGACTGCAGTCCCCATGAAGGTTACGCCGAACAGGTAGCTCCCCAATTGACTTCTCCTACCATTTTCCAGATGTAACGTGTTTAAGGAAAGTTATGGAAAATATCTTGAGCAGAATGACGCTGGAGAAACTTTAATGTTATATTGCACTTCCATAACTAAGTATGTTTGTTTATTCGTATTCATAGAGAACAGAGGTCTAGTCAGACATTTTTAAAGTCCAAACTTTAGGAAACGACAAAGACGGAATTTTAGGGCAATGTTTTTTCGGTCTTATTTCGGGTCCAGCGAGGTCATTGTTTACAGACGCCTTTTTAAGGTTTACATTTTGCTCTAGTGCAGTACTTTCAATTCTGATACAAAATTTACCCATTGAAATTGTTTAAGAAAATTGTATGTATTAATGCCGATATAAGGTTTCTTTTCACGTAATGTTGTCCTAATTTCACCTTCTCTTTCTGAAAGGAGAAAGCCGTTGACGAGAAACTAGTCGATGGACATTCAAAGGAGTCCTGTGATCAACAGGTACCGAATCAGAGCCAAGAGCTTGCTGAATCTACACCCACGGGTCGCACGCCAGTGAAGCTTGGCGAGTTGCAACCGAATGCGAGTATCGATGAAAGTCAGATCCAAGAGTACACGGAGAACTGCGAAAAGCAAGGTGAAGGAAACGGTGCCGATTTGTCCCATGATGGTGCGACAGAAGTACATGTACACGAAAAAGTTGCTTACCATCAGATGTCTGCTAACAATGATGGAGGCACGGAAGAATCAGAAAGTCAGTCAACGGGCACAGAGCCCGACGTTGAAACGCTCGATGACCACATATTTAGGCCTCTGTGTGAGGACCAGGCCACACAATGCAACATCTACATCATTCCAACTGAAACTAAAGCGACTCTTTGTGAAATCCAGGAATTTACAAGTGAATCACAGCCTGGAAACCGCAAAATAAGAAAATCAGAGCCAATGTATGATGCATACAATGAGTGCACACTTTCATGAGAATTGAGCCTAATACCGAGTGTTGTAAATATAGGGCTTTGAATTAAACCTCATTACATTTAGGAGAAACCTTGTCTTAATAGATCACCAGATATGATTTCTTACCAGTAATTACATTTAAAATAATAGGGTGTTGCCCTTCTCCAGTAGCAAAAAAAGAAGGGCAAATTCTAAATGGAAAAAAGGAAAGTGTAGTGTCTTGCATAACTTTTCCTACACTGCGATATTATGTAGTCAAATATTGGCCGACATTCACCACTAATAAATCGCTCGCATTTTGTGCGTGATCCATCAACCCTTCTAATGAAGTAACCAATACAATGCACACCAAATCACACGTTCAGACATGAAATACGCTTTACTTACATTATTAGAATTAGAAGTAAATTGTTCTCTTGCCTGTGGCATATCTATTTCGAAAGTTCGAATGTATTGTGATGTGGGTTAAATTAACACACCTTTAAACATGATGTTGGTATTTTTAACAGCATTAACAAACCGATTGTGTTCCGGACCTGATATCTGATCTATAAGTTGTACTTATGTCAGCGTCATATCGACGTAGTTTATTCCATCCAGCCTGAATGCACTGCTTGAACTTCAACTTTTTGTCTGGCTTAGGTCATCTGCCGGCCAAATACATACAGAGAAAAGAGCGCGTCGCGTGATTCGTCAAACCGCCTTGATTACAACAGTCAAGTCTCATTTGACGAGAGTCTCAGGGAACTGCCGATGCAGTGACAAATGGTGATTACATTATGCTGTTCATTGCTGCTGCCATGCTGCCACCCTGCAGACTGCTAAGATTCCGACGTCATATTACAATGAAAAACTCAAAAGTTCAAATTCGGCCATGATATTTCCTGGATATTTTAATTTTAAATAAAGTTTTTGATCAATGTAATTTCAAAGGGAAATGGGTACGGCGCCAATTTTCGGATGCAGGTTGATGAGAAATCAGAACTTATTTTCATGTTGCCTTTCATTCTGACCTTGTCTAAACTGTTGACTAATTTTTCTGGCCATGACATCCTCGGTATGTTAGAGTTCAGGTTGAGATTTGCCTGCAAGGAGCATCGGTGACGTCAGGTTTTTTTCCAAGAAGGAATATTTCGGGAACGCCCACCAGCATGAAACCATATTGAACTATTAAACGAAGAAATACAGTCAATTCCGAGATATTTACAATTGGTAATTTTTTTATCCCCCTTCATTCTGTTTCTGTCCCTCACCTTTTCTTTTTACTCTAGAATAGGGGCAATATAACCCCCCCCCCGACGCCTGTGACGAATTTGTTACAACTGGTCTCGACAATTTTGTGACTAGATGAGGAACTGTCTTCTAAATGGGTACGAGATGAGGCCTTGGGCTGTTGGGTCTCAGTGTAGCCCTGGGCCCAAGGATCGACTATTTGCCATGAGTTGAAGTGTCCCCTCACCGGCAAAAGAAAGATAGGCTGGTGAGAAGTTTTCCAACCGGGTACCTGCGCGCGTTCGACGCACACGCGAAGACTATACATTCCAGCATATAGGTATTTGTTTTGCGTACTCTGCGTCTCCGCGCCAAACGAGCATGAATTTGCACACTTGTAATATATACGAGGTGAGTTCCTACAAAAGGACCATCGTTTTCACTTAAAAATTTCGCCCTCTTTTGTTCTTGCTTAGAGTGGATGTGCGAGAGGAATGCCGTACCGACAGACATGACTTGTCTTACTCAATGATACCGTCTACGACCCATCATCCTCATGGGCGTCACCAAGAAGGGGGCGACTTCGACAGCAATACTGACAACGAACTTTGGCGCATCTGGGTTGTTCATTCTGAGAAAGTTTTTAACGAATTTGACGTTTTCACCCCTTTCCTCCTTTCATTCTCGTGTTTTTAAATTTTTTAAAAAAAATTTTCGTTGTAACCATATTGAATTTTTTCAGTTGTTCCCCTGGGGGCACCTGCGCTCCAGCTTGACCCTGCCCCAGTGACACCCATGATGAATGGCCCAACCCCGGGCCGTGCCAGCCTGTAAGGCGATTTGTACGTGTGTATGTTGTCAGAAGAAAATGAAGTTTTATGACAATCACAATGGTGGCGCCCTTGCGTAAATTCACGCCGCGCCGCGAGTCGAGTATGCACAGTCTCACTCGAGCACCCAGCAGGTGGAAGAACAGAAACAGAATTAAGTCGGCCTACATCATGTACGTTCAAACTTTCAGAAACATGTATACTTTGGTGGTAAAAGGTTGAGTACTAAACATGGAATAATAATTCAATCATTCAACTTTAGTGTTGAAAATAACCAATTTAAGTATTGGGTATTCGCTGTTATTGCTGTCCAGTTTTCGGACGTCTGGACGTACATGTAGGCCCTACATCATGTATACAGTGTACAGTGTAGGCCTAGTGTACATGGTGTAGGCCCTGGGTATCGACTGTCGAGCGTCGTATCATGATGATCACGAACAGATCCGTAGAGGTGGTTCTGGTTGTGCCCAACACGTACATACTGCAACCTTCACGTTATTTCCACATAAAAAAAGGAATACACTTTGAAGGTAGTGATAAACAAAAAATACGTGGTTGGGGATCACTAAAAAAGCAAAGCTTGTCGAGTAGCGATCCCCATAAATAATAGTAAACAATTTTTTTTCTAAGGAATTAACACACAAACACACAACATTGCTGAGAGTGCGGGAATGACATAATTAGAACCTACCCTGCAGCTGCAACAATTACTTGTCCAAATGATTGTCCAACATCATATTTTTATATTTATGCTTAAAGAGCAAAAGATGAGAGATTTGTTTCAGAGAATTGACCGAGTTCCACAGTTTGGGACCTTCATGCTTCACAGTTACTTTAGAGGTTGTTGTACAAGCATAATGAAATTCATGACGTTGTCTTGTTTGGTGGATTCCTAATTTTTGTAAACATTGAACAAAATGGATTTGGGTAAACTCTAAGTTTTAAGTTGGTGCATGAAGGAGCCCAGCTGAAGAGAGTAAATATCATTAACATTTAGAATACTACAATTATAGAAGAGTGGATTCATAGTAGGTTCATAATAGTCAACATTATTAATAGTACGCAACACTTTTTTCTGCAACTTATTAAGACCAAAACCACTCTTTTCCCATGCAAGTATACCATATGTTATATGGTGTTTTCCATGTCATTAAGATTTCCTCAGGAAAAGTACATTTAAGCTTAGATATAATACCTAGGTTTCTGGAAATGACCGTAGATATGTGATTAATGTGTTTGTTCCAAGAAAGATCATCATCAATATAGAGACCCAAAAATTTCAGACAATGCCTAATTAGGAAAGAGTTCCATACATGGACATCACTGGACACCGTACCTATGCTTACACCCTATGTGGGCATGAGACTGGTCTGAAAATTTCTGAGAATTTTTAAAAGTAGACTCTCCAGTATGTTCTCTGCTAAATTTGACATTTCAGGCCATGTTATCACTTCCTGATGGCTGATTTACAACTTCAGGGAAAAATTAATGATGTCCATACATGTATGTAGTATGGAACTCTTATCCCTATTTGTTTCACATGGATCTAGATTCTAACATGTCCAGTGCTGGTTCAGTACATCCGTCATGTTCATTAGGCAGATTCTGGAGCCAATGCCTGTGAACTGTCAAGACTGTTGAACCAACTACATGTACGGATAGGTCCATGGAGTACTGATGCATATCTGCGTAAAACAGATGGCTGTGTTTGTTTCCACAGTTCTAAATCTCGATCAGTGATCCCAATGCTGGTTCGCTCCATGTCAGTGAACCAACAAGGGATCACTGATCAAGATTCAGATCCGAGTGACCAGTTACAGCCAGTGTAATACATTTGTGCATGTATATGCAGGCCTTGATCTGTATACCAGCAGTCACAAACACCACAGTAGAGTGATAAGGTGTACTTTTTTTATTGTAATGTTTCAATTTTTATGTTAAAACAAGAGTTCAGCAATGCCAGTATCCTGCCACCAAGCACTCACCACCAAATAAGAACTTCTACCTCACCTTGTATTTCACTGAAAAAAGTCCATTCAATTTGGGAAAACTGAGGTCAACTGAGAAAGACTGTTTTACAAGTAGGTCATTGTGTCTAAATTTTGTTGTTCAAGAATCTTGGTGGCCAGACACAATTCTTTTCAAACTCTCCTAATGTAATGCAGGAGGTATTCAAAGACATTTCTGTGGAGGATTAATATCGTTGATATGATGGGAACCAGACCAAGGTTTGATCTGCATTCTTATGAAGGACAGGATTGTCAGTATTTTACTGTACAAGTCATGGAAATTTATTGTCTTAATGTAAAGAAAATTTGTTTTATTGATTAAATAATGAAATGTATTACTGTTTTTGGTTACTTTGACAGCAGTCAGAGATTTGGTCTTAAAAACTGATGTATTGAAAAATGCTGACCCCGGCCTTTGAACTGAATCAGGATGCAGATTACCTGAAGATCCTGATAAAGGCACGCTATGCCAAGGTGACAGAGGTGGAGATATTTGTGGATGGGAATGACTTCAAGTTTTATGCCAAACCTTACTTCCTCAGGTATGCCTAGTTCATTAACCTTTCAGCCTGCTTACAAGCTCTAGCAATGTCTCTAACTCATTTTGAACCTGATGTGATCACTGGAGAAAATATGCTTCAACTCCCATCGTCAACTTTATCTTCATCGTCAACTTCAACCATAATATCTTTGCCATACCGTCCTAATCAAAGTCATTGGCTGTTCTCCTTCGTCCCCCCTATTCACTTTGTTTAGTTGGCATTCTTGGCAATGTGCATTAATCTTAAATGCTTTAAAATCCATCTGGAGGTTTTGGAGGATATTTTAGGATTGGGAAAGATAGAATCCAGCTTAATTGTACTTTTATTTAATGCTTCTAAAAACTTAAAATAACAAAATATATGCATTTGGGGTTTTGCATAGATTTTACAGGATTTAGAAAGGCGCGTATCAGGAATGTTTATGAGTTCGATTTTATTAATATTTAAAAGCAGTTTGAATAAGCCGTAATTGGAGGTAAAAATGAGTCGTCTTGATCAGCTGTAAGTTAAAATGGGTTGAATTACATGCTCAATTTGTTTTCTTGTGAAAAATTGATGTTTGTTATATATGTTTCTTGTTTAAAAATAGGCTACAGCTTCCTGGTAGAGTTGTAGAAGATGGCAGAGAAAGAGCCAAATATGACGTAGACACAGGTATAATGTCACCAGATACACTTTAATCTGTTTTAATCTGTAATGTTCTCAGTGTCATTTTCAACTATTTTAGCTGGAGGTGTTCATGTATATACTTAACCTCAAAACAGCAAATCTTTGAAAAGATGTGACAGATTCCTTTACAGTTTGGCAGCAGTGTACATTTCAGTGTGGTCCTGAAATTGATGTTTATTCTTTTTGTTGCAAGGATCGTTTGAAATCACCCTCCCCAAGGAGACACCAGGGGAAGATTTTCAAGGCCTTGACATGTTGACCATGCTACTGGCTCCAAGGGGTCAAAGGTCAGCTGAGCAGCCAAGCATTGAGGTCGCTGGTAGGTCACATTGCTGAATAGGTCACATATCTCTTATCTTGGTAATGCAACACATTTACAGCACCTCTCCCGTGCATGTGCACATGGATTGATCAAGAACCAAATTTTTTAGGGGGTGGGTAAACTTGGGGGGGGGGGGCCAAACATTTTCCAAACATTTTGTGGCTTGTCTGAAGAGTGAGGCTACATTTTGTGGTGTTTTACATGCTTTTCGGTGGAGGGGATGTGAAATAGACCCAAAATATTGGCTTTCATTATTTGAAAAGAAAATTTGACTTCTTTCAGGGGGTGTTGGCCCCTCCAGCCTCCGCCCTTGCTTGTGCATTTCAAGGGTTGCGGCATACTTTGCAACAAGCTAAACGGATGACATGAAAACTGTTACCTTTACCCTGGTGAATTTGACTTGCTCCAAAGCACCAATCATGCGACCTTAAGCCTGATTTTCCTCTTCAGGCGAGGGTGAGGAGGCAGGGGAAGCGTGCCAGGCAGTAGAAGATGACCAGGGGGAAATTGACTGGCAGGTTGAACAGCAGCCATTCCAGCAAGACGAAGACTCCCTATGCAGTGAGACAAACTATGGGTTTGCAAATAAGAGGAGTGGCGTCTTCCAGAGGTTGCAAGTGAGTACCTCGAGCTTGCATCTGCGATATGATTATAAATTGAAATGGAAGGGATATCCGGGTTTTCTTTATGCATTGCCAAACTTTAATTGAATTGGTATAAATCCATGTCATCTTCATCTGAAGGAATGCATCTCCATGTGGGACCGAGGTTGCAAGTTCTGTGAAGTGTCTGTCATAAACTCTTACATTCAGTAACCAACCGTGGTGATCATAGCTGGTACAAGCCTCAAGCGGTTGACTAAAACATCTTCTACAAAGCTTTGTTGAAGTCCAGCCCCTGCAAGTCCTCAGAAGGCAACTAGTCTCAAATCAAGTCACCAGCGGAGCTAATAACAAGGGCATTCTGTTTCGTTCTGGCTGGACTAGTGAATAGAGTTGTAATTACCTGTGAACAGGGGTATGCTGAACTAACATGTCAGACTTTGACCACACCCTAGGCTACTTCACAAATTTATAACAGTTCTGACTGTTTGTTGGTCAGTCAGCTCACTTATTGAAAAGTGTGGTTTGTGTTCCAGGAAGAGCTTTGCGATATTGTTGATGTGCCAAGGCCGGACACGGCACAGCTGATTGAGAGAAAAGAGGCCAGACAGGCTGTGGAAAGTGAAAAGTTTGATGGAGACCATTATCTGTGAGTAATTCTTGTGCATTTGCGGCATTTGGAAAACTTCATCACAGGTGAAAATGAATAACTCAATCACTGGCACTCAGCTGACATTATGTTTAAAACAAGAATACACTCATGCAATTTCTGATAAATGAATACAAGTTGGTCTAAAAATCACTACAGTACAGCGCGGCTGTAAAAACACCAAATATTCGGTATAGCAGTGGTTCGGTAAAGTGATTTTGGTCACCATTCACCCAATCCCCAGCTTTGGCTCATTCAGACGTGTGGTGGCCTGTCTCACGAATGTGGATATGTGGTCAGCACCTCAAACTTTCATGCCAAGATTTAAGTTAAAAAGATTATTTTTTTTCCTTTTTATTTCAGCTTTCGGGTAGTTCTCATTGGGAGTTGAATTGTCAAATGAAATCACGTTTGCCTTGAATCATTGCATAAAAATTGCTTGCGACATGCAGTATGGCCACACTAGTTTCCTGCTGCTAAATTGGAACTACCTGTGTAATAGATGGGCCAGAGCTATTCTATAGCACTGGAGCCACATGGTACATTACGGAAGCTGGCAATGTAAGAAATGTTAGGCATGCGTTATTGAAAATGATGGAAACTACGAAAAAATGTAATGAAGATTTCGGCGAGTTGCGTGTCAGTCACAGATGCTAATCTGTGCTTCTACTTGTGTATATTTGCTGATTTTTTTGCGATGCCTTTATTGCGATAAAGCAAAGCAAGATTTTCCATATCTAAGAGTCACTCCTGTTGCATGTACTTGGCATCTGCTGTTCATGGCCCCTGCTGTACATGGCCCCTGCGCACGGGCATGTATGTGCACATACTATTGTGCATGGACATGTACTCTTTATAGGGACTACACTTTCTGTTGACCGTTGATCCTTTGCAAGTACGATTTTCTCATAACTTTTAGGTCTTTATCGTCAGCCCTAAAATATGTCTTTTATTTATTTTCAATTTTCCATAGAAGTTTAACCGTAACCTCACTGGAAACTATAGCGTACTACTTAGCAGTAAAATGTAGCATACAGTGCTGTGACTTGTATGGGTACATGACCTTATTGTTCTCTGAAGCCATAAAGTGCTATTACTAAGACAATGTACCATACGGTGCTGTGGCTCTGTATGAGTAACAGTGGAAGTAACCTAGCCAGAAGTAGTAATTTGTAGCGCTAGGTCCTTGAGGCTCAGGCTACTACGTAGTATTTTATAGTACTGAGATGACATGCCGGGGGCTCGGGTTATTAAAGGAAAATTAAGGGGAATATTTGGTACACCTGATATTGTCTGTTATTAGCAGTTTTTGTTATAGCGGCATTGTACTGTATACCATGCCTTTCGATTCTAGGAGCCTCTTTCACAATTTGTGCCAAACTGCTCTTATTTTCTTTTTATTAGTGTGACCATCTGCCATTTGCTGTTATTTCTTTTTCATCACAGGGCTGATCTCTACCAGGATGACTCAGTCATCGAGGGCTTGCTGTCTCACAAACCATCATGGCATCAGGAATGGAGAACCCTACAAGCAAAGAGCAAACAAGCCACCAATCAGAAGGAACCAGCAGACAAGGAGGAACCAATCGGTGAGCAGTTTTTCACCATGTCACACCTATAAATAAGCAGAATACCAGGACCCAGTGCCTCTGTCATTGGGCATACGGTAACACTGCAGTGGTCACCATTACCCCCTCTCCCCAGCTGTTCTCCTAACTTCCCTTCGTTTAAAGTAGAGATAGTGGATGCATTTTAAGATAGTGGATGCATTTTAAGATAGTGGATGCATTTTAAGATTCTTACCTAAATGATCGCGTTGATGACATCATAAAATAGAAGGGCCCTTTGTACCTGTGAGTCACATTCTTGCCTTTTATACTACATGTGCATATGTACTTGTGCCACCTCTAGAAACAGGTTTGAGTACACCCATGCATTGAGATGCCCTTTGTACATAGAAACATAAAGTGTTGACCACAGGAACCTTCAGGTTCAGGGATGTCCATTTCTAAATTTGCCTTAAAATGGGCATCCAACTTGCTGATGTTGTATATATTTGTACTTAACATGGAAAAGATTGTGCACAAATGGCCAGTAGAGTGTTATACAGTATTCAGGTCCCCTTCTGGCTCGAACTTTGGAGCCTACCTGGTAAGAATTTATCATTCTCTGAAATGGAAATGGGGGGGGTGTGGCCAGGTGGTTAGGGTCTGTGGCTTCCAATCATAGGGTCGGAGGTTTGAATCCAGCCGCTGGCAGTGTGATGTGGCCTTTGGCAAGCCACTTCACTCCTGCTTGCCTCTCTCCACCCAGGAGTGTAAATGGGTACCAGCATTAGCTGGGGAAGCAACCTGCGGTGGACTGGCATCCCATTTAACCCCTTCACGCCGGGACGCGTTAAGACACGCCGTAAAGATTGAGATCCTCAGCCCCTTTTTCAGCTATTATTCTTGGCCCACGCTCGAGCGAACACGGTGAAAGAAGGCAGACCCTGGCTCTTGTGTATATGGTAATTGGTCTTTGTGTGTAGCCCAGAAATGAAAAGAACGAATTTGCATCATAATCACCAGCTTCACAATAGTTCCCACTTTGAAAAGAGGCAATGGGAATGCGGAAGCCTGAGTAGAGCTGCATGCCACCAAACAATCTGCCTTTTCACTGTGTAATTCAAAGCGTGCAGTGCACGCTGAGCCACAAACCAAGAATTTGCGGTTTGGCATGTGGCCTTTATGGCCAACTGAGGCTGGAATTCTTGGAGTCGGCTTTCGAAAAGAAATTCCCACCGAGAAGGGATGAAGGGGAATAGAAATATTCTCAGTTGTTTCATTCCATGGCAACTGGAGATAAATACCGGCCTGATGAGCCAAATTGGCTCAGACCAGACTTGCTTGCTTGGAAATGACCTGTCTCTCTTACCCTACAGTGCTTCTCACTGAAGATGAAAAGGAGCAGATGAGGCGGTTGCCTCGGAGACACTACCTTCTGAGTTCTGAGACGGAGAGGAGTGTGCTGCTGAGCCTAGTGGATATCATCTTTGCCTATGCCTACAACATCAGAACAACACTTAGTGAGGACTCGGTAAGCTGGTGGTGTTGGGTTTGTCATTCAGCACTCAAAATGAAACATAAGAAAAAATGGGGGGAAAAAATAGACCTCACAAAATAGAAAAATTCAGAATTTTAAATGAGAGAACACGTACTAACCTGATGTTATTTCCGGTGGTTGACTCTGGAAACTCTTTTTTATTGTGGACATGAATCAAAACTCTGTTTGAAATGAAGCCAGTGCTCATAAGTTACAAGGCACAAATTAACCAACAATGCCCATATTATAGGCCAACGCAATCAGGAGTTACAAGTGTCACGTGGAGTGATGAGATTAGAGTCCACTTAAAAAGGGATGAAATTAAAGGATCTTTAATGTTTATTTCATCATAGGAGTGGCATTGGCCTTTTCATTGACTGACAGTTACATGTAATGTTGTGACAAATGTATGTTATCCGTTTTGCATCTTGACTCTGACTACCCGAGTCTAGCCCTCGACTCCTCATGCTTGCAGCCATAGATGAGAATCCCTGTCTCTCTCATCAGGTCGAATCGGCTTGGACAATATGCAAACTGAGCCCCACCCTGTCTTGGCTCGACTGGTTCACGTCGCTGGATGAGATGGTAACCGTCTGCTTTCGCAGGGCCCTCTGCTATCCACTTTACCGGCACTGGGAGCTCACCAATAAAGTCTTCCAAGATGTCAAAAAGATATTCGCATTAGGTATGTGTGCTGCAAGTTCACAACGCATCATAGAGGAGACTTTTCGTTTAATGTATGGAGCAATGTGTAACTGGAATGTACTTGTATCGAATCCCATGCACACTTCTGTTGGTGTAGCTGGAGCTGAATTTTACACCAGGGAACTTTTATTCCATGGAGAATTTTCTCCAGATATTAAGGGAAGGTGTAAGCTGGAAGGAGAAGGGGAGCACATCTGAAGAACTGTGCTCTCCCGCTGTAATTATGATCAAAAACGTGTAATGTGCTGTAATTTATTAGCCTTAATAGTTTACTGCCGTTGAGTAAAATTCATCTTTCTTGACAGCAAATGCAGACTGTTATAGTGCAATTTCACTGAATAAGTTTAAAGTTTGCATGAACTGCAATGTAGACCTCATTAGTATCTGCTTTTACAGTTGTATGGTGGTCACCAGGCAAAAATCATTGGTTTTCTGGAGAGGCCTTGATTTGTGTTTTCTGAGAAATCAAAAACAGTGTACTTTGTTATTTTTGGAAATCACAGGATGCCACTGCAGGTTTTTTTTTTGTGAACCCCACATTTTGCTATCTAGAGGCTTGACGTTATATTGACAAATCAAGCTGATTGTAAGAAAAGATTAACTGCAGCCTGCAGAATTGAAAATAGAAATGAAGTATGATATTTTTTTCTAAATAAATCAGGAAGGCGGCGGCTCTTGAAGTGCCTGCTTGAGGTCCATCGTGTATTGGCTGCAGACGAGCCGCACTACCTTCTGAATGAGCTGTACATCACAGACTACTGCGTGTGGGTTCAGACACTCAGCCATAATAAGATAACATCCCTTACCGAGGCCTTGAAAAAGGTTACTGAATTTTTTTCTACCCGATTTTGGGTGAAATTTTGCCAAACCTGACCTTCAGTGGGTATGCCTTTTGATATAATTTCCCGTTCTCACTAAGCACATTGTGTGCATATTCTTTTGGATTAGCCGGTTTTGTTGTTTGTACCTCCTATGCTGTTGCAAAGTCGGCAGTTTCTTTCGTTTTTGATTTCCCAGTCAAATATCCTTCATGAAAAAGTAACACTTTTGCTTGAGCTAGTGGAATAGGACAGAGTGGGTTGATGGATCAAAACTGTAGGGTCCATGTGACCTCGAAAGTTCCCCTTGGAAGCATTTGGCCTGCAACTGACATTGTAAGCTAGACAGAGAGACTTTATTATCACTTTTTTAGCGTCATTTAATCTGCTGTGATCTGGACAGTTGCATCCGGTTGGCCATGGTGATCTGTACAAATGTCATGCTTTGTGCTGTTTTTTTTTCAATCAACGCAGGTGAAAATTTCCAAGAGCCAAGTTGACTTTGGACTAGAAGAACTGGAACAAGCTGCTGAGCTGGCGATACAGGAGGACAGTCAGGGACAAAATGACCGGGGTGCAGTATCTTCTGTACACCAATATGGCTACCCACATATTCTCTATGATGGGTTGGAATCTGGAAGTATCACACAAGGCACAAAATCCCAAGCCCCATTGAAGCAAACAGAATGCAGAGAAGAAACCAGACATGGCAATGAAGCAGCCAGCACCGCTGATCTGTGCACCAGTAACGGCAGCCATGACTGTAGCGAACTGGGTACATATCAAAAAGGGGACTGCGCACCGGTGGAAGACTCCTCAGTGACTGATGTTGCCACCAAAATGGCCGACTTGAAAGTTTGTTGGGATGCCGGTGAAAAGCCATCAAAAAGTGATGAGGAGCAAACACGTAGCTTTGTCTCAAAAGAGGACGTGTCAGTTTCATTGGATGTGTGGACACAGAGGCCACCTTCCAAGAAAATTGAAATGTATGGTGAAGACAATCCCACCCCTGGTTCACAGAGCCAGTCAGATTCTACGAAGGAGGACACAGATAGGAGGAAAGACGAAGAAAGCCGTCCGATTGTTTCTGGCAGAAATGAAGGTGAAACTGAGGCTATTGATGATGTCACTGGCAGTGATAGTTCCTTGTGCGGAATGCTTGGTTGTGATGACTCTATGCCAGTTGTGGACATCAGCGAAAGCTTTTTAGATGCTGAGGTTCAGCATTCGGAAGCAAGTACAGCTGGAAGAGAGCTAGTGGGTTGTGACAAGTCAAAGCAGAAGCATCTGCAGTCCCAAGGGCCACTTGATGCAGTACAGACTGCTTCCCAATTGGAGTCAGTAACCGAGTCCTCAGGCAATTCTGAATCAGACTCCAGTGAAGGATCTGAATCGGGCGAATCGGGGTCTGCATCAGATTCTAATGAGGGATCTGAGAGTGAACCAGAGTTGACAAAAGATGCAGAACCAAGTGGAGTGTCCGATCAAATCTGAGCTTGTGTGAACCGGGGAAGTTAGCAGTACCAGCTGCCTGAGAATTGAGTGAAATTTGAATTTCATCTAAGCTTGGGCCTCAGGGAAAAGCTACGTGTATGAAGAGATGAATTCTTACGTGGGTCAGGGCAGATGCTAGATTGGATCTCTTAACCCCAGACCTCCAGACCCTTCGCTCTCTCTAACGCAAAGTATATCATAACTGAAAGAAAAATAGGCTTTGTGACTCATTTCTTTGGTAGACTCTGGCCACAGATAAAAAGAATAAGTCCTTGGAGCCTCTTCAGAGCTGCCATGCCTTTGGGTTGAGTTGAGAGGTTTCTGGTGTTCTGAATAATCAGCAGGCGGTAGTTCACCAAGATAACAAGCATTGAGTCATGACACAAACAGAATTGAGATGTTCATTCTGGGATCTTTAATGTCTGACTCTGAGGAGGGATGAGGCCACTGTATAAACAATTCAAAATACATCCTGTTGGAAGGGAAACAGCACTTATAATTTTCCCTTTGAAACAGTTGTTTTAAACATTGCGCCTACTTTCATATCGATTTAAAATTTCTCACTTGCCACTTTTTAATTCATTCAAATTATCTACGGGTTTGTGTAGTGAAAATTTGAAATGGGGATTCAAGCAGCATATTTCCGTTTCATATCCTAGAAACAACTACACTATAATGTATGCAGCAGCTGATTTCACAAAATGAGGCATAACTTTGACCCATGTGTAAGCCTTGTGCCACAAATTTGTGCTGTAGCTGCACAATATACTTACGTTTCATTTCAGGAAATGTTGCTAAGCTGCAGAACATTTGAATTATATTAAATTTCTTGGATGAGGACAGTCATTGCTTTTATGACAGTTAGTCCTTTGCAATATTACAACAGTCATTAAAAGTCGACGAATTACCTCTGCCCACCATTATGAAAAAGTTTTCGTCTTTTCTTCGTTGGAACCGGACAGAAAATTTCAAAGTTCTCCCACAGCCCAAAAAGTTTTATGTTGCCTTTGTAAGTTCAGCAACGATGAGCCATAACTGAACATGAGTTTGTCAAATCATTCATTTTGATAGGTCCAGCACAACTTAAGCTACCTAAAAAGATTGTGCATGTTACACCATAACTTGTTGCGCAAGTCAGGGACTTAAAATACACTTAGTGCGTAAGGTTTGGTGTGACGTTACACAAAGTCTTGTGAAATCGGCTGCAAGTGTTAGATTTCCAAAGCAGACCGCAAGTCATACATCAGGACAAGATATGATTGCATTTGAAATGCATGGATGCAAAAATCTATTTTCAGTGTAACTACTCCTTTGTTTCAACTCTGTACCTGTTGCAAAAATAGGAATACCTTTATTTCTTCAACATACTTAAATAATCCTTTCTGCTTTGCAAGATAAATTTGTACGTAACACTTGTACATGTACATCATCCCTGCACCTCAAATGTGTATTAAAAAAAAGATATATCGCTGAATTGCTTTGTATTACATACACCTGAATAAAGCCTGTACACTTCTAAACTGAACCTTCCTCTTAACATTATTGTGGTAAATGCCCCATTTATTCCCTTGAAACCCACGCCCATTTGCAGCAGTACATGTACAATTCAGATGACTTGGGGGGGGGTGTCATATCAAGTCACTTGTGGAGTTGGATTTTCCAACAGAGTCCTTAAGATAGTGCCATGATCTCTTGGATACCTGGAGTATTCTGTTTGGCCAGTTTTGAGGAAAGACCTTTAAACATGGAAAGAACCTTGCCAAACAATTTGGACCACCCCCAACATACAAACTGGAAAACCAAAAGCAAAAGTGAAACAAAAATCCAAATGATTTAAATGAAACGTTCAAAGTGAAAGCTGAAATGAGATATACAACATAATCTTTTACTTCAGTTCCCTTTTCCTGTAAACTCATGCAGAGGCTAACACGATGACCTCTTCCATTGCCATCATCTATTCCAAAACAAATGCATGCACTGGTTGGTCACATCATGGTCAAACTGTGGTCACATCACAGACTGAAGTAGAGAAACGGTCTGAATGGAATCGGTTTCCTTCTGGCAGTACTGTGCTCTGATTAAGGCAGATAAATTTGGCACTGCACAAAAGGCAATGCTACGTTTACAGACGTGTGGCAGTTTGAACAGCCAATGATGTCTAAGCACCTTTTCCGTCAAAACTTTGCCCTCTGTAATGATGACAAAAAGAAAAGATGCATCATGCACCATATATCACTGTGTTTTGTAGCTTTCTGATTTGTACAAAGGAGGAACCAAATATAAAAACAGAAAAATAAATTGAGACACTTGCAACTGAAAACAGCGTCAGCGACAAACGGCCAATGCACATCTACTTCTTCTGCGCCTCCCCAAGAATGCGCAGTATGTGCAGGAAGAGATTCAAGATGTCAAGGTAGAGGTTGATGGAGGCCAGGATGTACTCCTCCGGCGAGAGCTTGTGCATCATCATGTGGACGTCGAAGACGATGAAGGCACAGAAGAGGAGCGCCCCAAAGATGGCCAGGAGGAACTCCAGGGTGTCGCTGTGCAGCAGGAAGATGTGCAGCAGGCCGCTGACTATCAGGATCAGCAGGGCAGAGTACAGACTGTGGGTAGGGAACGAGATGTGATGGTGAAGAATGTCCGTCTGTTTGTGGTGTGGGCAAGGGAGTTTGACACAAGCAGAAACATTCACTGTGAATGAGTGAAAGAAACTTGACTTGTTCTACAAAGAAATAGATCGCCCTGGTGGAACCTTTAACCCATGTGAGCATTTCCCCTGCAGATAAACTCGTGCACAGGCCAGTGTATAAGAGGCCCCAATGTATATGCAGCACATATGAAGTACACGTATTAGACTGGTGAATATGCCTGTTACATACAGACCAACGAAGCTTAGGCATCTAAGACAAAGTGAACAACTGAGTTTAACTTTTAAGCAAGAAAAAGCACAACACACAGTTTTAATTAGTGTCTGTTGAAAGACTGATCAGTTATTTCTTCTGACAGTTATGCACATTTGTATGCAAACAACTCTTGGCAGGGACAGAAGCTGCTACTCTGAGCTGATCAGAAAACCCAATGAATTAAGACATTTTAAGGCCATTTTTGCAAAGTAGCTCCCACCCACACGAAAGAAAACAAATCATGCGGGTTTGTGCACATTCAGATGAAAACTGGTGTTGTCTGCTTGATGCTATAAATTTATAAACCCATGCAAGCATGCCGTGTGCCTGTTTCAGGGGAGCTCTCATAAGTAGTCACAAATACACTATCTACTGCGCTGGCACACACAGCCTGTAAGAGACATTAAGAGCATTTTCAGGGGGGAGCACTTGCACGTGACCTGCAGCCATATACTACATTTCTGAAGGACCGCGGCTAACAATACAGTAGTCTTTCCACCTACCCTGCACCCCAGGAGCTGAAGTCTCTCTTGCTCTGCATGGTGTAGGCCGTCAGGCTAAGTGTCACCACCAGCGTCAGGGTGAAAGCCTCTAGCACCACGCCCTTGTTGTAAAAGGTCACGATGGTGCCCACGCTGTAGGCTTCCACAAGAGTCTGCATACAACAATGGCCAAGGAAAAATAAAATCAAACTACTGATGCTTTACTGCTCCACTTTTCTCACAGGTGTAATTCTTGCTCTTCAACAACTGCTAAAACACATACAAATTGACATGCACCAGTGCGTAATTATCTATTCCAGGGCAGTGATTACACAGCAACAGCTTTTTAACATTTAAAACCTGCCATACAACTTTCTGGTTCCACTGGTTTACTAGGCTTAGCCTAGGTGTGCGATGATAGTGAACGAGGTGATTGATCATAGCAATCATCATACGCCACTGTCAAATGCCTTGTGAGGAAGGCTAGTGACTAGGTAAAATCAGACAAGTGTGTAGCAGGCTTTACACATATTCTGCACTAGTATTGACCGTGAGGGGCATCGTCATGGTTGCTGCAATGGCCTTATACATGAAGGTCAACTCTTCAAAGCTTAGGGGTCTTTAACGCAAATTACGCATCAAAAGTGTCATTCAGTGAAAACAGTTACATGTACGTGCATTAACTTTACTGACTGTCCAAAATATAGCAAGTTTTTTATGCATTTAATGGAAATTTGGAAAAACAAAAACAGAAACCCCTAAATGCCCCAAAGCAGCCGGACATGTCAAGAAAAAGATTGAAAGTACAGGTACACCGATAAATGGGACAAAATTTGGTATGCTATGCCACTGTAAAGTGCTCTAGGTTTCCTTCCACAGGTTTGCCCCTTTGCTTTTACATTTGTTTTATGTTCTACACTTCTAACAAATTATATGCGAGCTCTTCTTTTTACAGAGTGCTCTGTGTAAAAAAAAGGAAGAAAGAACACCCTAATGCAATTGCTTATTTATTCCCTCAGCCAAAAGCATCTGCTGAGCTCTTCCAAAAATTCCATCAAGCGGCCCCTTCCAGGAGAAGCTAAGAAATTGGGTACACTTGAAAACAGTGCAAGGACCTGCAACTTTGATGTCTCTTCCAACAGAACCCGAGATCGGGTTAATAATTGATGACATCAAGTGGTGCATACTGCCAACACGGATTAAATTTGATTGCGCCCCACTTGAAATTGTCCCCTCTGGCACTTGATGCGCTGACTAGAAGAGGGGGGAAGTCTGGACAGCTGCAGATAGAGGACTGCACTTTGTACTCACAAAGAGAGCTAGAAGGATCATGTTGGTTGGTGATTCTCTGCGTTTGACAAACAAGGCCAAGAGGAGGAAGATGGAAGACACGTAGGCTACGATCAGCATCCCTTGACTGCAGGGAAAAAATGGGAACAAGTACTGACGGAGCTACCAGGGAAGTCGCCACTACTTTCAGTTGTCTACATAAATACTGATCCTACATGTAACTTCATTTTTTTTGGAAGGAACCTTGTTTAATCTTCAACAATCCTGCATCTTGCAGAAGTCCAGTGCCATGTGATCAGTAGTTTGTCCCCAGCTTCCATCAGGTGCTCTCTGGACACCCTCCTTAATGCAACAGAATAGACCTTATTCAAGAAGATGCCATTTTTGATCTTGTTCCCTGAACCTGTTCTATGAACTGTAAATCATTATGGATGGCACCATACTCTTTTATAGTTGGTGTGCTTTTCACGCCTCCCTTTCAATATTTTTCAAAATCTGGCTTAAACCACAAAGGTAGGGTAGGCAATTTGTCAGGAAATTTTATATCATTACTTTTTTACCCTAGCTATCCTCAAGTTCCAAAAATAAAAAGTTGACCTCACTTTTAATTTTCACGAGGCCAACCTTTGATTTGTGAATAAAGGCTATGCAACACAGGTGACATGAGAACCCTTCTGAATACCACACACGTGAAATGAGAACTTGGCTGAATGAAACCATTGCAATGGATGCATCAAAATGCATCCAAATACACTGCAGTGCGCAGTGTATCCAAGCCTCATCCCTACTAAGTCATATGGTGTACTCTGGTATTTCAGTTCATGGTTAAATTCAACTACATGTACATACAACTTTTTTTTCACTGGCGGCATATTCTGTTGCAATTAGCATGGGCAAGGATAAATTTCAAGAGGCCTGAGGCACCGTAACGTAACAGTAGGCCCTATCCTCCTCTATCCTGCCAAATCCTCCAAAACTACAGGTGGATTTTGAAGGACTGGGAAGATTGAAAGATTTACTAATGACACTGTCAGGGTCCGTTTGTCTGGAACACCCACCTGCTCTGAACGTAAGCCTTGACTCCATCTGTATACATGAAGATGGCACCCACTACGGTTGTCACCAAGAGCTGCGTGCTGAGAATGCCAAAAACCTTGCGTAGAAATCCTGTACAGATGATAAGGATGCATACAATCTCTATAAACCTTTGGGCTTCAAAAATTTCTGTGGATGAAATGCCTGATATTCCCACAACTGTGTGCAGAATCTAAAACTTGTCATTTAGAGTTTCCTTGGACATTAAAAGAGTGATGCGGCACATACCTGGAATGCTTTACTTAGAATTCGTTTCCCAAGAGGATGTTCAATTTTAATAATGTGCGTAAGCACCACGCCTAAGCACAACATACATGTAAATAACTTACTGGTGTATTTGTAGGTAAGCATGTTTATGAGTGAGGTCATGATGCATTAAAAATCTTACAAAAATTAACCTGCAAAGCATTCTGCACTATGAGTATAAATGCTCCAGTACGTAATACGACTAACAAGTGCACATGTAACTCCATGGGTGGTAACCAAGTCTTACCTGCCTTGTACATGTACATGTATAATGTACATGTATGTACATGTACACGTAATAGCAGTTACTTAATGTCTGTCCATTGCCTAAATTTGCACACAGAATAGTCACTCTTAGCTTTCCCTTTAATATCAACAGTAGACTGATGTATGGCCCCACTGGGACATGCACACAACCTTAATTAAGTTGAATTTGAGTGGATGTTTCGAGGACAGTATGGATTTCTCTCTTGAACGTACCTGTAATGAATACTGAACTACCAAAACGTGCACGATTGGCTGCATGTTTCACGAACATATTCCACACATGCCGCAAGTTAAACATCACTCGAATCAATTTACAAGTATATCTCGTGCCATTGCCAACTTGTTCTTTGGTACACTACGTGTGGAAACACTCACACATTGCAAGTGGATTAATGGAAAGCCCTCCTTGTAAATTTCCGGTAATTTGGGGGGTAAATTTATTTGAACTTTGCTCAATGGATCATCCTCTTTTCTTGCCTTTAAGTTCAAGAAATTGCACTGCCACTAAACAAATGACTATGACTACAGCTTTTATTTGATATTAAAGGGAAAAAAATCTGGATATGATCAAAGAACAAACAGAACTCCAGTGAAATCAAAATGAGTTTGGGGGTGAATTTAATGTAATTAGACTCTTGTTTGAATGCCAGAGTTTTTGCCTTTAACTGAGTTAAATAAAGTCATTACAAAAGAGTAAATTTATGTGTTGGCATTTATTTATTATTATTTATTATTAGGAAAAGCACAAACTGGCAAAAGTGTGAAATGATAAAGGTACTGAAGACACAAATTTACTCAAAATCTTCATATGTGTCTGTCAGAATTCATTCGCACAGGAAACAGTTTTTTGGATTCCTTACCTAAGCGGATGGAGACATGCGCTGTTGCCACATTGGTGCTATAACGAAAGTCGTCCACTATGCTCTCCACATCATGTGCCTTGGTGGCCATCTTGTCAAATGTTACTTACTTTCAGCACTCGAAAGAAGAATTTACGTCTGGTAGTATTTCAAACTGGACAGAAAATAAAAGGCAAACTGCATTTCTGTGTTGGAATGCCAAGAAATATGGAAAGTGGCACTTGCAAAATACACATACGGTGTGACTGAGACGAAGCCACAGTTTGCCTATCAAAAGCACAGTTGTTCAAATTTTCATGGAATTTCTAATAATTGGCACTGATAATGCGTAAATGCAGTAAACATCAAGAATAAAGTGACCTAAAAATGTTGAACATTCTGTTAATCACAGTAACTTTGTAGCACTCTGGCTACTTGTACAACCAATGGCCCAAGCCGCAGTTTAGTAGGCAAGCTTCAAACTACAAGTATTGCTGGATGGCTAGCTGGAGCAGTAACTCCAGCCCTGATGCTTGCAAAATCTGGAAATTTGAATTTCCAGATGCCATGAACATTAGGCCTAGGTTTACCCAAGCTACCAGTACTCAATAGCCAGTCCACTGCAGTTGCCCCAAGTGTAGTCAGAATGGATGGTCAAGTCAGACCGTAGTAACTCCAACTAAACTGTTGCTTTGGAGAACAAGTTGCTTAAGAATTAAAACATCATTTTGAGTTCATGCACCTGTACATGTAGCTCAAACTACATGTACTAACTATTGCTTTTAATTGAATCTTGAAACAAATAGCAGGATATGCCACTTTCTTTCAGGATTAGGCGCTCTCGATTTAATTCAAAGTGTTTTGATGGCAAATTGGATCTAAATCAGAAGTGACACTACTGTAGTTGTGATTCCATCTTGTGAACATGAATTCACATTGACATACACATGTACAGGGCAGGAACTTCATTCTTGAAAGGGCAAGGCAATTTCTCATTTGACATTTGTCTTAGAAAGTCAACTTGTCTATGGGGACATTTCAATGGGCAGAGGCAAAGACTAGGGGCATCAAGGCAATTGCCTCCGACGCCTTCGTGAACTTCCTGCCCCGCATGTAAGTCTTGGCAATCATGGTAAAAAACCAAAAATGTCTACGTCCTCCAACCCCCACTGTGCAATAAAGGTTCTATGTCCAATATCCATATTACGGACATGTGAAAAATTGACATGGTACATTGGACCATCACGTACATGCATGATCGCAACACTGGAATGCGATAAACACCTCCTTCGTTCTTCACTAAAAAAATCCCACTGAGACCAGTAAGAGTCCCATTTAATCCTATGCTGATGTTTATGACTCTCAGTGATTATGTTAAAAGTCTGACATGGGCTTAAGATTAGTCCAAGGAGATGACATACATGTAACTGTGGTTGCACAATATTCTTGCATGCATTCCTAAACTGAAGGCGTGCCTGCGTTGTGGTGACGAATTACTGTACTGCCTGAAGGTACGTGTATGTAGTTTGTAATGTACATACAGGTATCGGTATCAGTAACGTGCCCTACCACCTGTTCACAAGCATTGTCAAATCGTAGTTAACATGGATGTCTTTTTACTTTTTGTCAGTGGATGTCTCTACAGAGGCTTATATCTGAAAAGTACAAGTAAAAATAAAACATGGTACTGTTAAACACATAAGAATTCAACATAAAGCCCCAAAGCTTTATTACAACAGCATGAACATAATGATATCATGGCACTTGACAGGCAGGTGATGTACAGGTGTATGTACATGTACGTCACATGGGGCACAGTAATTGGTTCGAATACCATAGTTGGACATTGATCCAGTGCCATCATATATATGCCGTATCTCCCCCATGTCATGAGCCTGTAGCGTCCATGACCGTTTAGTCGCCAGGTCAATTAATTTTGCCACCTACATGTACCAGCCTACACGGTTTATGTAGTACACGTATACATATGTCATGTATGTATTGTCAAAATGTCTGAATGGTTTTCACAGTCATGACAGCGTTCAGGAAGTGGCAAAATACAGTATGAGGGACCAGGCGACTACACAGTCACGGTCATTTGTGCTGGACCATTTTGAAAAGAATGTAGCATCCTGACAGTGACTGTACTTTCGTGGCTAAGCACAAAATCCAATGTTCTGGGGAGTCAAGAAAATTTTGAAAGCCTAATGTTTGGCCTGCCAATTTTCTAACAAAAACTTAGAATTTTTTTCTCAGTCCCAGATTATGTCTTTTCATTTATTCTCTCATTTATCATGAATGTTTATTGACATGAAAAAGGTGGAAACAGAGAAAGAGTTCCATTCCAGGGACAACTGGTGCCCCTGTGCACAAACCTAGTGTTTTCTACGTAAATGCTTTGGAATTTTCTCAGCTAAATTCCACTTTGTAGGACATATCACTTTCTGCCGGCTGGTATATTATTTTAAGGGAAAATTGGTGTTGTCCGTATATTTTGAACTCTTTCTAGAGAGAAGATCAAATTCTTTCAAATATTTCAATCTAACGGTCTGCGACCATAGTTGTATATAGTCACCAGGTCCCTTCTTTAAACCAATCAGACTTGACAAGCATGACAAAAGGGCTACATGTACATTGTTGGCTAGGTGGTAAAAGTAGGGACCTGGTGACAAACGGTATACTGTCTTGGATGTTTAGTCCCTAATTTCACCACCTACATGTAGGCCAATATTAGCAAGTCTCATTGGTTTTCCTTGGCTTAGGCCTAACTTACGTGGCAAAATAAGGGACCTGTGACTATAAACCTTATTGCTGATACCACGTGAGTGATTTTGCACAATGGTAGAAAGGCATTATGGGAAGGAAAAAGGAGCAAACATTGCCCCCTATAACTATTCCTTCCCACAATGCCTTTCTACCATTGTGCAAAATCACTCATGTGGTATCAGCAATAAGGCTTATGGTCCATTTATTTCTGGAGGGAGGATGGCCTCCTTCATGTCCTTGATATTATAATCATCTCCCTACAGGAGAATTAGAAGGAATTTCTACCAAGTACATCATGTACCAAGTCCATGGACAGCCTTGCATTACAACACCAGAACACTGTCACCTGACTGTCTGTAGCTAGGGCCTAACGTTAAGCCGAACACATGCCTTGAGGCCTACATCATGTATGTTCATACATCATGATCACGTACAAGTATCATCATGGTATCATGCGAGATGTAGCCATGATTAATAGAACAATGATAATGTCACACGATGACCGTGTACGGGCATGACGGACGTATGGACATGATGGATACGTGTTCCAACATCATAACTACAGCTGTAGTCATGGTGGTAGTAACTAGTATGTGTAAAAGGGATTTCCCAAAAACGTAAACAAACTAATACTCACAGTGTACCTACAAATTGTTCGTTACACTACAATACACGACAGAAAAGGAATGAAATGAGCACAAAACCACCAGTTAATTTCATTCGTAGTCTACACACTGGTGAATGAACGTGACGTACAATTCACAAATTTCAACATGAAAACGCACCTCGAAATGTCAAGAGAGGGCGGACTTCATTTTGTTCACCTGCCTTGATTCAATAATGTGTTGTCGACCAACGAACTTTATCCTATACTCAAATATACATGTATGTAGGCCTACCCCCAGATATAAAATAGAAAAATTAGGAAAATAAAAGTTTTCAGGTGTTTTAAAAACATGTTAAATGAAAACTTATTTCCTCATCTTTCCTTTCTCTAATCAATTTTCTATTCAATTTTGGTTAGGTTATATTCTATGACATTTGGAGAAACTTCCATTCATAGATCATAATTACTAAAAAATCTTAAAACCCATTGCCATTATATTTTGTACTTAATGTATACCTCCCTTGCAAACTATTGCCCCATGAAAGCTTGATTCTGTTCACATTTCTAAAGTATATATATGAAAAAACCTGACTGCTTATGGATACAATGATAACTTGCATTAGAATAGTCAGACTATCCAAGATGTGCAACACACGTCACCGTGACATTGAAATTCGCTTCACACCACCTTTCATTTTGTGTTTCGTTTTTCGTGAGGGAATTGTAATGAAGTTTCTGGGTAAACTTTTCCAGACAGATGATCGAGCGATCAAAACAATTAAAACTCCCATCACAAAATTGTAAATCATCGCCAAGTTAAAGCTGAAATAAAAAAAAATCCACTCTCAGACAGTTGCAAAGGAGAGGTAACATATAATGTCCAATATCTTCAAAATTTCCTCGAAAAGAGTCTCTGGTTTAATGATCCAGCAGCGTTTTAATTCGCACAAGGATTTATTTTGATTTCTTCATACATATAGTTAAAATTCAGTTCAAAATTCTTCATTGTCGCTTTTTAGATCATGCGCTCTTTAAGGTCTGCTTTAGAACAATGCCTGATTGAAAATGGCGACCATCGGAATAGCAGGATCCCAGATCATTGAAACAGGCAAGTACACAAGATGGTATTTCTGAAAGTATTTCTGAAAATAAGTGCGTCCTGCAGTTGCGGGTAATTATCCTGGCCTAACGGCCAATATTTAGCGGCAAATTGAACCAATTAGTCATCAGTTATCTTTTAGACGAGACAGATACAAGTGTTGTGGGCTGCTACTGTTTTATAAATTGTATGCAAGTTCTCTTTGATGCTTCAAACTCAGCGGTAAAGGAATTGCTATTGAATTGTAAATAAAGAGCTCCATTTGGTGTTCTGGCATGCCATTCTAACAAATCCAACGTAATGAAGGAAATGGTCAATTGAACCGTTGCTTAACATCAGGCTCATACCGGCTAACTTCGACTACCTCCATTATGGCAACTGTCGAGTCACGAATTCGGCTTCAAAACGGTGGTGGATCCAGCGGGCACCACAAGGCATTTGGTCGATCGGAGGGGGTGAGGGTGCCGGGAAGGGCGGGCCGGCCCCTTGTAAGAGACATTCAACCCCCCAATCTCCAAGGCGTGCAGAAATCCTGACCTCAAATGGAAAAAGTCCATAAGCTACGGTAGCCCCCATTTTTACACCCCTTGTTTCAGAGCTACCTATATACTTAAAACTTACTAGTTCTGGATTCACCACTGGGGCAAAACTGTCATGTGATTGAAAAGTTTTTAAATAGCCACTTGAGACTAGAGTGGTGACTTGGAGCTGATTGAAGTGTTTCAAATTTAGTTCATTTACAGTGTCAGTGAGCTATTTGTTGACAATTGTGTTTTATTTCTTTATCACAAGCAGAATGGGCCACGAGCGTGGTTACTAAAGAAGGACGACCTTAGTACGTTGCACTCCATCATGCCAGCGGGATATATTATACGGTTCTAATCTGTTAACTTAGGCTCTGACGAATCGACCCAATGTTTCGATATGATTACGTACTGTCTGAGACTACACGGCCAAACTATTCGTGGAAGATCCCGCAGTGCAGACGGAAGCGTATCCAGCAGGAGGGCAGGGAGGAGAAAAACGGATTTTTTCTTTTAAGAAAACTTCACAGGTGAGTGTAGGTAAAAAAGTAATCAGTATATTTATTATCAAATATTAGCACCAAAACCCTAAGAAAATAACACCAGCAAATAAAACAAGGATATCGAGACCACGAGTAAGGCAGTTTTTCACCTCCAACATCATGATGTTGACTGACCCTGAAGCCGCATTCGCTTTTCTGACACCTAAAGCTGGAAGCGCCACTGCTGCAGTGCTATGACCAGGTACTTTTCTACAGTCACATACGTATCCTACACAAAGTCTAATGAACCCTGAAATAATTATATTCATTCCCAGGAAACGCAGCCGAACCGACTTGATGCGCCGATGCATGGAGTCACTGCAAGTTTACATTTAGCACAAAGCTTGATTTTTTCAAAAGGCATCTCTTCGCAAATGCTTGCAAATGAATTTAAATCCACTAGGTTGATGGCAATAATATAGCTTGAGCTTCCAACAAGGAAGAGGCATTACAACCTCCAAGCAGATTCACATTTGCGGCCTATTTCAAGATGAATGCTAGAGGTTAAACTCTAGTTGGACGAGTTAAACATTAGTCAACCATCCATCAAAGGGACGATCTAGATTTTCAACTAAGACCAAAAAGGTCTCCGGTATCATGTTGTAGACCTGCACGTCGGCAAAATAAAAAGGTTTTTTTTATTTGGTACGGTATAAAACGATGTCCAAAAGCTGCCCAACTAGAGTTCTGCTACTGCGTAATTTAACGTGTTTTGATGGGGTTTGGTTGAGCAACATGTCCAGTAAAGGAGTCTCTCTAGTTCCCCATACAGTTAGTCGGGCATTCTTTTTCAGACGACGTCATTTCTATATTATTTAAACCTGGGAACAAGACAAACGGGGTGGTCTTACGTCTTGTGTACATTTACAAGCTGAACATGCTCTTAAACAGTAAAAACTGCGGGGGCCAGTGTATTTTAGTGTTGGTAGCGGTCGGCATTACGTGCGCATCTAGTAGCGATGGACATCGCACGTTAAACGTGTATCGTTTCCAGAAAAAAAAGAGAGTAAAAAGACCTTAAAAATAAAACAAGAAACAAACAAAACAAAAAACAAAGAAGGTGCGTCGCCCCACCACTTTTGGTGTCTGCTCCTGACCAGAGACCGGCGACTTTTTGTGGCCTAATGAGAGAAAAGCGATTTGGGGCCTACCCTATTTCTCTTCCTTCTAAGAGCGTGTAAATAGTAGCCTCACCCCTAAGACAGGCCCAACAAAGTTACATGAAAGATTCCAAAGTTTTCGGTTCCCCAAACAAGTATGCCCCCTGCCAAAAATTGGTACTGGATTCACCCTTGCATCTATTCATCTTTTGCTGAGAAGGTTCTTTCCTTTCCCATTGGGACAAAGTCTCCATTGCCCTTCATTGGGGAGTTGTTTAGTTGCATTCGTCACAACAGCTTTCTCGACATTGGCCAAACAAATACCTTTTCGGTTGGCAAAAGGAAGGACACGCAGACTTCGCATTATGATGAGCTACTAAGCAAATTGGTTTCAACTAATGATCTCGATTATCAAAATGTTCCCTAGGAAAGAGTGGAGTACCATGGTACGTATGGCTCTTATTTATATGGTTTAGCCCATAATTAAGTTAAGAGGCTTTTTGTGGTATAGATATCTTGCAGGGCAATTCATTTTCCGCGGGGAAGCCTCCCTCGTGCATACCCTGTGGAGCAAAAGCACTGGCTTTCAAAATGATAGCCACGGAAACCCTCTATAGCGGCTGAAAACATCCAGTCGCCCTCAGGACTGTTCACCAATATAAACCAAGAGCTTTTGTCTGCCTGTATCGAGAGGTTCCAATCATCCATTATAAATTAATGTACTGAACCTAAGTTAGGTATTCATGAATAAAAAAAAATCCCGTCGAAGCAACCATTGAGAGCATTGAGCATGGCCTGTACATGAAAGGTTGAAATGGGAACCTCGTAAGACAAGATGCGTTAATTAACCAGGGAATGACATGCAAAATCAAAAGTTAAATGATTTTCCAAACGATTTACGCAAAAGTGCTGCTGTCGCATGAAACTTACTCGAGCCTTTTCCATTGATTGGAACATACTGACTCTGACGTGAGTGCGAATTTGGATTAATCTAACTCTTATACTGAAGTCGTCTTAGGCTAGGGTTCATTAAACCTCTTTTTTCATTTCCATTATAAGTCACTTGAAACACCTGAGCGGTCATGTTTTGTTTAATGACCAAAATACTCTACCCGGGCCCAAGTATGTACAGAAACTATGTCTCCGCACGTTTCGTCTTGTTACGTTGAATTATTTAATTATTTTAGCATTGTCAACACCATCACCAACAGGCTACCAGCAACTAATGATGCCCAGGTTAAAATGCAAAGCAACCTGACTGTAAATGTCAGTGTCGGTAATCAACAGCACAGCACCAACTTTTCTGCGTAAACATGATACATCTGTTAAGCCCTTTGTCCTGTACATTCTGGGACAAAGAAATGCGATGTCCTGTTGTATGCATATCGCATGCCCATTGGTTTACGATGCTTTTCACGGCGTCCGGGAATTTCCAACCACCGTTACGAAACGCACCAAACGCTGCCGACATTGTTGGGAAAAATACTCCCTCACATTGTAGCCCATTTGCCGTTATGCCCTCAATTACCTTTCGACGCTCTTGGCCGCTAGGTCATCGTACATCCACCAGAGAATCAAGCACAATTGAAATATTCTGAAGGCTGCCTCCGTAGCTTCTAGTGGACTATTAAGGTAGCTACTAAGATTAAATATTTTGCAAGAAACTCAGTTAACTTTACATTTTTCACTTTTATATTGGAAGCAGAGGCGTAAAATATTATAATTATTAGGGAGGGGCGCGCGCAACGTAGGCAGACCGAACCAAGTGAACGCCCAAGGCGTGCAGCAGCTGCAATGGTACAAGAATATGGCTTGGGCATAACTTCCTGCTGGGAGGTAATACAGCTTGTGAAATGTGCCAAAATAGGAAACCAATATTTTTTTACAAATTGCGAGGCCTTAAATGTGAATAAAGGTTATAATATTCAACAGTAGACTTGTGAACATCGTTATCATAGACTGACTCTGTGTTTACTAAGATTTGATCAACTTTGCCATCTTTGGAAACCCATAGATTGAATCAGCCCCCCCCCCGTTTTCTGAACACGACCCTTTGCCACTGGGTCAAGATACTGAAGTTTCTGTTAAGCTCATCCTCTAAAATACTGGTGACGTGTTCTTTAAAGAAACTGGGAAAATGTTCAAGTATAATAGAACTAAGAAACTCTATTTGTGTGAATAAATTCGGCAGTGAGCAAATCGCTCCACGCTTCACCAATGTTAATCCACATCCAGGCTGTTCTGAAATACCGTGATGTAGTATTGGAAATTTCGGTTCGTTACTTCTTGTGATGTTTTGTTCACAGTAATGTGTGTTCATAGAACGCAATTTCAAAGGATCCATGCAATGAATCGAGGGCGCTTTAGCCTTAATGTAAATCCGTGGAAAAACTGCTCAGTTTGCATGTTTTTATGTTCAAATTGTTAACTCCAAATTTGCTACTTGAAAACATTTCTGAGAAAAGGTTGCTGACTGGCTTATTGCTATATACTTACACAATAAATTACCAAAGGAAATCAGTAGCAGTGTTACAAACCAAACCACAAGCAAAACAACCACAACAACCACAACCACAACAACCCCAATCACCACCACCACCACAACCACAACGACAACAATGACAACGACGACAACAACAAACAACAACAATACCAAAAAATGCTTTGTGTATAAATCAGTGCAACATTGAGGCTCAGTGCCTTAGATGACACCATACTATTTGCTCATGAATATGAAAATGTGCATCAGCATAACAAGCAAAAAAGCTCCAAAATATGGGTTAACATAAACAACAAGGTTAACTGAAACCGAAAATGTGTAATTTCAAGGGGTTTTTAAAGTAAAACTTAGTAACATATTTCTATTTCATGGTCCCTTTAAGGTCTTCAATCTGCATGCTTCTGTCTCATCTCAATGTTTTCTTTCAGATCAGTCGATGCGAGCACACGTACGTCGATGTATTTGCCCAAGCCTTTAAAACCACAGAGATATACATGAAGAGCTGCTTAGTAACGTCCAGACTGGCCCGCAATGCGTTATTTGCGCGTACTAAACCCAGTACGTGATTTCAGATTGAGTCTCCACCATTTCCTTTTTAATTTGTTTTATTTAGGAAAAAGCAAATCAAATTAAGGTGCAATGAATTAAAAATGAGTTGAATGAAATCCGCGTGGTTCCTTTTGTCTATTTCCAATCATTCGTTCTATGAGCTGAAAACGATTATTTAGTAACTGCTACAAGTGGAATTTGCATTCAGTGAATTAAAAATGAGTTGAATGAAATCTACGTGGCTCCTTTTGTCTATTTCCAATCATTCGTTCTATGAGCTGAAAACGACTATTTAGTAACTGCTACAAGTGGAATTGGCATTCAATGAATTAAAAATGAGTTGAATGAAATCCGCGTGGCTCCTTTTGTCTATTTCCAATCATTCGTTATATGAGCTGAAAACGACTATTTAATAACTGCTACAAGTGGAATTGGCATTGAAGAAAAGGCTCTGTACTTCCAAAGGTTGAACAGTTGCAGAGCACTTGTCGCTGACGTAAAATTTGGCCAAGTATACTGCGGTGCATTGACATAAGTTTGCAATCATATGCCATGTATTTTATTTGTGAAATTAAGGTGCAATGAATTAAAAATGAGTTGAATGAAATCTGCGTGGCTCCTTTTGTCTATTTCCAATCATTCGTTCTATGAGCTGAAAACGGCTATTTAGTAACTGCTACAAGTGGAAAGGTTGAACAGTTGCCGAGCAATTGTCACTGACGTAAAATTTATTTGAATGTTCCATCGAGATGTATGATATAATGGTAGCATTTTATTCCAGTTATACTCTTGAAAAGACCCTATTTAAAGAACATCAAACAGAAACACACTAAACAAAATTTCATATTCTAAAACCTCGTGGTTCTTCAAAATATGTATCGGTGCTTTTTCTTCATAAGATTACTTTCACAATTCTGAGCGTTACACTTCCCTTCCCTGTTTTCTTTTCAAATTAATTAAAGTCAGTCTTTAAACAGGTTCTTCTAAGAAATCCCACTTCCTGTTTCTGTAACCTGTACGAAGGGAAGTGTTCTTTCGTGGGAAGCAGATGTTTTGAGGCTATTCGATTCTGCAGTAGACGTAGGTCGCCTGATACCGGTTGATCCTTGTATCCTATTGGAAACATCACCTTCTGAATCAGGTGTCTACATTACCCTATTGGAAGTATGGCGGACACAATAATAGGAGGGGGCTGTTTGAAGTGGGTAAATTTTGAGCAAACACAAAAGATTTTTACCCAAACCAATTAGCGCCCTCCTATTATGTCCGTCATACTTCAAGCAAATAGGACCACAGCCGCGCTGCATGTATGGTCGTAGCGTTCTTGGCGGACTGATAGGCGCCCAGACCAACGGACCTTTCACCGGACCATCATGAAACTCGCCCGGGTCGAAGGGCATGAAACTAGTCGTTGGGAACACGGGAGCAAGCTCCATATTACTTAAATATCGCCTCAAAATAAAATGTAGACTAGGCCTATCGAAAGAATCACTAAATGTGCCTTCTATTATCAAATCCATAGCTTTCATATGCCTGGTGTCTGGCCTCGACATTTCTGCGTTTTTCTCATCGAGGGAAAACAAATTCGTTTCGAGAACAAATAAAAAATAACGAATGTGGATTTGAGTAGTCACATTTCATTTTATTAACATAAAATCATCTGAACTTTTTAAGTGCATTAATCCCTCAAGCGTATAGCTTTACTGCTCCACCCATTCAATTGAACTGTTTAAATACATTTATGCGCAACAGCAATTTTGTCTGCAATAAAAGATATTAGACATGCAAAGCAGTTTGTTCACAAAATCAACAGAGTGCCGCTTGCAATCGCAGGAATTTGGTTAACAAGGATGAACCATGTCTTTAAAACATAGTCAATACGATCAGTCAGTGTTAAGAAACATGCTATAGGAATCTGTGCAATCCACTTCTTAAGCACGGGCCAAAGTATACGTGTACATTCATGAACGCGTGACACGTGTTCAAAGAATGCGGGAATTTCCTGAAACGTTCACCATAACTGGTGCAGTAATGCAAGGGAAATTCCTCCCTGAAAGCATGCAGTAGACTCCGACCACATTGCCACTGCGTATCTACCAAACAAAGCAGCAAGACCGACGCGCTGTGGGCCACCGCATAAAGGGTTTTCTTCGTGAATGTCCTATCATCAATTAAGGTATCAATTATTGTTTGCTTAAATGAAACAAAATGATCTCACAGCATTTAAGACTGACTACCTGCAGTTTTAAATCATTGTCGTTTAATTTGAAAACGCGTATGGCGGTTGTAAGCAAAGATCAAAATCAGGGTTACACTGTCTTGTAAGATTTGTGCGCGAGGACCGTATTCAAGTATCAGCGAATGCCAATCGCAGTGTAAAGGACGATAATAGGCATGTATTTTCGCTTGGTCTCCCGACTGTTAGAAGTACGCGTTATTATAATGGTCGGGTATACTGCGGTGCATTGACATAAGTTTGCAATCATATGCCATGTATTTTATTTGTGAAAGACAAGCAGGCGTTCCCGCAGTGTATTTTTACATATAGAAAGAAGACGTACGCAGATGTAATTTCGAAAGTCTTTTACTAAGCCGCACAGCTGGACATTTGAATATTTCTCCTCGCTCTCTTTCGGCAAGCAACGTCCTCTATTATTGAACCAACATATGAACAGAGTCTCCACTCTTGCTTTTCAGGTGTGAATAAAAGATTAAATCTTGCCCCTCTTTGGTGAGTGTTGGTTTGTGAACTGAAAATGCAAGTCAAGGACTTCTTTAGAACAGGAAATTACCAGCGAAAATGAAAATATTCTATAGGCACGTTAGTAGTGGGGGAACAGCTTGGCACAGTTTAATTGACCTTCAACCTAGAACTATGTCTTATAAATATTTCATCATGAATGAGGATAGGGTAAAAATTCTGGCTCAGTTTGACCGTTTGTATGGTCAGAATTAAATAAATAGGAATGAGGTGAAAGGGTAAACATTCTGGCACCTTGTACGTGAAAAAGATCGCGCAACATGATTAAATATGATCATAAAATTAGGCGATGAGTCATATTGTATGATGTCATGCTGCAATGGGGTAGATACTGACGGGGCACTCCAGAAGTGAGCGTCGATCAGAGATAATCACTAGACAATGGACTGGCAGTGGCGTCGGAAGAATATATATCACATTAATGATCGGACAGTGGACTGTATGTGGAATCGGAGGAATATCACATTAAGGATCAGACAATGGACTGTATGTGGAATCGGGGGAATATCACATTAAGGATCGGACAATGGACTGTATGTGGAATCGGGGAATAGCACATTAAGGATCGGATAATGGACTGTATGTGTAATCGGGGGAATATCACATTAAGGATCGGATAATGGACTATGTGGAATCGGAGGAATAGCACATTAAGGATCGGACAATGGACTGTATGTGGAATCGGGGGAATATCGCATAATAATAGGACAATGGACTGGGGCACGTACCAACGGTTTTATGTTCGACTCACTATTTTTAGGAGTCAATCTGATTGATACAGGAAGAAGGTCAGGCTCTCGCTGAATATGTATTGAGCAGTATATATCATGTTGGAAACTTTGACAGCTTGGAATGTAATTTCGAGGCATAAATTTTAGAGTCAGGTGTTGAGCAGTTGTTGCACTTGGGTAAAAAAGAAATGTAAGAATTCGGGTGTGTTCAAATAAACCATTTCCCAGCAAACACATAGATGTTTTTAGAATGCGATAGACATGTTAAGCCTAATGGTTTCATAACGTTCTACAAAAATGTTATGGTGACATGGTCTTATGACATTTTAATGATATTAAGGTATATTGTTGGCGAAACGTCTTTCCGGTGATTAATTAGCATGATGTTAAAACGTGAAAATTATGCGTTAATGGCAATATCATCATTATATTTTTAAATGACGTTATAGCGATATGGTCTTGCAAACCTTTTATGACATGATTTTTTAACGAAAAGTTTGGGGAATGAAGTCATATAATAATAATATGCGTAATACTAAAATAAATCTAAAATAAGGTCATATGATGTGACGCCATGACATTTGCAATCCGCTGCGCGCAGTCTCATTCCAATCCTAATTTTCCACTTGTTTCTGCAACGAATGGAACCAATTTTGTTAGAAGTGTAATCCGTCATTCATTCCTGATATTGAAACACATGTTAGTTACACAAATGGGTGTAGCCACAGATCTCCATTTCAAAGACTGGATAGGACGCGTACGCTCACGCATGGTGAGGATTCGGAAAACGCGGACAGCTTGCGGTGAGGGTTTACGGGTTTCTATCTGCGCATGCGCATTTTATAATATAGAGGTAATAATATATAGTGTTAATCAGTCGCAAAAGATGGGACAAATAGAAAAGGGGTGTGTTTGAATTTCGATAGATATTATTGCAGACTCATTAATGAGCTTGTATTAGTCGTGATATCCGTTGGGCTGTTCTCTATTCGTAATATTCCTGAAAATTCAGAACTGTATGAATGAAAGTGCTTCCTGCGGATAAATATTTTATTTAAAAAAAGTTTCATAAACGTACTTGTAAACAATTGATAAACTTATAGAATCAGGACAGAAAACAGATGAATTTCATTGTGGAGTGTTGTTTTTTTCGTTATTTTTTTCCCTTAAAAGCAACAAAAAGCAAAGTTGTATGACGTACATAACAATACATATTGATAGCACCCTGACGTATATTGATAGCACCCTGACGTGCACTACAAAAGACATGATTGTACTGGTGCAAAGGGTTTTTTATCACAAGCCGGAGGTCTATATAATAAGACACCTTTGAATTCTATACATGGAGAAAAACTCTCGAAATATTTAAATTATTTCTTCGCCAAGTAATTTGTTACACAATAAAAATATGTTTGTTTCCAGCTTTGGCTGTATACTGAAACAATGACACAATCCTGAGAGAGTTAAAACAGAGCAGTATTTTACTTAAAACGCGATATGCAGTTTGAATGAGTATGGACATTAATCGGCATAATAGACCAAACAAGCTAACAATCTCACACGTGGGCAAAATTTAGGACATTATGCCTCAGCAAAAGCAGTTTGATTTTAGTTAATCCCTCATACTTGGAAGATTAAATCAAACTCAAACAACTTTACTCAAAGTTTGTTTCAAATGAGCGACAATACTGATTGTAAAAAACTTAAATATTAACAGATTAACCGATTCAACAAAACCCTATTTGAACTGCTCCTGACACGACCTCATCATGGACGCACCCTTGTCGGAAGTGTTCCGAGCATGGCATCAAAGCTTCCCAAATCATTTGTCTTTGCCGAGTGAATACGCCGTAGTCCTCTGATGTTTTTTCTTGGAATTTTATGCTTAAATATGTACAAAGAAAACAAATAATGTTAACGAAAGAACTGAGGCAATATACCCAAACTGAATTGTTTCCAATAAAGAGATCCCACTAATAATGACGACGCAGGTTCCAAAATTTGACAGGGAACCGATCATCATAGCCTTATGCATTTTGTTTTGACAACCAGTTGTATTGTCAAAACCCAATACCAAGTATAATACATGTATTAAAAGTCACTTTCACATCGGGCACTGCGGGTTAGGCCTATTGCAATCGGTATGAATTTTATTTTTAAAAGGCAAGTCCAGCTGTGCGCTTATCAACAGCCCGGAATGAAGGCATCCAACGGCTGTGCAAGTCCGAACAATTTTCCCTTCGAAAGAGAGAGAAACCTGGAGCAACAAACTCTTCAGCCAGACTAAGGTGTCGCGCGCTTGCCGGTCAGGCGTAACAATCGTAATTCAAACCCTCACCGATGAGACGCGTGCGTGCACAAGATGGAGGGCGCCGTGTCTTATCCGGTCTTTATAATGTAGATCAATGGGTGTAGCACAACATAGCTAAATGATGTCTTCTTTAATGCTTCCTATAATTAACTCTCCATGATGAGAAGTGTCTTTGGATCTTATTCATATACTATTATGTCTCTGTCCTCCTTAGTCACGGTAAGCACGAAAAGAAAATTATTGTGTTGGCTAAGTTATACTATTTTGAACAAATTTGTATCTTTGTAAGTTTTAATCATCAAATTCTGTTTCATTGACCTACTCTTAAAATATATCACTATTGAGCAAAACTGAAAATTTTAGTGACATGTGACAGAATTGCAACAACGTTAACGCTTGATAACCACGCCCACTTAGGATCAATACATGTATGTAAATTGAGGTCAAAGCAACACAGTAGTGATATATTTCCAAGATAGTACATTGTAATAGCGTCACAATAATGACATGCAGAACACTGTCATACAACACTGACCAACGGTCACAACATTCATGTTATGCATAATATTCTGAAACATTATTCCATGCAATTACACATTAATAACATTATCATTGCGTGCAACGGAAAATGGGTATTTTAAGAACGTTGTAGACTTGTTGAATAACATTTGTGCTGTATATATTACAGACACAGTAAAACTATATAAATCACACGTGTATGGAAATATTTGTGTGATGTCTGACGCTATTTTCTCTACTTATCAGCGAAACGTAATAAACTGAAACGTGAAAACGACGCTTTTCAATGTCATATATCAAAAAATCCTTGGTGATCAAAAAGTTTGCGATGCCATTGCTTGATACTTAACTATTAAGCAACAATTCGTGAACATTATTAACACTTCTGTAAACCCAAACGTCGATGGAAAAACATGGATCAGAAAGTTTGACATATTTGATATTTATTTAACGTCACTTAAATTTAAAATGAGTATGATTCCAAAACATCATCAAAACATGTCAGAAACAAAACGACAATGTTAAAACGGTATTTTGAGATGAATATGCTTCGTTTATCTCATTTTTCAAATATGTCTCAAACATTCACTTGTTATGTTCATTATGTCAACATCATTTTCACTTGGAACTATTGATATGATGTTCTTACTGTGACGTTTAACAAATCAAATCTACTGAAATATATTTATTGAATAAGCGAGTTTTAAACATTAATAGGTGATGTTGATTTGGATTACTTAAACATAAGCTAATGTTCCATTGATTCAAACATGAACAAAATGTCTTTAAAATGTTACTAATGCCGGTACATCACAGCCAATTTCTTGATATTTACTCAGCATATTGGCTACGGCATTGCAAGTATTGAATTGGCGTCATTCAAGCATTTCAATACCAGTATAACAGTGCTTAAAATTATGTTGAAAAAATATCACGTCCACTTTAACACCTTTTTAAATAACCAGTTTCAAAGACGTTTTGGTGATGGTTTCGTCTGTCCAAAGATTCATAAATTGTTTTGAGAAAAACATATCGTCATAATAACAGCTTTAAAACGCACGTGGAGGTAACATTATCAAAATATAGGGGTACAGATTAGCTATTTCTAAATAATGACATGAACAGCAGCAAAATGTGTTTTCGCTGTAAAACCGGTTTCAAATAACAGTAACAATTAGATAACATTAATTTAACATGGCAGATAAACATCAAATTGGGGGTATTTACATAATGTTACCACAACGTTATGTTATTTTCTATATTACTTCTATGCAGTAATAAAAATGTCATTCGAAATGTTTTAGTCACAACATTAGTGCGACGTTCAAAACATGTTGTCACAGCGTTATGTGTTTGCTGGGTTTGTGCTAATGCTCTAAAATTAACCGAATTACGAATGGTACTGTATGGAAAAGATATATGCCTCTAGAACCCGTGTGCAAGAATTTCTTTTCTTTGCTGGTGTTTTTCAGCCAGTTTCAAGTGGTATTTACCGGCTGTTTATGAAATGTATATTGTGTGCTTCTCAATATTAATGAGTAAAACAGCCGACCAGTCAGTGAGTAAACCTTTGTACACAAGTTCTTACTCTGAGTTAAACGGTGATCCCCAAAATGTTTTGTGACTGCCCATGTTGGCATCACATCATCACAGTAGCACAACATGCACCACTTCCTACCCAACATCACCCCAATCCACATCACCCTATCCACCCACACTACCCCATCCATAGCAACGCCATAGGCTCCGCCCCGCAAAGCAGCCCACGACTTATTATGCATAATTGTCATTGTTCTGTCAGGTAGGAACAAGATGGCGTCATCCGTTCCGTTAGACGCAGCCATACCTTGTCCTGTGTGCAATGCAAAAGAAGTAACAGTTACTCATTCCCAGCCCTTGGAAGTTCAAAACTTGAATATTACTCTACCAAGCACGGGGGAGACGATCTCCTTTCAGACAGCCACTGAGACGTTTATTCGAGAGCATTACCCGGATTTAAATACAACTACTTACCGTGTGCCCTCCGCTTTCTTCTACGACCACAAAGGGGATCTGGATCTGCAGACCAACGAAGACATCCTGAACGTCACTGACCACTCAAGGTCAAGGGGCTCAGCCAAGCGGTCGCCGAAAGAGGTGGTCAAAGATCGCTTCCAGAAGGACGCTGTCGAGAAAGTGGTCCGGCGATTTCACACCTGGGGAGCCGGTCGAGGAGAAGGCATGTTGATCCTCAGCGAGTACAAGATCCAGGACTATCTGCGACTAGCAACGAGAGCTGCTCAGGCTGGAAGAAAGAACAGGGAGAAATTGGTCGGCGACCACGACGTTATGGTGATCCACTTCCAGAGTGGAGTCGTGGTGTTTGTTCAGGTAAAAAGCGTGCAGGAGACAAGTGCATGGAAGACCATTCGCGGAAAGCTCAAGAACGCCTGGGAGCAAACCATAAAAGACGAAGCTGCCTTCCGAGAATTAAACGCTGACATAGGTGACATCACCTCAAAGGTGCCCGTGCTACGGTTAGTTGCTCTTCCTGAGCTATCCAGCACTCACTTGACAAGTATGGCTGTTTGTGACCTGCACACAGCAAGAGTCCTGACCAAAGAAATATTGGGATCTGCTTCTGCTTTCGATACATGGCTCAGTGAACATCTGAGTTTCGCAAAACAGCAGATAGGCGAGCCAGGATTCTCTCTGGAGGAGTACACGCAACTATGTGGTAGATACGTCGGGTTAGCCTCAGTGGTTAGAATACGTACTCTCACTGACGCCGTGAAGAAGGCAAGTGCTAAGACGGGGAAGATTCTTCTGACTCCAGATCAGAGAGAGATAATCACGACAGGAAATAGGCGGCAGATAATTATGGGAGAGTATGGTACAGGGAAATCACTGGTCTTGGCTAAGATGGCAGAGAGAATCGTGGGAGAAGACAAAAGAGGCTGTACAGGTGGAGAACCAGAGCAGATGGTCTTCATCGTGTCATGTACAGGTGTTTCTCACACCCGCACGATGGGTAGGCTACGCCAATCTCCTTGTCACCTAGTAGCTCATCTGAGAAGCCTGATCTCTGACCAGTCGTCGTCTTTGAAGGTCATGTCAGTAGCTGATCTCTTCCTCTATTGCTTCCCCGAGTGCGATCCCTATCTCCAGCGACTCGATCCCGCCGAGATGGCACAGTTAACTCGAAAGGTCATGTCATTACATCCAACAGTGCCAATTCACATTCTGTGGGACGAGGTTCCGTTTGTCCCGAAGTGGGACTGGACCCCACTAAAAGATCTTGGTGAGGAGCACCCGGAGACCTTTATCTGGCTCACCATAGCAACGGGCACTTACATCTCAATGGACTCCGGAAACCCGACCTTTCGTGTCTCCGAGAGATTGCCTGGCAACTTTACCGTGTCGCTGCTCACCCGATGCATGCGGATGACGCGGAACGGGTTTAATTTCTACCGGGCTCTGCAGGATTACCTTGGGGATAAAGGCTGCAGCTCAACCACCAGTGGAAATGCAGTGCCTGGCTGTATTCCTCTGTGGTATCCCATGGAAGACTGTGTCTGCAAAACTACAGACCCTCTTAAATGTACATGCATCGAGGCGCGACTCACCCGCACGCTAAAGCGCGTGTGGGGCCATCTGAAGGACATAAACCCGTCCCAGGTCTCGATCGTCGTTCGCGACAGCAAGGATCAAATCGACAAATTTCTGTTCACGAATGTCAAGAAAGCCTGCGAATGCCTTAACATTCCCTCGGAACAGTGCTCCCCGTCAAACCACTCTACTCCAGAGTTAAAAAAAGAAGATTCACCAACCCCGAAGTGTCAGATCGTGGACATTTTCAGCTACAAAGGTTGCGAGAGCCCTGTGGTAATATTCGTTACGTCATACGGCTGGCCACTGGTCTGGGACCACCACGGTGGGCGGCACGGTTGGGACGACATCTCCCCACAGATCTCACGCGCGCTGGGCCAGATTATTCTCATCTCCTGGCCGAACAAAGAGATGGACCACTTCAGTAGAGATGCTGTGCTCAACATGATCTCATCCTACTCAGACTTCCCGCTACCGGTGGGCGACGAGGAAGCAGAATTCTTGAAAACAATGATTGGGAAATTTGAGGAGGTGCTGACCCTCTATTCCAGGGACGATCACACAAACTATCTGGACATCCTTGCGGAGAAAGGGGTTCTAATGAAATGTTGGTCGTAGTGCCGCTTGTTACAATAAAGCCATCAGGTTTTAGCTGGATTTTTGTATCTCACGAAATAAGAGAGCAAAATATAATTGTTTGCTTTGCTCATGTATTAACAGTTGAAAAGAGCAGCAGAGGAGACGTAAAGTCATAGACCTGCCTTTGGTTGAAGAAATAATAATGACTAGTGAAGGGAATCCGAGTCCATTCAGCTTGTTCAGAACAATGAAATAAAGTGACTGATAAAACCGTCCGATAGGCACATAAGGCGTTATTTCCAGGGCATATACGAATAATTCTGGGCTTACGAAAAAGTTAAGGATTTACGAAAATACTACAAATGTGCACAGTTTTTGAAGCTTCGGCTTCGCTCTTTGATTCGCCCGCGCTTCACATCAGCATGAAAATCAGTGCAAAGCTCCAGCGCTCACCAGAGCGATGGAATTGGTGCTGGTGCCTACGGTAGTGCTAATCTGATCCAGGATCAAAGATAGTGAACAGGTCAACAACAGCGGTAAATCTAGTAGACAGAGGAAGATAAATGGGCAGGGTGAGTGTAAAGGCCGGTTCTTCGGCTCGATAGCGAATAGGAACGGGAAATTGTGACGTCAGAGCAAGACTTTCTCGTGCTTCGGATTCAGAAAGTTAAACACAATTTCAGCATGAGCTCGTTTTTACTGCAAATGCTTTGTGACGTCAACTTCGGTTCGCTATGACGTACGAAGTTCAACTGGCCTCTTCTAAAGGCGTGACGAACGAGGAAGTCTGTGTCGTGATTGTAGAGAATACCATCTGGCGTCCCCAGAAAATCAAGAATGCAGTAAGAATAATTGGTGTTCCTTTTACTATTTTCCCCAACATTTTACGAGTTACCTGATATTCACCAGCAGCTGAAGGGGCGGGACTATTGCCCAGCTCTCCCCAATCTGATTCTGAGCGATATCGGTTTTGATACCAAAACCTGTTTGCCACAATAAAGGTGTCATTACATCCAACACCATCCTATGAGTATAATTATCTCAGAGTTGCCAAAAAGAACAGACTATTATTTTCGTTTACTCACGAGAAACCCGGCTCAGTCACCTGACTCCTATTATCTGACGGTAGGAGGGGATGAGGTCATTTCCACTTTATCAGTTGCAACTGAATTCACTTATTTGTTCGGTATGAATTGATGATTGATTTGTATATGCTTTCATCTATTCCCTGCCTAGGGTACCGTTCATGACCACTTTCTTCTAATGTTAAACTTTCTATGTTTTGCGTCTGTTTTTGATTATGTTAAATCAAGTTTATTTCGTCCATAAAAAGCCCAGCGGCGTGATTTGGAATGACAATTATTCATGTGCGGGTAGGCTTTGATACAGACAGAAATTAAGAGACGTTATTACATTACACAATGGGTCGGCTCTCGTCTGTGAAGAATAACAGGTCGTATTTTATTGGTTATTACACGAGTGCGAGTAGAACAAGGAATAATGTATTGCGTCTGTGTCACGTATACAACGTTCGTTTGTGTCAACCATAGAGCTTATAGTAAAGCTGGAGGTGTCCGGCCTGTTCTTGTACGCTACGCCAAGTTTGCGCAAGAACAGGGCGACATGATGTTCCAAGACCATACATGCGTGAAGGCGTCTACGAGGTTCACAGTTTGTTAGTGCGTAATGTATCAATTTTACGTTCCCCCTGGCGCGTCACCTCTAGCTCTACTTAGGATCTCTATGGTGTCAACCAAAGATAGTATAGAGCCGCATGAAGGGGGTTTAATCACTCAAATCTCATGGTTTCGTTATTGATGTAGCGTATAAAAGGAAATTATCATAGCATGAATCAAAAGCCTTCTCGTATGTTTCGAAAAGCACAGTTGAGCATGCTTAAAACTAAAAGAGCCGTTTATACTGTCTCCGTGCTGGCTTACTAACGAATTAGTAGCAAGGATGCGCGTCAGATGGCAAGGGGAGCGCCAGGAAAAATGGAAATTTAAAAAAGTGAAAGAAGTTTTTGAAAAGAAATAAAAAGGGGGGAATGAACTAATTTGCTAAAAAAAAATAAAAGGCTCAAAATGGACGTTCTCCTATTTATAAGAATTTCTCAGTTCAATGTTGAGTATTCTTTCTTTTTTTTTCTTCTGGTACAGAAGAAGAGATTATTGACATTGTAAATAGCTTGCATAAACAAATTTAGTCCTGGTTTAAATTAAATTAGTACATGTTGTTCTTTACTGTAACAAGCTGTAACGGCTATCACTAGGCCTGTATATATCATTCATCTGTAACTTCTCTATGTCAAGTGGTGTAGTAACGGCTTGAAGATTGCTAGAGCAATCCAGCAGTGGTCAATAAATATCGCCCAATCTCGATGTTATGTATAATCTATAATCGCATCTTAGAATGCTTAGAAAAGCAAAATAACATCTGATCATCAGTATGGTTTTGGGGCAGCTCATTCAACTATGCATGCGGGATATTTAACTGATCGCTAAGATAGCTACTTGCCTAGATTACAGCTTCCTGTGTCAAAGCAAGTAGATCTTTCAAAGGCCTTCGGTACGGTTGATCACGGTATTCTTCTGTGTACACTTCAGTACTCTGGAATTAGGGGGTTGCCTAGGATTGATTTAGAAATGTCTGTCTAATCTTTCTACTCGACAGCAATTCGTGGTAATCATGGTACCAAATCATCACAATTATGTGGTGTTCATAAAGACTCTATCCAGGGTCCCTCCATTTTAAAAAAAATCTATTTACATCAATGATTGAACTTCGAATATCAATCCTTCATTTTTTCTGCTGATGACGGTACCATATTTATAGTCACGGTGATGTAAACCTACTTTGTAACACAGTTAATCATGAGATAAGAAAGATATCTACTTTAATTAAAGCGAATAAGTAAGCACTCAATACAACAAAGACTAATCTTATGTCGTTTAGCAGTAAAAAGCATCACCTACCCACTCGAATTTATGTTGAAGATACAAAGAGTACAAAACCTGCTACAACAAAATTGTTAGGATAACAGGTATAGATGACCGCTTAACTTGGAATAAACACATTCAGCCATATTCCTCAAGTTATTTCAAGAAAAATATAGGTATTGTTTCAAAGTTAAATTTGATCTTTCTTTACAATATCGTATTAACTTTGTATGAGGTAACAGTAGTATTAGTAATCTTAATCGAATCCTCAAATCAAAGAAAAAGTTCTGCTTATTATTGATAATTCTAATTGTTATGAACCTAGCATTTTTCTCTTTCATGTGTCTAATATGTTAAAGAAATTTATTCTGTCTAACTGTGCTCCCTTATGCACCAACTGAAACAATAACAAATTGACCAATTCAATTCGGTCACTTTTTACAGAAAATGAAGGAATCCACAATTATTTTACACGGCAACATCATGAATTCCATTTGTCTCATGCACGGACTGCATTCTCTAAAACTACTGGGGCCTAAGCAGTGCAGCTCAATTGATAATGCATTGAGAAAAAATGCCAGTCCCTCTATGTTTACGCGTAAATATAACTATAAATTATTAAATAACTAATTCAGATATATTATCATAGGGTTACAGTCACATGTTACTGTACGTATATCATTCGATCTACATGCACCTTACTTTTTCTAGTTAATTTGTAATGATGTTTTTCAGTAGTTGTATATTGTTATTGTTATGAGTGTCTGTGTGGCCTTCCCTCGACGAGCAATGCCTCTTGGGCGTCTCCACCCATCAACTTCATGTGTATACCATCTTTAACTCTTCATATTATGTGGAAAATGAAGTGAAGTGAAGCGAATTGAAGTGAAGTGAAGTGAGTGCTGCCCCCACAAAAACGTGGTTTGTCTGCACTACTGAAAAATATCCTGACAACACCCGTACCAGTAATTAGGTTCCCTTCACGTTTAGTTCTGATTGTTTGAATATCCATCCTAAACTCTAGTAGAAGCTCGTTGATTGGTTAACTAAGGGAAGCTACGAAGGCGCCAAAGTTCTCGAGACTTCTTTCAATCTTGATGTATTTCGCATACAGTGCTATACAAAGATGAAAACAAACGAATTTTCATTTCATTGCAAATTTATCACAAAATGACATTCACCCAATAGTTTTAAATTAGCACCATTAAAAAAATGGTGAATAAAAATATCATTAAATGAAAATAAATCCTGTTGTCTTTTCTGTGTTCATGAAATGCCTCTATCAACATTCGAAGTGAGCATGTTTCCATAAAAATTCCTGTCGTTACACGAGGCTCACCACTCGCCCCACAAGATGCATCATGCACGCTTGCAGAGCTTATAATAATGTGCTTATTTAATATATAATAATAGACCTTGCAATAATGTGCCTTTCATTCCACTCTGAGCCACTCAATATTTGCATTTACAAGTGGCATAAAGGAGAACTTGCCCCAACGTCATATATAACGAGACTGAGGCAACGAGCATTTGACATGGAATATTGCAGGTACATGAATTTATGCATGTGCAGGAAATGGGCGTTTTTCAATGAGCTCCGAGCTGGACCAAGAGAGGGCGCAATTTTCTTAGCAACGGAGGCTCCTTTGGTCGAAACTGAACTTCACTGGTTCACGAACGACTAGGAAGTGCGCGCGTTACGGTATCATTGCTACCAACAAAATGAGCACTCCCAACCGACACGGCTCGTTTCAACCGATAACGGGCCGCTTCTGCTCGAGGTGGATAATTGGAAAAGGGATAGCATTTGCTCACTGTTAAAAAATACCTTAACTCACAGAAATCCAAATTGTATATTACTTATAACTTGTATACAGAGGATAATGGTATAAAATGTTATTCCAATAATATAAAACAGTTCTTATTTCACTTTCGCAGATAAAGGCAGGTGGGTCAACAGAATGTATGAAAGTAGAAATGACTTTTGAAAAATTAAAAACAGAACATGTAGAATGTACTCTCCAGCATGCCCGATTATTTTAGACAGGTAACTGTTGCGAAACACGGTCATGCTCTGATTCAACTTCCAAACTGAAGAAAATTTATTGTGAAGTTAGGGTAGCGTACCAATCTGCTTTTCACGTGCGCACTTGCCTTCCTCGTTGAAATGCTGGAAGTAGGAGTTCCGCTTTCTCGAAAATCGCACCTCCCTCGGGAGGCCAAACCAGCCTACGCCCCTGCATCGCTCTCATGTTCGCCTGAAGTATGAACTGACCTTTACTCGAGAGCTGTCTGCGAGGCAAATAGTCATTGGTGACTATTCGCTTTCAAGACTGTAGCGTGGAGTCAATTTCTGCCGTTTTTATGCTTCGCGAGGCTGTGAAGCAAATATCTGTTAGGTCCGATATTTTGTGACCTCGCATGCAGCGCAGAAAATTCAGAAAAAAAATTGCCGCACTCGGTGAACTCACGTGCCGGGCAAATAGCCTTGATTAATAAGTTTCTCAACTGTAGATGCTAACCCACCCTGTGCGACGGCCATTGCTAAATCTGCATGTAGCGTCGAGTGCAGGAAACCTTTCGAGAGACAGCAAAACAAATAAAAGGACCTGTTGACTCTGTTGATCACCTACGGCATGAAATCTGCTCATTTAATTAAGGAATCTCGAGTGATCATCAAACATTTTATTCCTAAGTCAGAAACTCGGAAATCGAAAAGAAAATCCTGAAAGCAGCAACTGCGATTCGAAATTGTCACATGGTCATTGGGAATCATTGGTTTTGCCCCAAAGCCATAGCAATTAGTCTTCAGCGCCACACGCGATAGATAATAGCTCAACAACAGCGATCAACCAAACCAACAAAGGGAGCCCCGCATTAGGACAACCTTCGCCCAAAGAAATCCACAGACGCCCAAGATGGTTCAACTATACTATTCTATTCTTATTCTTGAGAAAGAGCTCCATATACAGAAAACATGATGCCTCTATGCACAAACCCATAAGACTTGCCTGAAAAAACTTAATGTTTTCTAAGTAAATGTTTGGGAATTTTTCCAGCTAAATTTCACTTTTAGAACATGTTATCACTCTCCAATGGTTTATAACGGTTTGAGGGAAAATTAGTGTAGTCCATACACGGAAGTCTTTCCTCATCTTGACTGGCGGCTCAATGACGAAACACATCAAGGGCCATCGACTTCAAGTTATCAGTTCAAAGAAAGTGTAATTATGTTCCTATAGGAATATACCCAGGCCTGAAAGCTGACGGTGCTTCAAGCAAGGCGTAAGTATTAAACACTCATCCACCACTATTATCTTACACGTTGGTACAACAGGGATAGTGCAGATGATCTTGTTACGCCCCAACTATAGAATAAGTCCTAACTATAGTTGGGACAGTCCCAACTGTAGTGCTGTAGTTGGGCTGTTCAACATTATCCAAGTCAATGTGTCTCGCACTTGACACAATTCGTCTAAAATGTGGCACTTCATCTGTTCATCTAGCCCTATGACCAATGACATGACATTTGTAAACAATATGACTTTGGCACATGCTGGGCACATCATGTACACAAGACCTCTCTGCTGTAGTTGGGCCGACCCAACTTTAGCACACTAGTTGGGACAGGCCCAACTATAGTTGGGACTGCTATAGTTGGGGCGTAACAATCTCACGTCCAATGCCGCTAAAGCTTTCCAGTCTTCAACCCTAGTTAATATACTAATTTTGTCAACCATTCACCGATATAATGAAACATCTTCATAAAAATCTTCTGGACTTGTCTTTGTAGCATGGATGCCACTTTGTATGGAATAACCACATAACCAATGTCAACTTGGCGGCAGATGGAGTACACCTTAGTCATCAGGGTACACCAGCTCTTGCCCGTAATCTTATTAATCGTGTGAGAAAGGAGGGCTACCGTGCAAATCAGGAGCTAAGAACATCTAGATATTAATAAATAGCATGGGCCTGATGTCACAGTCTCTATATCAGTTTAAAAGAAGCCGCTGAAATTCCTGCTCCTTCCCTAACGAAATTGTCTAACGCTTCATTAGAATCTGACGCTATTCCACTAGATTGGTGCCAGCCAAACATTGTTCCCTAAATGAAATGGGTAAGATTAATTACCCTCTAATTAGAGACCCATCTCTCCCACTGTTGCCCATTTTAAAACTCTTGGGCGAATCGTTTGTGACAAGATTATTAACCATTAAAACATCGTGCTGTACTAAGTGACGATCTGTACGGATTAAGAGAAAAACGGTCTTGTGAAACACAATTGCTAGATAAATACAAAACTTGAGCAATCATCTGGATTCAGGATATGATGAAGGTGATAATTGCGTTGACTTTGCTAAGGCCCTCGATCGAGTTCACCATAGTCTACGAAAAACTTGTATATGTATAACATTGGGTGAGAAAAACATTAATGGATTTTGGATTTTCTGACTAAATGGTCTCAGGCAGTGGTACGAGACAACAGAACATCTAGATGGACTAAGGTCTAGCCTGGCGTACCACAAGGCACTATTCTTGGGCCAATTCTTTGCATGTGCTTCACATATCAAACAATGTGAATTCAACTATTCGCCTATTTGCAGACAATTGTATTCTGTAATGTCCAGTTAAATGCTCTGATGATCGAAATTGATTGCAACATCACCTAAATTTACTCTGTGACTGGACACAGAAATTGATGCTTGGATTTAATGTAAATAAATGTAGGGTAATTAATGATTTCTAGACGAAATCACGGGTACGAAAATGACTATTATATCAACTATGTTAAGTTGCAGGAAACAACTCCGAGAAATATCTGGATGTTACTATAAATTGGGAGTTAAATTGGGCCAAACACTGCCAAGACTCTTACAAGAAGTGCAGTAGAACGATTAGGTTCATTAAACGCACTTTCAAAATTTGCCGTGAGGGAGTGTTGAGTGAGCTTTATTTTTCCTTTCTCAGTGACGGATTTATTGCTGCTCTGTCTGGGACCCACACAGGTCCACTCATTCAACCTACTATAGGGCTCATTCACAGCAGATTCGTGCGACATCATTTGCAGAGACTGGCATACAATTATTTTACACTCTTAGAACGTCTTTGATGGGCATCATTGGAAACAGTGAGAACCTACTTTCGCCTCCTCAAGTGTTGTAACATCATCAACAACTTCATCAATATCACTTCATTGAATAAATTCTAACCCGCGACAAGATTTGGGAGTAATGACAACAGTTTAAAACTTCACGTTCCCTTTGGTAGAATGGATACTTTAAAAATAGTCATTCTTTCGGACAGCGAATTATTGGAACAGACTTCCTGATAATGTTGTCTACCCTTCCCAAGGTAACTTCAAATGTACACTCAGGAATCACTTATCTTGAACGTAGTAGGTCTTAGAGTAGGTCTTAATATGTTAGAATATAATTAATTTTGTCATTCTAATTTTACTTAATCATTGCTTTTATATCTATATACACATATTGTTTATCCATTTTTTAAGCTGCATTTATCACTTTTCGTCTCTGTTTGAAGTCATAAGTGTTCATTACTTTTATTCTTATTTACGTGTCACTCAAACTCCTTTGTTTACGTAACTTTTCTTTACAAATACAATTACCTGTCTGACCGTTTAACGTTTCTACTTTTAATCCAGGGGGTGAATTTTATACTGAACGTTGAAGTCTGTTTCACAACCCTAAACCTTGTTTGAAATGAATAAATACATCTACCTATAACCCGTTCGTTTTGTACGCTTGGCTCGTATAAAATTGCTCTGATAAGTAGACTGAAAAGAAAAAGTCTCATTCCAATTTTTAATGTGTCGTTGGTGCGCATAATACTCCCACACAAGATTCGCCCACTCCGTCCACACCTCTCCATGTAATTGGGAAATATAGTGACCGAAACTACTCTGTTTATCATAATATTATTCATTTGAATACATGGCAAAGGGGACGTAAACTTCATTGCCTGAAAACCTGTAATGAAATTGTAAAGAAACAAACAGTTGCTCAGTGCTATTCGTCCTCCTCTCCCCAGAATGCTCCAGGAAACTGGTCGGCCATCTTGAAATCGGTACAGTGTCTCGCATTGGGATTCTTCACTGACTTTCTCCCTGATGGCTTACATGTACGTCTTTTTTCCTTATAAAATCTACACCCATAAACGATGCTGTATCTTGT